GAATGTTAGCCGCTTTGAGACTCCTGAAAGGGAGTGAAAGGCGGGATATTAAATCCAAACTCTTCTTCTTCTTCTTCAACAACCAGAAGTCATATATTTACTGTTGCCAGTCCCATGCTGTGGAACACTCTCTTAGCAGAAATTTGGCAGGCACCCTCACTTTTGACTTTTAGGCATTCCTTGAAGACTTTTTTTATGCCAACAGGTGTCTGCAGCTGTTTAAAACCTTCTGATTAGGCAATTATTTTACTGATGGGTTTCCCCCCCTGTTTTTAATTTTCTTTTATTGTATACATATTGTTGTACGGTGCCCTGATGTCTTATGACAGAGTGGTATATACTTTTTTTTTTTTTAAGTACCGATGCGACCTTTCAAAACCTTTTTCACCCAGGGAGGCAAGGGTCATGGGAGCACTGGAAATGTTCACAGCTGGGCATAACTGACTCCTAGAAAAGCTCCACCCAAAATCAGGCTACACAACTTCTATGGAGAGAAATGCTCATGGTATAGGGGAAAATACATTTTGTTTGCACTTACTATTCATTACAATGAATGCTTTAAAAAGGATATCAAACTGCAAAAAAATATTGATTACCTGATTATTTTGTCTGTGACTGACTGGTCAAAATAGTTTGAAGTATCCAGTACAGTCCTCAGTCCTATGAATAATATGTGGGGAGGGCACTCTCACACACCCTTAATGACAGATGATATCTGTTTTCAGCGAAGAGTTTGTATTTAAGAGCCACTGAAGCTCAGCAACAGTATATTCTGGCTCAAATGAGCTGAAAATTGCATTCGATTTGAATTTCAAAACTGGAGGGGAGAGGGAAAGGGGGAAATGGCCACCATGAAGGGGGGGGGGAATCTCTCTCTTTCTTACCACTTCCTGATTCACAGAGACTATTTTAACCAACTACTTTAAGATCCAGTACATGATGCCGAGAAAAGAGCATTGCTGGAAAGCAGCCAGTCAGTTTTAAAATAAATGTTTAATTGTCAGGATCAAAGTAAACTCTGCTTTTATGTATATTAGGGAGAGGGAAATGTTCAGGGGGAGAGAAAAAACTCTCTAAATAATTGAGGAGTAGAAGTTTCGTCATATACCTGAGAGGAACAGAAAGGAATGAAAAACTTTTCCACGTGGGACCTCAGAAAATTGCATAGATGACCAAATATTTGTATACAAAATCTTTTGAAATGGATGTAGATTTTGCTTGAGTTCTAAAAAGGTGAAATATTGACTCAGGTATGAGCAATTTGGAGAATCTCCTCATGTACATTAAGTATCCATACATAATGTAGCCTTAAAGCAGACATCCTTAACAATGAAAGATTCCAGTGCCCCTCCCAACACACACCAAACAGACCCTCTCAGGTGTTAAGATTACCGGGGGGGGGGGGGGGACAGGACATATTGGTAGTTCTACTGCCTTTCAGAAATGCAGGGGATGGGAATCCCAAAGCTGTGGAATACCCTCCCTACAGAAGTACATTTGGCATTTTCACTATGCAGTTTTTTGTTATATACTGAAGATGCACCTCTTTACCCTGGACTTGATATGATATATATTTTAGGACCCACTCTACTCTCTTGCTTGTGATCATTGTTGTAACACACCCTGGGACCTTATGGTGAAAGGCAGATAAGGAATTTAATTAATAAAAACACTCGTGCTATCTATTTTTTTGTCACTCTTACCCATTTCTTTGTTAGAACATCTAGCCATCAAAAGTAGAAGTGGGGACTGGAAAGAGTGTGCATCACTACATTACAATGTTTGCTTCATTGCTCCTTGTCTCCCTAGATTCAGAGCAGTATGACGACATATCACACCCCAATGAAAATCAATAGACCAAATGAAGAACAACCCTATGCATGTCTACTCTGAAGTAAGTCCTTATTCTTCTAAGCACAGAGATTCCTCTAAAATACACCACAACCGTAGGAATCTATTTTATGTTCTCTAGCAACTAGGCACTGATTTACGCAACAGCAACAATAAGAGCACAAAAGTATGGTAAGCACAAAACACCTAACTAGCTGTAGGATTGTCCTAATTATTAGGCTCCTAGAGGATTCTAATAACCCTTCTCACTCTCGAGAGCCAGTGTGGTGTAATGGTTAAGAGCGGTAGTCTCGTAATCTGGGGAACCGGGTTTGAGTCTCCGCTCCTCCACATGCAGCTGCTGGGTGACCTTGGGCCAGTCACACTTCTTTGAAGTCTCTCAGCCCCACTCACCTCACAGAGTGTTTGTTGTGGGGGAGGAAGGGAAAGGAGAATGTTAGCCGCTTTGAGACTCCTTAAAGGGAGTGAAAGGCGGGATATCAAATCCAAACTCTTCTTCTTCTTCTTCTTCATATACCTTATAAGTGAGGCAGGACTTGTCTCATATTTCTTGTGGGCTTAAAAGCAATAAAAAAGCAGCAGGTCTATACCAAAGACTAAAGTGGAAAGGAACTTTCCTAAACACAGTAAGTAAACTTGCCCTAAAGAAGACTGCCTGCATACGTTTGGCTTGTCTCTTTTCTAGAGAGGGTACCCGCTCCATGTCTGAAGTCAAAATGTCCATCTCTGGTTGGCACTATGACATAGTATTGATTATGATTTATTAAGAGCTCTTAGCTGCAAGAGACATTATAATTAACAGCTTCCCCTTTTTAAATATATATTTAAAAAATAAATGAAATTGGAGCTGCTAAGTGCTGGGTGTCTACAAAGCATCGATGAGATCATCTGCAACTGACAGTAGCCCATGGAACAGAATAAATATAGGGGAGGGTAGTTGGCAGTGGTTGAAATGCAGGGTATTTACTCAATAAGTACCTATTTTCAGAATTTCCTTCGAGCTGGCTTGGACTCAGAGCTATCAATTATTTAAAAGAAGTAACATGATGCTTCCTTTGTTGAGGCAAATCAGCAAGCAGACCCCAAGAGAGAATAAAAAATGAATTAGGCAGAATTTATTAGTGTGCTTGAAGATAGCAGAGATTCAGCCACTAAGTCTGGCTAGGGGTTTAAAAAACAGTATACACCTGCCCATGAAAGATAATTTCTATTTCACCCTCCACCTCAATCCTTTCCAAACCCAATTTCCCCCTTTTTCTTTTAAACAGGGCATAACAGTGACATCAATCATTCTTCAAACAACTTCTTTTTTTAAAAAAAAACTTGGTTGATATATTGTCTTCATTTAAATTACAAATATACTAATCTACAACACTGTTTACCAAGCAGCATATTAAATGAAAGATGTAAAAAAATGGCATCACTCACTTTTTAAAAATGACTCTAGAATCAGGGACACATAAAAACAGGCAGACTGGTATACAGACTTGGCTGCTATATTTCAATCCTAGAGAATGCATTTCAATTACTGTGGTTTTCTGCACAAAACATTTCTATTCCAGTGGTTAGCCTGGTCAACATGAACAGAGCCAAAACCAGTGCAAATGTTTAAGCTTCTGAACCTGAACTAAAGGAGAATTACCTATACCATGATAGCAAATAAAGTTTTAAAAGGAAACTGGAGGGGAAACCACGATTGTTGCAAAAGTAAGCAATTCTAGGCATTTACATCTCTTTGCTTGCATTCTGTTGAAGTTGCCATGCCAGTTTTGTTTGTGTGAATCCTTCCATGAAAACAGTATCAGGAATGGTACACATATCATATGAGATGGGTACATATGTATTTATTCCCATGGCAAATATCCACAATGGAATAGACATGTGTAACCATTTCTTCTTCATTTTTCAGGTGGTAGCCCTAGGACATCATTGCCAAATTTTAGAAAATGCCTTTCCAGAAATAGCATCTGCCTTTTTGGCAAAATTGAAAAGGCAGATTTAAAATTTGCCCAGATCTGCCTTATGATCAGATTGCATATTGGTTGCCTTGGACAACTGCATCTTTCTGAATGACATTTTCTTTAAACATACCTTTACTTTATACTCATGTGCTTAAATCTGGTCTAGAGAATTGTTGCCATGGTGGTCTCAGAAGATGAGAGATACAAAATAGATAATAGTATATCTTTTTATCTGGCCCCATATTGATGGCAGATGGAACATATCTGTACTGTAAATGTTTTATGTTCCAAATTATTTCATACCTTGGAAACAAAATACCTGATTAGAAATAGTAACATTAGTAATCAATCCTGTTGCGAAAAGATGGAAAAAAACAACCAACCGGTCCTTCCATTCTGACTGACAAGGAGTTATAAGCTGAAAGTCAAAAACTTCCTTATTTCCCCACTAATATTAAGCAACCCAAATAGCAGCTATCACTGAGTCCTTTCATGAATTTTCCCACTGATACTGTACAAAAAAGTTTTAAACTTTACTGAAAAAAACTGCTACAATTTGTAGAAACAATTTTCACATCAGTTTGGGGAGTATTTTAAGGTCCTCATGAAAATTAATCAGCATTTTAGTGCAAATTTCTAATATTTCTGCAATACAATACACATACAAATATACAAAACCAATATATACACGTCATATGCCATTTTCAGCCATGGTCAATGGTTAGCCATGATGGGAATTATAGTCCAACAACATCTAGAGGTCCACAAATTCCCCACCACTAAATAAGTACTGTTATATTTAGGCGGTGGTGTAGCGTGGGAGGGGACAGGGGGGTCATGGCCCCGGGCACAAATTTCTGAGGGGGCGCAATGAAGCAACCCCCCCCATATGACAGGCTCCCTTGAGGCAGCACCTGTGGACCGGGCCTTTGGGACTGGGCGGCAGCACCTCCTTCTCGTTGCCAATGAAGGGAAGCTCACGTACGCCCTGCCCCATGGCAGGTCAAAAGGGGAGAGGGGGAGGGCAGTGCCACCACTGCCCACCAGGAAGGGTGGGAAGAAGAGGAAAGCACTGTGAGGGCCATATGCGTTGCCCAGAGTGCCTCATTGCAAGGACAGGAGGGTGAGGTGACACAGTGGCACTCCTGGATTTACGTTTCTCTGCCTTATCTCTGCTCCTAGGTTGGGGTTAGTTTGCAAGGGAGACTCCCTTGATTAGATGTTGGCCAGAGAAGGGACTGACCGACTGCTTAGAGGTTTTATAATGCACATGACAGACACAATAAAAGGATAAAGATGAGGGCAGGGATCTATACATGTGTCTAAAAGTAGGATAAAGTTAAGTGGAAATGTGGGAGGATATAGGGCAATGGAAATGAACTTATGGCTTCACTTAGACAAAGAGGACAAGAGTGGACTAATTAATAGTTTATTAAATTTGCGAGGCAATGACGTTCAATGGGGAGAAGATGCAATGAAGTTGCATAGCTATTGGACTTTGTTCCATTTCACATACAACTCTAGACTGTAGATTGTACATGGAGTCAGAGAGAAAATGGGAAAGCTACTCTCACCTACGCACTCCATCTCCTGCTTTCTATTGCACACAGAATCTATCCTATTAATTGAGGTCAACATGCATAAATGTCTAGGTATACAGATTGTTCATACAGTTCTCTTTGCAGAAATAAAGAAAAGTGAGAGTAGCGAGATCATTGTGAGCAGTACTGTAAAGCACAAGCATTTACACACATAGATTTGCAGTAGGTTCTACATGCAGTTTGGTGAGGGAATAATATTCCCTTGTCAAGGACATGCCCCAATTTAGTCCCCTTGCTTCCAAATTGGAAGCACTGCAGGTAAAAGGCATTGCAAAGGCCTCTGTCCAAGTCCTTGGATATTTGTTCCTAGTCTGAGTGGGTAGTTCTCCACTGTGTTAATGTCATATGCTTGCTAAATGTGCCCTCACTGCATGCAAGTTGTGTGTGCTGATGTCCTTTTGAACAAAAACTGATTAATGAATTTCTGTCATGCTAGGGTGTGGTAACTGAAAAGCCATACTCTGGGGGTTATTCAGCAGTGAATGAAAGATTGTTGATGTTCACAATTATATTATTAATTATTACTAGTATTGGTAAATGTACTAAAGCAGTACCCTTTATGCTTATTTAGGTGCAGAGACAGTTTCCCAGAAATATAGATGATTTTGCAAGTGCCAATACTGATGCGACTATTTATAGTGCTATAACCTGGGTTTTCAGCAATATTGGTAAAGTTAAAGCTTAGATAGCAATTCTAGCTCTAACACCTTAATATAGACATATTGCTATAAACACAGTTTACAATGAGGAACATAAACACAAATTCAGTGGGCCTAATAAATCACCTTTTGCACTGCTAAGAAATGTGCTGCCAAAGTGCCATTTATACAGCATAGGCTACAGCAGAATGAAGCTACATATATATTTAAATTTTCTATTTTTGAACTGCCACTCGAAACCCTTTTTTAAGCCTATTGATCCAGAATGGCTCGTGATAACACTTCTGTCACTTGGCAGAGCCATTTTTAGCTCTTGCTTATCTGAAAATCTAAATCAGGAGTCAGATGATGCAACAAATTTAAGCTTTTTTTCATTTAGGAATAAAAAGTGCAAGCTGGCTCTGATGTCATGAGGTCATCAGGTTTCAAAGTATGCTTTGAGATGTCAACAGAATACCTACCTACATTTAATAACATGCTGACTACATGGATTTGATTTTATACCTAGCACAGGGTTCCTACTGCAGACCAATAATATGGACTGCTCCCATTCAATTCTAATAGGACTTGTGCAAATGAACACCTAGTTGATTTTACTACAGCACTTTTTCTAGCATTGCATTTCATGAAACACACCTGAAGTAAAGTTACACCATGTACCAATCTAATCCTCCATCTTTGTGTTGTTAAATACACAGTGATTGTTATTTAGGACAGGAAATTAAGAAACTAGGGGCACAGCACTATAGGAAGGTCTGTTGCACAAGCATCATTGAAACTAACAGAAACTGTGAAAGAACAAATATTCCAAGTATCTGTGGTCTTGCCCAACTCCCATTTACTTAAAGGGGCTTTGCACAGACTCCTAAATAGCTTTAATCCTCCTCTCCTGTCACATTTAACACTCTCTACAATGGGTGTAATTAACACACACACACTTTCACTCACCTTTGTACAAAATGTGAGTTTAGAAAGCAAGGACTGCTTCCTATAACATTAGAATTATACAAATGCATGCTGTGCATTCCTCAGCCACCCACATCCCTTATAAAGAGAATAGCCATGAATACAACAGCTGGTAAAAATAATCAGCAGACCGAATTACTGATGTGATTGGCTGATTATTTAATCAAAACTGTGTAGGGTTTTTTCCCAGGCATCTCATTAGGATTTTAGTGGCAAAAGGCATCAAGCAATTAATCAGGAAGCCTTCAGACTCTGGAAATCTTGCTCTGAAAAGCCTGCACCTCTCTACAAATAATCCTTCTGATCAGGCATTCAGAACTCCCTGTCAGGAAGCACAATTTGTTGTGGTCTATTTGTGTTTGCTCTGAAGTTCAAGGTACCGTGTTTAGGAGCTAGCGGCCCTCATAACTAATTGCCAGTATTGCAAAGGATTGCATAGAGGGTAAGCAGCAGCCACACAAGGCCATGATTTACAATAAATATTCCTGTGATGAATGAGCTGTGTGGTCATGGTCACAGATCTTAGAGTGGTTTTGAACTTTATCATCTCTGATCCTTCAAGCACATTTTGCTTTGAGGGGAGGAGGATGGGGGATAGGGTGAACTCTTGAATACCACTAAGGATTACTCTTAATGTTTTCACCAATATTTTTTGTTACCCTCATTACCGGAACCTTCAATTATTTCACATGAAGAAAGCAAAATATATGCAAAGGGAGTAGAAAAGGGGCAGGAAGCCCCTTTTAACTAATAAGAGCAATTTATAACTGGACGGTATCCTGCCACTCAACACACTTGCATGTGTGCTCATTTCACTGTATTTATATTTCTATAGCAGAAATTCTTCTAGCCCTGTTCTTGTTCAGAAACACTGTAGTCCTTGTACAATTAGTATGCTTAAATCCTACCGAAGTCAATAGGATTTAATCAGTCCAGTTATGCATGGAATTGCTGCTAAAGAAGGTACACTTATTAAATTTAGATGTGTGGTAGGGTTAAGAGCAAAACACCATGAAGTACCCTGCCCTTAACTCCCCTTTGAGACTATTTTTCCTCTCAAAACAATTCCTCACAAGTTGCACTGAACACCGACAATTTCTCTTTGCAATTACATGTGCACATGTTTAAGTGTATGCGGACACACATGCACACATTATTTATAGATTTTTATATTATATAGGAGAAATAAGGAAATGATGAATAGGCCGATTACAGTTTCCCTGACAGCAGGGTGAAATGGTAGCTAGGGTGACCAGGGGATGTCCTGGTTCCTCCTTGTGGAAAGGTATTCAGTGCACGTAATAATTATTCATCCATCTCGTTCACACTAAAGGCATTGGCAATGCAATTTTAGCCTGATAATCAAGACCATATGACAAAACCCAAGGCCATTAGGGACCAATTTCGAGTATTCTCTGCAAGACAATGATTTTCCAACTGCACTTACATATGCTGCATACTTACCTCTGCACGGCTGCACCTGCTCTCATTTATGTAACTCCCCCATTTTCAGTGTATTTCCCCCCTTGCAATTAAAAGGGGGGGGGACTTTCAAAAGATTTGTTGGATCTTTCGTGGACCAACCCCTCCCATTAATTAAATAAAAATTCTAGATATGGTTTGCAGGTATATAATGCTGCAAATAAATTCATGCTTTGCCTTTATTTTTATTTTGCATTATTTTATCATTGAGGATAGGCTTGTGCTGTATTTTTAATCGTGAGCCCTCAATGTTTACATAGCTCAGTAGAAAGAACTATGGGTCAGCTGTGCTCAGAATGTATATAAAACTAATAAAGCTAACTTACATGTTGCTTTAAACCGAATAAGAATGAATGGAAATCTCCATAATTATCCACCTTGGCAAGCCAAATGACATGTATCCTTAGACTTGGCAGCACTTGCAAACCTTATTTGCTGAAATAATTATTATTTTTGCAGTTACTGTAACCGATTAGTATGCGGCCATTTTTGCGAATAAGGACTGCCACTGATATTTTTGACTATGAAATCCTTTCTCTTTTTTGTTTGGTTCTAACTAGGGCTTCATTTCTTTCTCAGTATCCCTCTCAAAAGAACCTTGGAATGTCAGCACAACAATACTATACCGAAGGTGCCTAACTGTTGTCCTACTAAACAGAAGCAAGTTGGTTTGAGAAGGTGAGAATTGAAGGTTTGGCCTGCAACCCCTTACAACTGAATAATTGTAGATCAAATTCCAGCTCAAAATAGGAATGCTATAGCTATCTTTTTAATTGCATTCAATAAAAATTCACAGTAATGGATTTGAGGGAGGAAATCAATGAAATTCCACTCTAATATAAAATTAATATAATAATAACACTGCTATTGGCTTCCCAAAAACCACATGGGAGACTTTTTATAGCAAATTTGCATGCTTGAAGTTTTCCCACTTTTCTAAAGATTTACCCCTGAAATCACATTCTTATGAGGAATACTATTGATTAAAATCTTTGAGAATACATTGGTTGCATTTGGAAGGAACACTGACCATAAACCATAGTTAGGCAAATTAGCTGGTGCAAGATCTGTGTATAGTGCATGCAAAATAAATAAAAAAATTGTCCAGTTCTGGGTGTAAGTTTTCATGTGCATACACACTTCTTCAGACACATTGAAACAGAAGTCACCAGACCCTAATATATAATGGGAGAGTAGGGTGGGGTTTTTCTCAGGAGGGTAGTAGGAGATGGGTGATTGACTCAATTAGTATGATAAACCTGTTGACGACTGTTAACGACTGCAATTAGTCCTACAGGAAAAAGCAAGGGATATTTGACAGCATCAGACCAACACGGCTATCTACCTGAATATAGTGCATGCAGTTTGAGTACTCCTCACTTCTTCCTTCCTGGAGTATGGAAACAAACTATGAAGTGACTGGCTTACCATTATGTCCAATGTGGCACTTGGTTGGAAATCCACAACTCTGTGCATCTAATATTTGGTATTATGGAGGCATGAAATGGATCACAACTGATCCCTAGAAGTATGTAACTGACCAGTCATGACTGTTGGGCATGTACTGCTGTGGCTATGAATATCACATGTCCATCACCTGAAATCATATGATGCCATCTTAACAGATCTGTTCTGTCTCTGAACTGCTTTTGGAAGGAAGAACCCAAAAAAGGATCCAGGAAATGACAGATGATTCAGCTTAACCATATTTTCTACTGAGGGGAAATATTAAAGAACAGTAGGTTTCAGGTAGATAAGGAACAGCACATCTTTGGGTAATTTATTCAATTGGTTAAACACACAACGTGGAAGTTATGAAATACATTGCCACACAATATGATTGTGTCTATTAGTATATATGGCTTTGAGAAAAGAATTAGAAGACTCATAGGTCTTGCTACACTGGTTAAAAAAATTACCTTGATTGTTCAGACACCATATATCCCAGATTACTATATTCTACGATGAACAGTAGGATATTGCTATTTATTTCATTTGGATGAAATTTACCATCCATTCATTTACCTTCTACAATTTAACCCAAGTTTTCCCATAATATCCAATGAAGACGGAATAGAAGAGTAAGTGTGTTTTGACGTGAACAGTGGGCTGCTTGGGATGTAACAATGTGAGAATGAATTAGGCTTATGTACTTATCCATTATCTCTTCTTCCAGAGTATCTGTGAAGGGGAGTTCAGAAACTTTCATTTCTATTTCACATAAACCACTGTTTACCATGTTACCCAAACACAACAAACTGTGGTTTATCTTAATGATGGTAAGTTGAAACAAGGCATCTTTAAACCATTATTTGCAAGACTAGTTCTCTGCACTAATCACAGTTAAGATTAACCACAGTTTAGGATGGTTAAACATGTTAAACTATGGCTAATATACAACAGAAACAGAAGCTTCCAATGACCTCAGTTGTAATGGAGGAGAGAGAGGGGAAGGAGAAGTGCATGAGCCCACCATGCTGTAGCTTCTTCTCATAAGAAAGTCAGAAATTGGTGAGTGTGCATATTTGTATGAAATATATACTAGCTAAATGGAAGTATGAGAATAACAGCCAGCATTATTGCAATATCTTCCAGACACTCTGTTTCATCAATTTTAAAAGGCAGCAAAGACCAATACTGAGGGAGGGAAACTTCATTAAGTTCTCTAATTCAATTGAACCAAGAGGTCATTGAAACATCAGTAATTGCTCTCTAAAGCCATTTGGCCAAATCTAAGCAAACAAAAACTAAATTGGAATAGAATTTCCTCTGGAGATCATTCTCCACCCCACCCCCACGGTCCTGCCTATTTTTTTATTAGACAATAATGATAGTAATTTTTTGTGCAACGCCACAGATATCCAGTGTATCCAAAATTCCTGTCATGAAATTTCAGAATGTTTTTGGACAAGGCTATGCATGCATGTATTGCATGAGAATCCATGGATGCTCCCTTTTGTACAGACATGCTATTTCTTCAGCCTTTGCAACAAAAGTTGTTGTAAAAGTGGCAACAAATTCCTCTGGATTTATTTACTTCTTCTGTCAAATGTACTTGGTTTAATGAAATAGCAAGGAATATGGGATCTTGTCAATCAAATGCCATTTACCAGCTTAGATTTTATAAAATGAAACAGTGGAGAGAAATAGGACAAAATGTATGTCTTATACACAAAAGTTGCAGGAAGATATAATATTAGTTTACATATTTGATATAGAGCCTAAATTAAGCTGCAGAAAAGGAAACATGAATCTTACAAGCCTCATTATCAAGACTCCCTAAACCTCAAATATAGGAAACACATTTCATAAATAAAGACCCAATAGGATTTTAATAGTACAATAAATTCTAACTACATTTCCTACTAAGCACATTTCTTTTCGTATTTTGGACAAAGAAACTTCATTCAGTTCAGTACCAGATTCAGAAATGAAGATCAGTATGCAAAGGCCAGCATTTGGCTCATTACAACTACATTTTAAAAGTAGATGGGTTTCTGTATTTAGTTCTGCCTTCCCCAACATAGTGCCCTCCTGATATTTTGAGCTACAACTCCCACCAGCTCCAGTCACCATGTGCATGCTGGCTGGGGTGATGGGAATTTTAGTCCAAAATGTCTGTAGGGTCTCAGCTTGGAGGAAGACTGATTTAGTCCCTGAGGAAATGCACCCCCCCCCCCAATTTTCAAGGTATATCTGCTACCAAACACATCAGTCCCAGCCAGCACGGCCAATAATCAGGGATGATGGGAACTGTAGTCTAGCAACATCTGAAGGACCAGAGATTAACTAGACCTATTTACTTTGGATTAAGCCATATTGAATTCAATTGGACTTTCTCACAATTGGATTGTGCTTTTAATTTTTGATGCTATCGCTTTCCATTATTAACCCTTTCTTGACTTCAAAACTGCTCTTAAGTTTTGCTTTATATATTTCTTACTCATCCAACAGGGTTTGTGTGTGTGTTTAAAAACATGGAACATTAAAAAATATACCACAGGAGACAAAGAATCTACAATGCCATTTATCTCTTAAAAATAAAAAAGATTGCCACCTCAGTTATGAAGCAATCTTTTACAAATGTCCTCCTCTTTTAATTGAAAATGCATTGTAGGTGGAGATCACCACTTTTCTGCTGTTTCTCTAACCTCTTCTTGCCTGAAGGCCTGCAACTTGTGAATTATTTAACAATCATATTTGCAGCTGAAAATTGATTTCAGACAGAATCCATATTGATTGAGATATGCAAGAACAATGTGTTTGGGGTTAAGATGCTGACTTATCTTTATTGCAAGGAGTCCTGAATTAGTACCTTTTTATTTCAGTCTTCCATCATAATGCAGTAATTAGTCGACATTTCTGTTCAGATGTTTATCTATGAGGCCAGAATGAATAAATGTTTTATATCAAAACTCCTGGATGTCTGCATTTTTGTCCAGCTGTCTATAACCTCATTTAGAATGGCTAATGGCCACATTCCACAGGATTGTGCACTGTCAAACAGTGGTTCTACTGTCCCAGTGCTGGAAATAATTGCATTGTTCCAGCACCAAGAGCTGAATCAATTTGGACTTCGAATTATGAGCTGATCCAATGGTTAAGAAAAGCCCTGCTGGATCACACCAAAGTCTTAACTAGTTTAGCATTCTTCTCCCACAGTGGCCAAATGTCACAGTGAGAGCCAGTAGTAAATAGCACTGTTCAAAGTTGGAGTTAACTCTTTATTAGCAAAAACACAATCTTCACAGACTTGGCTGAATGTCAGGCATAATGAGCACAGCAGCTCATCCCCAGTAGGTCTTACCCCATGAATCAGTTGCTGAGACTGTCCCCGTCTCCCTACAGCTGTTTAAGTCCTCTCTACTCCAGGTTTCCTTCCAAGCAATCAGAGACTTTGCCTGTGTGCTGCCTGCCACTGCTCCACCCATTTCAGCCCTTTTCTGCTTCTGGGAGACAGGAGGATGAGGAGGGGAGCTTGTCACAGCAGGAAGGGAAGACATCTGTGACTCTACACCAGCCTGACTCATCTCTGCCTCTTGGCCTTCTCCCCCCCACGTACCTGCTTCAGCTTCTGCCTCTGATTCTGGACTTCTCTCTGCCATACTCTCCCAGCTCACTAAGCCTTCAGCTTCCAACACATTCTCTTCCCAGTCTTCTCCCTCTTTTCCCACTGATTAATTCCTTGTTGTCCCCAGACTCTGAACCTGTTTCCCTTGGTGGTTCCCCAACTGGTTCCTCCCACCATTTCTCCACGTCCAACCAGTCCATGATACTAACCATATTCATATGGACCACAATACCTCAAGAACTGCCTCTCTCTATAAGAATGTACCTGGACCCTGTGATCATCATCTGAGGCCCTTCTTCATACGCCTCCTCCACAAGAGGTCTGGCTCCCAGTTTGTGGAATGCGCTTCCTAGGGAGGTCTGGCTGGTGTCTTCATTATTCACCTTTAGGCACCAGGTGAAACAGTTTCTCTTCAACCATGCATTTACCTAATTAACATCCTATGCTTCTAGCCAGGATGGCTATGCTCTGCCTCCATGGAGGAGGAATGCTTCTGAATACCAGTTGGGAACCACAGGAGGGAAAAGTCCTCACATCCTACTTGCTGGTTTTCCACAGGCATCTGAGTGACAGCTAGCCTCATCCAACAGGCGCTTATTATGTTGTGACCTCTGTTTTTCAGTTTAAGAAGAGAAGTTAGCATTTCTAAATGCAAATCTCCCAGATCATGCCTATTTTGGCCCCAAGTTACAACTACTGTAACCTTTGCAGTATTGTACATCTTGTTGACTAGCAATTCTCCTTTGTAGCTCCAGTGGTGCAACAGGACTTACATTTCCTCCCCCCCCCCCCCCGTGCACCTCCAAAATCTGCTCCAGAGTGTCCCCTAACTCTATGGATCTGGTTTTGTGGGTGTATGGGGGCTGAAGGGGAAAAGGAAGCTCCATTGCATGCATGGAAGCCTGTTGCACCAGCAGAGCTGGATACAACCATATCGTTCTATAAATTTTAAAAATACAATATGGAATTACTTAAACTTTCCATCTGGAAAAGGGCATTCATGGTCAATGATCTATTTTTATTTCTGCCCTCTTAGTTTTCCAAGATGCCAAAATTACAAAGATATGTCCTTCAAAGTTTTAGTCTATAGGCACTGAATTAGCATTTTCAATTACTTTCCTTCAGTGAAGTCTACTTTTTATTTATTTAGCTAGGAAGAGAAGGAAAAGCACTTCACAGTCAACTTTTCCTTTTCTTTTCACAGATTGTTTTGCACATGGCAAAGCTAACTTTCATGAGAATGATGTATTAAATGATAAAGCAAAAAAGAAATCCAAATGGAGTTTAAACATTTATGATATATGTTTAAACTGTTGACTACATCTGTTTTAGTTAACAAATTTGTTTTGTGTCACTCTTAATCAGAAGACTTATATTTTTGTTTCTATTATTGATTTTGCAGCCATGCCAGTTAATGCTATTATCTTGGACGGTACATTCAGAAGTTACCCTTCCAGACATTTTAAATAAAAACAGACATCAATTGGGATCTCAGAAATGAAATAAGATGGTTATATAAACTTGAAACAGCAACCATGTTAGTATATCATGTATTCCTTCTTCAAATGACCTATCCTTTTCCTATCCTTTACTTTGAAAATACAATGATTGGGACAAATGAAGGACAAAGAAAAGCTATTTTTTCTGCAAACAGGAGTGTATAAAATAAATGAACTCAAGGGCAAAACGTTTCACATAAAACCCTCTGGTATACCAATTGACAAAAAGACAAACATAAGCATTGCCATCTTTATTCAGGTCAGTGGGACAACACGATTATGAAAAATGAGTGAGTACTCAATAAGCAGCAAAGGGTGCAGTCCTGCGCACCCAGCATTTGTCTGTGGTCAAATGGGTCTCCATGGGGGTTCGCAGAACCCTCACTTCCCTACCACTTTTGCATGGGTGAGTTACAGCTATATTTTCCTGTTCTATCATAGCCAAACACAATGCTCCAATCAGGAGCTTTTACTTCTTTCTACAGAATAAAGAGACAGTCCACTCATCCTCAGGCTTATGTGCACAGGTTGCCTGAGGCAGAGGTGACTGGGGGGTGGGGTAACCAGGACCAGATTGTTAGGAGCTGCTGATACTGGTGCCTTCAGATCTGTTTGTAGCTTCTTCATGTGGTAAGCCACAGAGTTGCAGGTTTTATCAGCTGCCTCAGCAATTATATGCTATCAGGCCCTGGATCTGCCTAACCAAGTTGATCATTGGCTATTCCTGGACAGGAAGGACTATAAAACAATCCTTGTGTGAGTTAAACCTTGCCTGAGCAATGAAGTCATCCTAAGCTCTAGTTTGTACATCCTTTGATTTGTCCTTTGGTTTGCTTCTGCCTTCTGGTCTATTCTTCAACCCTGCCTTCTGGCTTACTGAATCCTCCCTTGTCCTCAGCTATGATTCATAGTTTCTTCCTTGACTTTAACCTCCTGGCTCATCTTGAGCCACTGCCCATGGATCTGCCATGAACTGACTGCTCGATCATCCTACTCACAATGTTGAAGTGTGCATGCTTGAGAATATAAGAATGGCTGTAGCTCACACAGAATAAACACAGCAGGAACACTAAAAACACCAAGAGCCATGCAAACCAAGAACCATGCTGTAACTGGCTCTCTAGAGGTACAAAATGCTGAGGAACAGGGTTACAAAAATAACTTAATAGGACTTTAAAAAAATGATTTAAAAAACATGCCATGTAATAAACACTTCTAAAACTTTCTTGAAACTTGTCACATTTGGGGATGAGTGTTTTTAAAAGCTGCTTTTTAAAGCAAACAAACAAACAAACAAACAAACATTATATCCAAACCTCTCTTGGCTGTATGGAAGTAGTTATAACAATTCTTTGGATCTGGGCAACAATTTTTCAAGATCAAGATCTGTTGAGGTTAATTACTGTTCAAATTCCAGGAATGCTGTTGTTCTGCTCTAGGTTCATTTTTATATTGTCCTACAGGGTTCCTGATATTCCAATTCTGCTGTCTTCAGCAGATTGAATGGCACAGCAAAGCAAGCTAGAATTCTTTATTTGACAAATCTTTCATAGGAAGCAGGACAAACCAATGGATTTCCATATTTCCTACAGTTTAAAGCCAGGTGAAAGGCTACAGTGACCTTTCATAATCCATATTTGCTAGACTTTTTACTTCATTTCACTGCCTCCGGTGGACATTTTGTAAAGTTGACCTTTAGTAACTGTAATCTAAATTAAATTTGTCCCTGGAATATTCATGGTCACATGACATCATATCAAATACAATGCTTTTCAGTGGTTTGTTGTTTTTTTTTAAAAAAAACTGATTGTGCCTCAAATTGTAACACTGAATCTGAATGCTTAAGGAACTCTCCTTGTTTAGCCAATGTGAGGTGTACTAAACTTGTAACTACATCATTTTCGAAGGATAGTAAATGCTTTCTAATGCTTAAGAATCTTCTTTTCAAACATGAGAATAAGCTCCTCTGAATTCAATAAGGCTTACTTCTCAGTAAGCATAGTTAGGAATGAAAATCTGATATCCCAGCAACTTCATTATTATTTTACAAAATTGTATGCAATCCTCTACAGCACACTGTAAGCCATTTTAACCATTTCAAAGCGTTTTATAATAGGGCATTGGCAATCTATTTTTCTAAGAAAAATGTGAAAAAGTTTGTATATGCAAGCTCAAAGATGTTTTTATGGAAAGATCCCTGAAATATGTCTTGTTGTCTAGTACTTTTGGAAGACTATATACATTAGTCTAAATTTGTTTAAAAACTAGCTATCTACTTGCAAATATTTCACAGTGCATCCTTTTGCACTTGCAAGTATGTCACAGAGCATCCTTTTACCCATAAAAGAAAGTCAGAATGATAGTAGACCAACATGGCTTTCCCCCTTCAACATTAAGCCAGATTGTTATATAGCCCTTATCACCTTCTGATCACTCATGGATTTCACATTTACAATACCATAACTAATTAATAGTTATGTCTGAAAACATTGGCACATGTGATTAGCAGAATGGGTCCACGGACTTAGTATGGATCATGCTACACACATTTCCGCTAAATATTTTTTTCACTGTGTTCATGGCTAAAATTATATTTTCAGCTTCATTGAGATTTTAAGGTCCACTTGCATTTTTTAAAAGTATTGCACTTACTCAAAGATCTCATATAATTACCTACGCAGTCTATAGTCATTCACATGTTGTAATATCCACATGACTAATTTAACACTTCTAGAATAGTGGATAGACATGGTATAAGGTTTCAAATACCTTAGTATATTCCTTGATTGACAGATTTTGTTTAGCTGGAAGAGTTTAACAGGGCTCTGTGAACTTTTTCTCCAGGTATGTGTATTGAGGGAGAAAGGATGATGAGGGACAAGGACTTCGGATATGGATGTTAAATAAACATTTATTTTTTTCTTACAACAAATCCTGACGCACTGTTCTCCTCATGTCATGGCCTGTGATGACTTGCTGTCTCCCAAGCATGACCAAATGATTAGTGGGGCTGTGTCTGTATATCTCAACAGTAATGGGGGCTCTCTTTCCATTTGCCTTGAATTGAAGTCTAAGCGCTCCATTGGTTTGTGCATTTACAGTTTGATGAATTCATTATTCTCTATCTTCTTCCCTCTCCACCTCAAGTCAGAGCTTTTGCCAAATGGCTGATGGGTGCTCTTCATATTTTGGATTGCTTTTCATTTTTTCCCCTGTTGATAATTATATGTCTTTCATTTCTACAAAACTATATGAGTATAAGGTCTTAATCATCGGTTTCAAGCGTGACTTAAATATGCATTTCATAGGTTACAAAGAAGCCAAGCTACTTATAGCCATGCTTATAATCAGGAGTGTTTTTGTGTAGGATCTCTTCAAAGAAAACATGGAATTCATATATAAAATAAAGGATAAAACTCTCTGAGCTAGTAGTGCTCTCACATGAAGGATACTATTGCTGCTAGCTAGGAACAGGCAGATCTGTCAATATTGGTTTCTTTGTTTTTCATTTTTCTAATGTTAAGTTCAGGTCACATCAGTTTGCAATTAGTTTGCAATCTCTTAATATAGACATTAGTGTATGTAATATAACATTTTGCTAAGCAATTCCCCCTTATATTATCCATTTTGTGTGTTATTTTCACTAATACATGCATTTTTTCACTTTACCCTAGCATATTCATTTTTGAACATATTATTTGTCTGGTCCTAAGTTCAATAACTTGCATCTCCAGATATTCCCACATATGGGACCCTGAAGAGCCATTGCCAAGCAATGTAGAACAGCGCTCTCCAACCTGGTGCCCTCCAGATGCTTTGGTGAACTCTTATCAGCCTCAGGAGCATAGCCAATGGCCAGGGATAATGGGAGTTGTGGTTAAAAAACACCTGAAAGGTTTGTTTTAGGTTTCTTTGAAATCTGCCTAAACAGCATCTCAAATATATGATTTGGGACTGCAGAAAGGTTTGACAAGAAGCTGGCAAACCACACTACATGGCACAAGCTGAATCCACTTCAATGGTTCTAGATCAGTACTAGTGAGCATGCTGTTGAACTACACAGCCCATCTCTCCTGCCCATTGGCAAAGCTGCCAGGGAATTGTTGCCCAACAACATTTGTAGAGTATTATGTTGACTTCCTATGGTCTAGATAAGGTAAGCAGATTTCAAATCCTCCAAAGTAGGTGAAGGAAAGGAACATTACAAATTATACCACACAACATGCTTATTTCAAAGGCCAAAGGCCAACTACAACAGACACAGATATAAGAGATTTTTCATTTTGCAAGGCAATATTGTTCAGCTCTTCAAGATTAGTTGTATAAATAATCATTAGTGCCTTATTCAAGCTATACTGTGTGTTAACACATATACCCGTATTCCTGCATTCCCTTGTAACTCCCTGAAAATCTCACCTGCAGGGACTGCTTGACTCAGCCACTACTTCTCTTTATCCAAGCTTGAACCAGAACAGGGTCGCATGCTATCTACTTGAGTTTTTAAAGAGGTATTTTCTGTCCAACTCTGAAAAAGTAAAATGCTAAGAATTATATACAGATTTAATGTGGAAGTATCCATTACCAACAAGATCAAAAAATGGATCAGGTGTTAAGTGTCTGAGGATTATTTTAGAACTTTGATTTTAAAGTATTTGGTTAAATAATTCACTAGAGCACAGTTAATACATAGAGCAAGAAGCATAAATGTTGCTGCCCCTATGCATTTCAATATACAGTTGACATACTTTATTCTAATTAAATTCCAGTGTGGTGTACTAAACTGTAAATATGTGTCCATATTGAGCCAAAACAATGACACATGTTTTGTAAAATCTCCCTTTCTCCTCTATGATGTGCACATGCATGCACACATATGCTGACTTGGTGATTATTTGGGTGGATTTATGATCTGTGGTGAATGAACATGTTCACTCATTCAGAATGAGGGCAGCAGTACTGACCTCATTCATATGTGGCAGTGTGACACAATAATGTGTAGGAATTGACTATATGATAATGTGATATAATCACAATTTGCCTACATAAGGCCTGATTGGTTGGAGATACTTCAGGAATAAATTACTCTTTTATAAGAGAAACAGAAGTAGCTATAAATAGGCAGTGAAGAATATTCATAAAACAGAAAGGGGGCTCTGTTGTTCCCACAACCATCCAGAATGCTTTATTGATAAATCTTTGACACAATCATGTGGGCATGTAATGTGCTTGCCTTTAATTCCAGGAGAGTCCCTACCTGAAACCCTGGAGAGCTGCTGCTAGTCATTGTAGCAATGCTGAGTTAGATGAACCCGTTATCTGATTCAGTATAGCAATATGGACTGGAGTGTATGAGGTTAATGCACAAACTAGAATTTGAAATTACCCAAACACCTTTCTGTCCATACTAAAGGCAAGACCCAACATAGAGAAGAGCACTGTGTTGTATCAGGGTGTCGCTTTTTGTAAATGGCAACCACCACCAGTTCCTGGCTCATGTTCTTTGGTAAACCAAGACTCTAAACCAATCCTCAGAAACTGAACTTTTCTTTCCTAAGAAAGCAATTAACTTCAGGTTGTGTTTACTCTTGCATTCTGCATACTATGAAAAAAGCCTTAGAAACTGGCTATATATCTCACATGTATTTAAAAAGGATTTCCCATTTTTTAGGAGCCATATTGGAGGCATTTGCCAGTGGAGAAAGGATTTCCATGTGTCGACAACTAGAACATGATGGTTTATTTTACTACAAAACTAGAGAGTAGAATGTCTTAATAAAATAAAAAAAAAGTTGTTGAACTCTAATTGTTTACCTCTTAATAGTTTACCTCTGAATAGTTTATTAGCCTAAAGTACCTAAAGTAATCTATTCAGTGACTAGGTTGCCACCTTTCAAACAGAATGTACAAAAGCAGAACACCTCCTCCCCCTCAAACCCTCATTAGCTACTTGTAACTCTTAAAGTAGAGAAGTAAAAATACTCAAGATAGCACTGCAAGCAAAACAACAACTTTTTGTCAAGTTAATACCACCCAATCTCTGTAAAATTCAGGCACATACCTATTATGCAATTTCACATTATCCATTACCACACTAGCCAATGATGGGGTATGGGGGCAGGGAGACATGATGATGTCACGACACAGGGAAGTACACCTGAATGTTTTTTTGAGGGATAAATGCAACATGGGACTGCCATTTTCAAAAACATTACACCCTACAGTATGAAATGGTAAAGTCTAAAATTCTATCACCTCATTTTACATAATGCATAAAACAGTTTTTCTATATCAGAGGAGAATCATGAAGTGTGAGGTACTTGTCCTTCTTGTTCCTGTCACATGATCTGTAGTCTCCCTCTCCCGTCTCCATCTTATTACTGACTATATTGAATCACTCACATTCTTTGGAACCATGAATACCAAACACGAGTGAGAACCACCCCAATACTGTATATATGGTCACTTACTTTAGGTTCAAGGATGAAACAATGTTACATTAAGAGCCTTTACTCCCCTCATGGCCCATAAAATCAACTCACTTCACTTCAAGAGGTGATAAATCATTGAAGCCCATTTCATATATTACCAATGTGGCATGGTAATATTCGTTTGCCTTCGCATTTTTCTGGGTGCTCACACACACCCTTCCCAACCTCCCAATTTTAAGTCTTGAAGACTGGCTACTGATTAACATGAAAAATAAGAAGAAGATACATTATTTGCTAGTGAAGCAACTACAAAATGATTATTGTGTAATACTGTGATAAGAGATCACCAGTATATTTTAGACAAAGTTTTCCTTCCTCCTTACAGTTGTTTGTGTTACAGTCTAAGTCTCCCAAAATGTATAATAAAGCTTCTTATCTTTTAATGCTTCTAATAATACTGTAATTCTGTATGATTTAGTACTCAGAATGTTCTAGTAGGATTTTTAATCTAGATATCTAAAAGGGTTGTAATGTGTACAGAAGTGTTACAGTGATTAAATGTACAGGACACTTGCCAAAACAGTGATGAGAATTAATTTATTATTATTATTATTACTATTAATTTTTTATTAATTAATAAATATAGTGTATGCAAAGTGCAGCTAAACTATCATGCAAAAAGAAAAAGGAATAATGTGAATGAATTCCTTACTTCCACTGGGAAATCTGTTTCTCTACAAGGTATGTATCAAGGGGACTTTAAGACTACAACAGGCAATCTTTGGATCATATGACAACTGTATGGCTAAGTTAAACTGTACACAAAAGCTAATTATAGTACCATTTGGGGAATGCACTACAGATTACATAAGAATAAAGTTATGGATTACTAGTCAAATAAAAACAAGACAGTTTTTTCTTCAGATAAAGCCTCAGTAAGGCTGCTATCCTAAGCACACTTACAGCCAAATCCTACACCCATTTACTCAGAACTAAGTTCCACAGAGTTCAGTGGAGCTTACTTCTGAGTAGCTCTGCCTAAGACTGCTGCATAAGGCTGTTACTCAGAGTTGCTACCAGACTGTGGTTATTTTGGTGTAGGATTCAATCACATACTAGCAAATTCAGATTGTGTAATTAAACCTGATCTGGTGCTCTTGCACAACAAACCTGCTCTCCCTCCCCTGAAAACAGACTTTTGGGGAAATGGAAAGTGACAGGAATTATGATTATTATTACTACTACTACTACTACTACATAATTATTATTATTAATGATGATGATATAGCGCCCTATACCTGCAGTTCTCAGAGCAGTTCACAGAATAAAATCAGAATATAAAACCACAAAATACACAATCAAAATAAAAATAACAACCCAGTAACCCCTCAACAAATTTTAAAGGGGCAGATGAATATTGGAAAGTGTGAAATAACAACGGCTCGACACAACATCCTCACAAACAAATCAAAATGAATGCTTAATCTACCACTCGTGCTGTCTAACCTCCCCACAAATGTTGTGCAAACAAATCATGATGAATGCTCAGTGAACAGATCATCTGGAAGTGACCTTATTTCGAACAAACGCACTTGGGACTGAGTAGTCAAATTTATTTTTATGCTCCAAGATGGAACCTTTTAAAAAAACCCTACTGCTCTAGCATCCAAACTTTTATGTTCTTCCTCAACTTTTAATAACATAAAAAACCCGTGGTCTAAATAGTGTACATTTATGGATAGATGTGGTTTACTTTTGCCAGAAATAATAAAAATCTGTGTTTATTTGGATGCTGAAAATTTACCTCTTTATGTAAAACTACTATGCATATTCAGCAACACACTGTCTGAGCAACCAAAGGATAAAGGAAAACAAAGCCTAACGCAACAGGACAGAACCTTTACATCCCTAGGGAAATGTTCAACTGACATTTTTTCCCACAGCAATGTTGACAAAAAAGATGGAGTGTTCTGATCTTCACATATGATCAAAACATGAAAAAAGGTGAGTCAAGAAACTCATACAACCTTTTTTCTCACTGGGGAATTGAACCTTTTCATATAAGATATTTTTACTTTGAAATGGAAATAACAGTATCTAAAAATGCTGTTTTAAAGAACAGTTCATTCTAGCATAGCTAAACACATAGCACAACACATCTACTTATACATTTCAGTATAGTCTGGTTTTTTTAAATCCATGTATTGTTTTCATTCAGAGGTAATAAGTATTGGAACATATTTCAAAATTATATTTTGGACTGATGCGCACATGAGTCTATTAGCAATTCCAGTACAGTATTAGTTTCAGGATGCCATTCTTCATGGGTAAAAATCATTTATTTAAAACATCATGTTGCTGCACAATCCTAACCCCATCCCAGTGCCAGTTAGATGATGTATAGATACCTCTCTGCCAGTCTATGCTAGTAGAGAGGAATGTCACTAGTGTGAGGTTCCACCATGACAGAAGCTCATGTTGTGCCCTAAAAGGTGCCAACAAGCAGAACCCCACCCTCGTTAGGTTTTGAGGGGTATGCAGCTTTCAATCTGCTCGATCTAAATTCTAGTAGCTCCTTCAAGAGGCATCCCTCTCCCATCTTCTGCAAACCAGTTTGAGATTTGCTAATAAATCCATTATATCCCTCTATCCACTTAAGTATTGCTATTTGATTTACTGAAGGCTGTCTTCATGCCTTTGTACATTTTGCCATCCCACTGCCATCTAAATTATTATATGTATATATTTAAAACCCTTTTAATGAAAACAGTCACCAGATTTTTTCTTCTTCTTTAAAACACTATCAAGGTGCAGAACAAATGTTAAGAGGAATCTTAAAAAAAAGTGTGGTGTTTTTTTCTGAATGCTTCGAGTAGCAAAGGTTTCCCATTATGGGTGTATTTATGAAATGAGCTCTCTCTTTTCCACTTTCCCCAGGGTTTTATCATACCTGTGCACCCCCCAATTAAAGTCGGTTGCTCCGCACTTTACGTGATTTCAGTTATGTGTGCAGGGGCCCAGAACATAACCCCCACATAAGTGGGGGGATGCTTGTATAAGGCCATCAACTTTTGAACTTGCATGATGTTCTTCAAGCATAGGTGTCCAGGTCAAAAATAGAACAGTACTTATATATCCAGGCAGATGGCTACAAGGCTAGGCATTCTGCTTTTATAAAGGTGGTGAGTAGAGACTATATTAATTAGATCTCAGATTGGTGGAGGGAAGAAACAAAAATCAAGTGTGTGTGTGTGTGTGCGCGCACACACACAGCTATTCCTGCAACAATAAAACTCTAAGCATTTCTATGGACAAAATGCTCTGTCTTCAACATCTCTAAGCTATAAGCATAAAAGTGTTGCTGTATGTAGGACTTCAACAGAGCTCAATTCCACCTAGAATCATAGAATCACAGAGTTGGAAGAGACCACAAGGGCCATCGAGTCCAACCCCCTGCCAAGCAGGAAACACCATCAGAGCACTCCTGACATATGGTTGTCAAGCCTCTGCTTAAAGACCTCCAAAGGAGACTCCACCACACTCCTTGGCAGCAAATTCCACTGTTGAACAGCTCTAGGACATGGACTCATTTTGTGGGAAAGTGACTTAGCTCCTCGCCTCAGATCCTATTTGTAAATTAAAATAATAATGATTTATAGCTCAGGATGAGATACTTGGAAAAGAGTGTGATAGAAATGTAACAAACAAAAAAAATTTAAGGAAAACAAAATCCAATTGGACTTGTAGTAGCCAAAGTTGTGTGAAGAACAGAATGCAAATTCCCTATTAAAGTTTGCAAATTTAAACAACTACCACCTCTTTGAGACCCTGTTAAAATATGAAAAACAGAAGCATTCTCCAGTAGCCTTTAACTCAGGAATTGAGCTGGGGTGTAGGTTTAAGGGTACATGGTGAATTTTCTAATAGAATATTGGCAGCAAGAATAACTATAAGGAATGCCCAAAGGGACTGTAGAGAAGACTTAGTACTGAGACACATCTAGCTTCATAAGTGACAGAACTGAAATGAATTGAAGGTGCTGGATCCACGTGATCCTATAATGGGATGGATGTGAAAACAATAGGAGAGTAGAAAAGGTGAGATACCCCATGATGTTTTACCTCCTGTGAAGAAAAGAGACAAACACTCCATTCTACACCCTGGAAAACTCCACCTTTCACCTGTATGCAGTACTCTCTTCCTTTTCACAACAATATTTTATTTAAAAATCCCTCTAGAAGCTCACCTTGTATTTGGAAACAAAAATTGCTTCTGTTTGGTAGCCTGTGAAGCGTGATGAAGACACGGGTGTTAGATGATCGCTAAAAAGGTACTAAATGTTATTGCAAGACATACTTCTATCACTGATTTAACTACTATGATGCCTGTGCATTTGTATTGGAAATAAAATTGCAGAGAGATTTAGTTCTCTACCCTTAAGCAGCCAGTGTTTTGAACTGGGGTTCTCCCCAGCCCCCAAGCTACTTAAATTATTATTATTATTAAATAAAGTAGAATATCCCTTGTATAACTGAATTCATTTTGTGAATATTTACTTAAATATTGCCTTAAATGTATCTTCAAGACTTCATAAGAAATTTTTCACCTGCCAAAAAAAATGACATTAAAAGCATGTGCTTGAAAAAGCTTATGATTGTTTATTTATCTAACCAAGGGATACAAACAATACAGCGACAACATTTTGAACTCTAGGATTAACAATGTAGTTCATCTCTACTCCACACACCCCACAAGGAGAAGTTGTTAATTAGATTTGAAATTAAATTAGTAATATGGATAGGAACCTTTTTTATCTTGTATTTTTATGCTGTGAAACACCTTGTGGTCTATTGAGGAAGGAGATATACAAAGTTTAACAACAACAGTGCTGAGACTGTACTGGAAACTTCAACTCAAAGCATTGAACATAAACTCCAAACAAAATATGCTGAACTATAATTACTAATCAGTCACAAACATCTCCCCTAATATGTATTGGTAACACCCAAAGCAAACTTTAGAAATTTGCTACCGGACCTGAAATAAGCAGGAATGAATGCAGCATATTTTCAAGGACCACAATGAAATAAGTCTTACTATAGATATACATGCTCCACAGATAATGAAGGGCACCTCTTCAAAACCTACATCCCCATGAATCTAAATCCAATCATATGTTCCCTTTATAATAGCCATCACTTTCCTTTTCTGCATAACTATACATTGAAGCACTGCTGCTGTAAAGGTCACTGGTGAGATTTCAATAAATAGCATGGTATTAGTTACATATATGACTCTCTTTTCCCTTTATGCTACATTCAATTTTGAGTTTCTTTCTATTGGGTCTTCCTTGTTTTTCTTGTAGCTGAATGTCACATTTTCCATTTGCTAGTACTATCATCTATATCCTGCTGTATAAAGAATATTTTTCCTTTCCAACTTAGAGTTACATTGTATTTACACGGAAAGGGATAAATTAACTTATTGGACGATCATCCTGATGCCACAGTTCAGTTCAGTTTTTTGGACTGAAACCACATAAAACTCAAGAAACGCCAATTTTTACCCCATTCCTTTGTTTTACAAACACAAAAGTCTTGGTGCCATAGTTTAACACTAAAAGGGTGAGCCTTAGGAAGCCCAAAGCTCCCTCTTTTGCATGGTCACCTCTACTCCTGTGTGGCTAAAATCTTGCTTTGTGTTATATGTGAACCAGGAATCCTGTTGTGTGTGGTTTTTTTAAAAAAAAAATATTTAAACAAGCAAGATTCATAACTCATAAAATGTACCGTAGTTTAGAATGTTAGAAAGTGTAAATCACAGAAAAGGATATGCACCTTTAGGTACAAATCTCACCTAGCTGAAGCTGTAGTTATTTCTCAAGCTCACACTGGACTCCTGTGACAAAATCACAAACACAATGTTCATGTTTCCATGACTTACGAAACAATATAACTTTAAAAAACCAAGTTTGTCTAAAGATATTTTTCAGTAGTCTACTAGGTTAACAAATGCCCGATTGCCCTCTGCAGTTAAATTTGAATTAAGATACTATTACAAATATGGCAGGTATCTTTATAGCTCTCAGTTGGACTATACAATTTCTGAATTTGCTTGCAAAAACTACAAAACATTGCATCTTGATACTGCAGTTTTCAAAAATGCAGTAAAATACATTCTTGTGCAATATAGTAAAACTGAAAAACCAATAAATGGCTCTAGTTATTGAGAAATTGGACAAAAATAGCCTATTGTCATTTTTTTCAAGACGGCAAATCAATAGATGATGAAAGGTTTTATTTTTTGTTACCACTGGAGTGTTGACTCTAGCAATAAGTGAGATGTTGATTGGAATTAAGGAGACAAGCAGTTGAGTGATATGCAAAATGGAACTTAATGTTTTCAAAACGGAGAGTTTGAGTGCAAACTTAAAACTGGGTTAATACACATTATCTGTCCCCAGAGAACCCCTGTAGTCCAATGAAAGATCCTAGGGATTGCCAGCAAATAATTTGAAGCAGACTCTCAAAACTGTATTTCCCAGGAATCTTTGGGAAAGCCATGACAGTTAAACTGGCATAAAATACAATAGATATGAATTTGCAGAACTATTACTATATCCATAGTGTCAGCATTAAGTTTGGTGCAGCTTCCTTCTTTGATTCCAAAACACAAAACAATCAAGATTAAAACATCAGATACTCAAGCTCAAGAAAGATGCCAAGTAGGGCACTAGCTCCTATAGTCAAGCACAGATGTGTTCAATGGAAAATAAGCCAAAGAGTACTGGTTAAGCCACACATTTCACATGGCGCTTCTGATTCTGCCTGTATAAAAAGACAGGGTTCAAGATTTTCCAAAAAGTGGGTTTCATCCCTCTGGCATCATTGAAAAAGCATAGGACCACTAGCCCTGATCTACTCCAGTCTTGCATAGTTACTTAGAAGCAAATTTCATCAAATTGGATGGAGTTTACTTTTGAATTAAAAAAAAAGCAAAAGAGAACAGATACAGATGTTATGCTTATTTTTTTAAAATTGCCCAATCAGCACTCACCTTAGAATTCTAAATTAAGACTGAGCCAAATGGATAAGGTGAGTTTAATATTTTCAGTGTCAAAAGGCACAGTGTCCCTCTATCAGCATTTTTATTTTACCATTCTAATTATTAAACAATTTGATTACAATTTCAAAATACAAAGATCTAAAGACTAAATTGATCAAGCTATAAATATACAAATGTTATGTAAATATTAAACACATACTATACAAAACATTCTACATTACTCAATATAATATCACCAAATCAATCATTTTGACCACAGTCCTAAAGCAGGTTACTTAAATTGAGCCTATTTCATATACATCTGAACCTCAATAGTACCACCAACAATTTAAGAGCCCTGCTTGATCAGACCAAAAGTCCATCTAGTCCATTATGCTGTTCCTACAGTAGCCAACCAGATGCAACGGGAAGCCTGAAAGGTAGACATGAGTGTAACAGCATGCTTCCCACTTCTGATTCCCAGCAGCTGGTATTTAGAGGCATACTGCTTCTATCAGAGGTGGTAGAAGATAGTCTTATCCTCCATTAATTTGTCTGATCCTATGTTAAAACCATCCAAGTTGGTGGCTACCACTACAACTTAATTGTTCTCATTCTTTGTAGAGTGACCAAACAAACAAAAAATACACGTAAACATTTCATTCAATAGCCTTAAATTTGAACTCAGCGACATCACCATGTTCACTATCTGCCAATTACTTATGTTCTAGATTTCTATATCCCATAGATCTGGTATGGGGAACCTTTGGCCCTCCAAAAGTTGCTGAGCTAAAATTTCCATTACCCGTGGCCACTGGCCATGCTGGTTGGGACAGATGAGAGTTACAGTTCAGCAACATCTGAAGGGCCAAAGGTTGCCCACACTAGTCTATGGAGTCACTTATGAAGACCTGACCGCAATCTGAATGGGTTTCATTTTCCCTTTGTAATGTCAGTAGTTCACCAATAATCATGACATCATCATGTTCACATCATGAATACAGTACATGAATCACACTCAGGAAAGAGAAATAAGCTCTGAAGAAGAAAGACAGTTGCTAAAGTAGCAGATAGTAGAAGCAAATGTTGCTAACAACTTAAAAATATGAATAATGATTTTTGGGAAAATATATGGGACTCACGCATCCACTAGAAAGCTATTTTTGAAAAGAAAATTGAAACAGGGGAAAAATCAGTGTGTTCCTGTTGAGAATAAGACTGTGCAAATGAATAGATGCTTAGTGGAGTACAAAATTAAGTAATAAGCAAGCACAGCCTGTCCCAGAATAGTCTATCCTTGACAGTTGCCTGTTAACATTTCCTGAATCAGATTTCAAAGTGCAAGTATTAGGTTCAATTAGTAGAAAACATCCCCAAATGCTAGGGATCTTGACACTGTAAGGTATTTTTCCCCTAGGAAGGAAGCCCACTATTTGCCAAAAAAAGAAACTTTCCTCTCAAAGCCAGACAAAAATTTATACAGCTGTTTTAAAATCTTATTCAAAACATGTAGAATACAATATGAGTATATTCTAAAAGAACACTGGACAAATAATTTGCTTACAGCAATCTTTTGTCTTGGAGATTCTGCAATTTATCTGCAGCTCTGTAAATAATCTGAAGATATACTGGCCCTTAGCATAAAAAGGATTGATGTCTGCATAATGCTGAGCAAAGGCTTGGAGCCCCAAACCAATTGCTCAGAATCTGAACTAAAATGATTTGAGCATTATCTACAGTTTATGCTTTACATTCAACAAAAATGCAAAGATAATATAAAATTTTGGTGATGATTTTATTTCAAGTTACAGGTGTACACAGTATTCCGTCAAATCAAAAAGTGAGCATTTATGTACAATTTATAATATGTAATTCCAGCATGATCTTACAAATATTCTTGTGCTGGGAGAGTGGTAGTTGTGCAGCTGTAGCTAAAACAACTTTTCTGTCCAGGAGCCATGATTACCGCACTTAAAATGAGTCTGCCAATGCTGAATCAAGTCACATCCTCGTGGTGTGGAATGAGCACATATCTGTCAAACTATAGGGAAGAAAACCTTAAAAGTCTAGATTGGGAAGGGAAACTCGCTATCAGAAGGGGAAAACAGAATACAATGGTGTTGGCATTAGCAATTTTGACCTGGGTAGCATGCCCTGCATCAATTTAAGTCCAGGAGAGGCCACTCACCAACTTTGGAATTATTCAGGAAGTGTTTCAGGGGTCTGAAAAATACATCCTGAACAAGGAGTGGAAATGCCATAGGACTGCACTGTCATAAATAGCTTCTTATGCAATAATTAAGTCCTAAGAGCAGTGCTTTTTTCAGGGGGTATTCAAGGGTACGCACTACCGGCACCTCTTTTTGTTGTTGTTAAAAAGTGTGGCACTTACTGTAACAACTTCATGGTGAGTACAGGCACCTTTCTTTTCTTTTCTTTTTTAAGAAAAAAAAAGCACTGCCTAAGAGGATGGCCTATTCTTGGAATGGCTGTCATGGGGCACATGGCATAATAAAAAACGGCTCATATAAAAGAGCAGACCAAGTAACAGGAACACAAATGGTGTGGGCATGTGCATTTCCCACAACCTGTCCCACATCAAAGGAAAAAAGACGCCTACATCAGCCACTGCTGTACTTGCTCACAGATAGGCCTTTGCATCTCTCCTCTGTTCAGAATGGAAGGGAGGGTGTCCACTCCTGGCATCCAATAAAATGTAGGCATATTTAAGGGTGGTATCAGTGTAGGGCTGTGGATGCAAAGGCTAAAGCAGGAAGTGCAATCAATCTCTTGTGCATTGCGTATGTCTGAAGGGATATTTACTGAGACATTTTGTGGCACCACAGGAGGTAGTGGCATGAACACTTCAGCACTAGTGGTAACTTAATTCATGAATGAAAAGGTTCATCAACTCCTGCTTAGGTGCATATGCCCTCACACTACACCACCAGTTCAGCCTTCAAAAACAACACTGTGGTTAAGACAGGTAAATGTTTGTTTAGTTTAATTCGTACACTCATTTTTCTAACCTAAGTATCCAGTAAAAGTGGCCTATAGTATCATGAAAGACTATAATATTTCAAAATATAAGCAATGAAAACAGCAAACACAGAAGAGGGAAAGAATGGGAAAGATGGGTGGAAAAGGCTCTTTCGTTCTTTACCAACAGAACTTCAGATAAAGGAGGTGACATGAAAGGCCTTAACATCTGTGCAAATTCCAGAACTTTCATGAAAAGCCTGTCTTATTAGGTTGTCTTAGTTCCAACTCAGAAAGGCAAGTAAAAACAAAAGATTATAATTTTGTTTCAGCTTAGAAATAAACCAGATGGGGATATATGTAGGATGAAGTGAGTGAAGGCCGTCACGAGAAAGTATTATAAAAAAAGTCACCAGGTACTGCTTCAAGAACCTGCCGATAAGCATCTTAAATCATAGTAAATTACACATTGCATGCCGGTGACTCGGTCATGGGAAATTATGGAGCTACGTGATGTCTCATTTGTTGTGCTGAAAACAAATGTAAATAAATTACTGCAAGATTCTCATTTACATTTAGGAATCCATCCCGATGCATGACATGACTGCTGATTTTATCCCCCTTTTAATGACATTTTGAGAAAAAGTAACATTCACTGAAAGGAAGATTGTCATGATCATAAGAAGTATTTGATTTCTGGTTGGGCAGTCCAAATGAAAAAGAGAATAACAGAGAGGTCACCTCCCCCTACATGAGTGTATGTTTAGGACAACCTTTCCCAAAGTGCTGTCCTCCAAATGTTTTCCCATCAGCTCCAGCCAGTATTAGGCTGGAGAAGGTGATTTAGGAAATCGTGTAGTCTTGTGACTATTTGCCTGTGTGTGTGCTTGTTCTACGGTAGAAGGCAGAATGTTAGCTAACATGCATTTAAAATCAAAGAGAAAGGCAAATAATAGAAATTGGTGCAGGTTTTGTAATTTTGTTTTCCCTCTTTACTCTCCATTTTCACCCTAAAACAAATATATTGCTTTTATTGTATCACTCTTCTGCACTTTTAAGATGCCTCTTTAAGGTGGTTGAAGACTACACATTATTCACTTTATTTATATAATCTTACCTTCTTCCTTCTCTTCCTGCAAGAGGTTCGAAACAGTTCGCTCTCAAGAAACTCTCAGAAAAAAAAACAATCCTGTTCAAGCACCGACCAGCTTCAGACCCACAACACATGCCTTTAGACTCTCATTCATAGAATCATAGAATCATAGAGTTGGAAGAGACCACAAGGGCCATCGAGACCAACCCCCTGCCAAGCAGGAAACACCATCAGAGCACTCCTGACATATGGTTGTCAGCCTCTGCTTAAAGACCTCCAAAGAAGGAGACTCCACCACACTCCTTGGCAGCAAATTCCACTGTCGAACAGCTCTTACTGTCAGGAAGTTCTTCCTAATGTTTAGGTGGAATCTTCTTTCTTGTAGTTTGCATCCATTGCTCCGTGTCCGCTTCTCTGGAGCAGCAGAAAACAACCTTTCTCCCTCCTCTATGTGACATCCTTTTATATATTTGAACATGGCTATCATATCACCCCTTAACCTCCTCTTCTCCAGGCTAAACATGCCCAGCTCCCTTAGCCGTTCCTCATAAGGCATCGTTTCCAGGCCTTTGACCATTTTGGTTGCCCTCCTCTGGACACGTTCCAGTTTGTCAGTGTCCTTCTTGAACTGTGGTGCCCAGAACTGGACACAGTACTCCAGGTGAGGTCTGACCAGAGCAGAATACAGTGGCACTATTACTTCCCTTGATCTAGATGCTATACTCCTATTGATGCAGCCCAGAATTGCATTGGCTTTTTCAGCTGCCGCGTCACACTGTTGGCTCATGTCAAGTTTGTGGTCAACCAAGACTCCTAGATCCTTTTCACATGTACTGCTCTCAAGCCAGGTGTCACCCATCTTGTATTTGTGCCTCTCATTTTTTTTGCCCAAGTGCAATACTTTACATTTCTCCCTGTTAAAATTCATCTTGTTTGTTTTGGCCCAGTTCTCTAATCTGTCAAGGTCGTTTTGAAGTGTGATCCTGTCCTCTGGGGTGTTAGCCACCCTCCCAGTTTGGTGTCATCTGCAAATTTGATCAGGATGCCCTTGAGTCCATCATCCAAGTCGTTGATAAAGATGTTGAATAAGACCAGGCCCAAGACAGAACCCTGTGGCACCCCACTAGTCACTCTTCTCCAGGATGAAGAGGAACCATTGATGAGCACCCTTTGGGTTTGGTCAGTCAGCCAGTTACAAATCCACTGAGTGGTAGCATAGTCAAGACCACATTTTACCAGCTTCTTTACAAGAATATCATGGGGCACCTTGTCAAATGCCTTGCTGAAATCAAGGTAGGCTACATCCACTGCGTTCCCTTCATCTACCAGGCTTGTAATTCTGTCAAAAAAAAGATCAGGTTAGTCTGACATGACTTATTTTTCAGAAATCCATGCTGACTATTGGTGATCACAGCATTCCTTTCTAGGTGCTCACAGACTGTTTGCTTACTGATCTGCTCCAGAATCTTCCCTGGTATTGATGTCAGACTGACTGGGCGGTAATTATTTGGGTCCTCTCTTTTCCCCTTTTTGAAAATAGGGACAACATTTGCCCTCCTCCAGTCTGCCGGGACTTCGCCTGTTCTCCAGGAATTTTCAAAGATGACAGCCAGTGGTTCTGAGATCACATCTGCCAGTTCTTTTAATACTCTTGGATGCAGTTCATCTGGCCCTGGAGACTTGAATACATCTAAACTAGCCAAGTATTCTTGTACTATCTCCTTAGTTATTCTGGACTGTGTTTCCTCTGCTGAATCATTTGCTCCAAATTCTTCAGGTCGGGCATTGTTTTCTTTATCGGAGAAGACTGAGGCAAAGAAGGCATTGAGGAGTTCAGCCCTTTCTGTGTCCCCTGTTTGCATTTCACCATCTTCTCCTCTGAGTGACCCCACTGTTTCTTTGTTCTTCCTTTTGCTACGAACATACCCATAAAAGCCGTTTTTGTTGCTTTTAACCTCTCTAGCAAGCCTGAGTTCATTCTCTGCTTTAGCTTTTCTGACTTTGTGTCTACACGTGCTGGCTATTTGTTTGAATTCCTCTTTGGTGGTTTCCTCCCTTTTCCATTTTTGTACACATCCTTTTTAATCTTAACTCAGTTAAAAGTTCTTTAGATAGCCACCCTGGCTTCTTTAGGCACCTTCCATGTTTCCGTCTCATTGGTATTGCCTGACGTTGTGCTTTTACTATCTCCCTCTTAACAAACTCCCAGCCATCATGAACTCCCTTTCCTTTTAGTATTACTGTCCATGGGATCTCACCCAGCACTTCCCTAAGTTTTATGAAGTCAGGTTTCTTAAAGTCAAGAAATTGAGTCCTAGTATGCTTGGCTGCTCCTTTCCGCTGTATAGTAAACTTCAGAAGAGCATGATCACTCGCGCCTAATGATCCTTCCACTTCTACCCCACTAACCAGGTCATCAACATTGGTTAGGACCAGATCTAAAATGGCTGTTCCTCTTGTTGCTTCTCCCACTTTCTGGAAAATGAAGTTGTCTGCAAGGCCAGTGAGGAATCTGTTTGACCTTATGCTCTTGGCTGAGTTTGACATCCAACAAATATCTGGGTAATTGAAGTCCCCCATTACTACTATCTCCCTTGGCCATCTGTTCCAGGAAGGCATCATCTATGTCCTCCGTTTGGCTTGGGGATCTATAGTAAACTCCCACAATGAGGTCACTGTTATTCTTCTCTCCCTTAATTTTGACCCAAATGCTCTCACTTTGGCTTTGAGGTTCTAAATCTTGGATCTCTTCACAGGTATACACATCCCTGACATATAACGCCACTCCTCCTCCTTTCTTGTCTGGTCTGTTTCTCTGAAATAGATTGTATCCCTCCATTATTACATTCCAATCGTGGGACTTATCCCACCAGGTTTCAGTGATGCCTATTATGTCATATTTAGTTTGCTGTACCAAGAGCTCAAGCTCATCTTGTTTATTTCCCATGTTTTGCGCATTAGTATACAGACCATTAATCCATTAATCCATAAGTCCATTAATCATTCCCCCGTGTCTCTTATTTAAGGATTTTTTCCTCCCAGCACTAGGTCTGCGTGCTGTTTGCTCCATTTGGTCTATGACATTTGGATGATCATCTTCATCAATTGATAGACTCCTACCTTCAGGAGCACTGTCTCCCTCCCCCACATTAGTCAGTTTAAAGCCCTCCTGATGAGGTTTCTGAGATTTTTGGCAAAAACATTCCTCCCAACCGTTGTGAGGTGCAGCCCATCGCTTGCCAGAAGTCCATCTTCAAGAAACTGCAGTCCGTGATCTAAGAATCCAAACCGTTCCTGTTTACACCATTTGCGAAGCCAGCTGTTCACTTCCACTATTTTTCCCTCTCTCCCTGAGCCACGTCGTTCAACTGGGAGGACAGATGAGATGACAATTTGTGCATTTAATTGCTTCAATTTCCTGCCCAGAGCCTCGTAGTCTCTTTTGATCTTCTGGAGGCTATTGCTTGCAGTGTCATTGGTTCCCACATGAACCAAGAGGAAGGGGTATTTGTCAGTGGGTTTTATGATTCCTTGCAGTCGTTCAGTTACATCTTGGATCTTAGCCCCAGGGAGACAGCACACTTCCCGAGACATCTTGTCAGGCCCACAGATCACTGCTTCTGTTCCCTCAGTAGGGAATCCCCTATCACCTCTACACGCCTCCTCTTAGGTTTGGTCGGGTTCTTCCGTGAGCTGTCCGTTCCAAGGTCACCTGCACATTCCCTGAGGACTGACTTTGCTGCTCGTCTTCATATACCTGATCGACTGTAATGAGGGAGAGATCCTCAAATGGAGTCTGCTCTTCGTCTTCCATGCTAGGGAGAGGACCTCAAAGCGACTGTGTATTTCTAAACAATCAGAGCGAACCCTGGGCCTCCTACTTCTTTGAGTCACGTTTCTCCATATATCTGGCTCCTGTGTTGGTGAACTAGCCTCCTTCTCAGGGGAGTCCCCTGTCTCCTCCTTGGTGGAGACGGTGTGCTCCGTTGCTTCCAAGAAGAGCTCCAGCTCTCTAATTCTTTGGAGCGTAGCTACACGTTCCTCCAGTTGCTGGACTTTGTCTTCTAAGAGGGCAATCAACATGCAATTGCTGCAGGTAAAGCTGCCTGCAACCTTTGGCAAGATGGCAAACATTGCGCAGGAACCGCAGGCGACTGCAGCTGTTCCCTCCCCCTCCATCGTGAGAACGTGTCGTTGGGGATGGCTACAGCCAGCATAAAAAGCGAGAAGACAGGACAAGTAACTCCCCTCCCAAAAAACCTAGGTCTCCCCCAACAAACGTTTGAGACTAGCTCCCCTAAATCTAAAAGATGGATCAAACTGCGCGCGCCGCTAGAAAACCCTTTTTGCTCCTTCTTCAGCTGCTGCCCTGCAAGCTCTGATAAGCTCCTCCCACAGCTAATCACCTGCCTCAACAGAAACCCTGCCCCTCTGACCTTTGCACAGGGAGAGCAGCTAATCAGCCACAAAGAAACACACACACAAGAAAACCCTTTTTGCTCCTTCTTCAGCTGCTGCCCTGCAAGCAGCAGCTTGCAGGGCAAGAGATGCCAATGACATAGAAAGTTAAAGCACCACAGTTAATCAAACAGGAGGAGTAAGGAGTAAGGTGGTCAGATGCCAAGGTAGGACTGGAAGACCTAGGCATATGTAACCTTCAATCTTGGGACAGAAGAGAAAATTTCAAGAGTTTGGTCATCCTGCATGACAGAGTACATCTCACCAAAAAAATCACGAACCTCTTCTGTCCAATTAATCAAGCATGGCAGTCCTGTTCTCCTTTGTATCTGGCTACCCTAGCCATACAAATGAAGACAAAATGCAACAAATGTTTTTAAAAGCCTGTTGTCCCCCTAGACAGAGTAAATACAAAACTGCAAAGAAATGGACTTATTTATATTGTCACTCCCTGTGCTGCCCTAGTAACAATACTATGCATACTAAACAAGCATGCTTTAAAAAGGAAGATGCTGGCTTATAGATAGAAAAGCCAATGCCAAGAAGATCCCGGGGGTTCGATTTCTGATACTGTCGGTCCATATTTGTATGTCCAACAGATACTACTAAAAATAGTCTAAAGATAAAAGAAAAGTTTTCCAAACGGGGGAATGCTGCAATGTTCTGCATCCCTACATGTGGCAGTGTATTTACATAAGCCTGACTAGGTCAGGAAGTTTTTTTTTAAGGGACAAATAAGCAGGCCATGAAATAATTATTTTTCATTGTGCCCTGCCAAACCTACCCAGCCAAGGGCTAAATTGAGCTGCTATTGTGATTATTTGAACTGTGGAGCCAAAAGTCCTCACTGCAAAGCATCCCAGCTGTCCTAAATTTTATGATGATGGCGAATTTTCATGTTGGTTTGAACCCTGCCAAAAACATTCCACAAAAAAACAGGCAGGCTGGATGCCTGTTTTATCCTGTCCTGTATTAATTAACGATCTACAGCTTTCCTGAGAACTTTAAACTTTAAACAAATCACTTCCGGAAAGATTCACATGCTTTTATGCATATGGATACAGCAAACCAAATTAACATCAAGAGCCCTAACCAAATCTGCAGTTGTTGTTTTTCCATTCTATTCCACAGTACACTGAAAGCTTAAAAGCATAGTGGGTAGAACCAACACCGGCCTAATAAAGAAAGAGATTTATTTATTACTTATTTAGTAGAATTTGTATACAGTTTAATTATAAAACCTCTAAGAGGTTTACATAAGGTTAAGGCTGCAAACGTATAACTCCCTTATGTGGGAGAAAGTGCCATTGTCTTATTTCTGAAAAAACAGCATGCAGACTATGCATCCAGCTTGCATATTACTGTATATTGTACCCAATGCACCCAAGAGTGCCTACTGAAAACAACAATGGCATATTAAGAAGAAGAATACACCAGGGTGCAATCCTACATACATTTACCTGGGAGCAAACCCCACTGGACACAGATGGTGATCCGTAATTGTCTCAGTATAGAAATATGGTTACTACTTTGGAATGTAGCAAAGATGCCATCTGTGGAAGGAGTTCATATTACAAAAGGTGTAAAGAGAGCCATGCTGTTAAAAATTTATCAAAAGATGGTGTTTGTTTATAAATAACAGTATTGAAACTTTACATTTTAAGGTAATATTCAACCAGATGTTTTGTTCAAAGTAATTTTTACAATTTACTGATGTGATCTTTTCTATCATTGTTAGCATAATATACCCGTCATGAATATATATGTTCTTATTTGGAAAATAGTTTTTAAATAATAATATTAATTACAACTGATTTAAAAATATCAGTAGATGAACTATTTGCCAAGGTTAGAAAGCAGGGGTTTACAAGACACTTAATAAAAATTAAGCCTTACAATGTTAGGAGAATGTATCTGTTTGCAAGCAGCAGGTTTCATTCCAGGTTTACACAACTTGCAACCAACCATGCCAAATACAGCCAAGATCCACATATTGTAGCTCCCAGATTCTTGACAATGCATGTTTTTTGTGATCCCACCAAGCAACAAAAGCACAAAGTTCATCTAACCCCTTAGTAGGCTACCACAAACAGATGACAAAAGCATGTGGTTGGTTGAGACGCATGTTGTGTGTTCTATGGGCTGCATTACTAGGATCCAGGTATATCTTAAATGCTGACATCTTATCCACTCTATTATGATTTATCACATGTATATACTGCCTTTTTCCAATGCACTCAAGGAGGCAGACAGTCCAACACACTATTTTCTGTTTAATAGAAGAGCCAAAATAGTTGATGGCCCTTTTTATGTTGACAAAGAATGCTGCAATGAATGTCTCACCTCTCCCTCTGATGTCACCATTTAAAATGCCCTGCTGGATCAAGTGAATGGTCCATCTAGTGTTAGATCCTGTTCTCATAGTGGCCAATCACAGGAAGCCCACAAGCAGGACACGAATGAAACATCACTCTTCAAATTTGTGATTTCCAACAACTGGTATGCAAAGGCATACTGCATCCAACAATGGAGGTATTACATAGTCGCCATAACTAGTAGCCACCCATAGCTGATAATAGACATACTTCTATGAAGAGCCAATGGGAAGAGACCAATCATTTTAGGAGCAGGAGGGATTCTGATTCAAATCTCAATTCAGCCATGAAATTTACTGGATGACCTTGAGATGACTCAACCTAACCTATCCTATAGGATTGTTGCAGGGGAAATGCGGGGAGCTGCATCCTTATATATATGAAGGAGTGAGTGAGTAAGTGAGTGAGTGAGTAGCAGCTGGTCTCTAGGCTAGCTTCACTATCATTCTGCATCTATATGGGAATGGTTTTTAGGTGTTTTAATCATTATAACTTTTATGTGTTTGCTGCCCTGGGCTCCTTTGGCAGGAAAGGCAAGATATAAACTCTGGTGGTTATTTAATTTCTATACCACTTAATATATTTAAAATATCTCTAAGTGGTGTACAGAAAACTGAAGCAACAACAGACAGCTTAAACAAAACATTACAAAAATACAGTTACACTAATACAAAGTTACTAATATTTAAATCATTATGAGTTCATTTCTTTTCTGACACACTCTCCCTCTCAGCCTCCAGGTCCTCACTCAGGGTCCAAACAAACTTTCAGCTCACCCACAAAAGTTTCACAATGAAAAGAGTTCCTGGAAACAGCAAGTATCACCCAAGTCTCTCACTCTAGACTTGCTTTTTATGGACAGGCCCAAATTTAATAATAAATAAATGCTTTTGATTCATCATCTTAGTTCAGTATTGGTGACAAGTCAGCATCCTTTCAAGCTACCTTGCCAAAAAGATCCCTGTCAGCGGTGAAGAAAATATTAAAAGAAGCAGGGGAGAGTCTCTAAGGGATCCTTCTCAAGAATAGGCCAAGCATTCTCCACCACCCCTGAGGGCGCCAGTCTTTTAGTGGGTGAAGGACATGCCACGTTGCACACACAATTACGGTATGTTCTCCACAATTGTGCTCCCCTTTATCTGCTGCCTGAGGCAGCTGTCTCATTTTGCCGAACGGTAGGGACTGCAACATCTTTGTAGTTGAAGGAAAATACAAAAGCAAAAATATTTATGGAAACAAAATTGCTTTTGTTAGCAGAGATAATGTTTTATGACTTTAAATGGATTTTACTCCTCCACCCCAATCAAGGGATACTTTGCTACTAACATAAATGTGAGATGAAATTAATTCCCATAAATGTTCTCTTCTCTACCTTTCTGCCTCAATGGGCATCATACCCTCTTGTGTTCTGCTGAGGTACTAAAGAAAACCTACCTCATGTGACCACGCATGGAGAGCATTGACCTGTACTGAACTCCACCAACCACAAAAAAAATCCCCTCATGGTCTACTGTTGGTAACCATAATTTCCCAATGTTTTTCTTTCAGCTACAGACCCACCAAATTTTAAAAGTTCATTTTCATCTAAGCCCTGCTAAAAATCATTACGAAAACCAGTGAAATACTATTAGGGACTAATAAAAGTAGTAGAGATTTAACATATAGTTAGCTCCTAATTAAGAAGCCCATGAACCCTGCAATTTACCAAAAAGAAAAAAGAAAGGAAGGAAAAAGTAAAGAAGGAAAAAGCTTTATCACCAGAAACAAAGAAGGCAGTTAAAGACCTTTTGGATAGATCCATTTTAACTAACTTGTCAAATGAATCTGCAACTCTTTCTGATGGAGAGGGGATACCTCAGCAATTTAGGTACTATTAAAAGCTTACTTTGCATTCAGCTTTGCTGAAATTGTACATTTGATGGTATAACACATACTGTTGTTCAGTTGCTGCAGTCTGATTCAAAGTGCTATAAATATGTTTGCCCTTTCTGCTAAGCCTGCCTGAGGGATTAGCAACCCCCCAAAAGTTCAGTTGAATATTAACTGCATTAACTTTGCAGACTGTAACATACTGTTATACTCAAACAGCCTACGGTGCAGTATGGATGACTTGCTTAATACAAATATTTTCATGCAAAAATGTTTTCCTGTGGCTGGACAAAAAATAAATAAAATTGCTCTGTCAAAAGGGGACGACCTCCCTCACCTGCCTTAGTAAGATCAAACAGATAAATGACTAGACCTTTTTTTAAGAAATAAAAACTGAGCAAGACTTATCTCAAGGCAGATTAACAACCAGTTTTATGGATCTTTATTGAGAAGCAGATTATATATATTTCCATGAAAATTACTCCCATGTGCATAGGATTACGTATCCCAGTCTCATCTATATATTGTTATAATTATTTCAAACATTCAAAAGAACCATTTTAAGGATACAGACAGAAGATACAACTGAAGACCAGTGCAAGGCATCAACAAACAAATCAGATATATGCATCACTCTTGAAATTTGAAAACTTTTGTTTCATTAGCAATGTTGCTAAATTTTATCAAGCATCAGAAATGGAAGCAATTCAGTGTTCAGCATTATGAAAACTAGAGAGAAATGTACAGCATCACCAGGTTTGGAGACACTTAATTTGTTTATGAGACAAGCCAAAATTCTCACTGAATTTGGCTTCAAAAACTTCCCCACCCCAATTCAATTTCTCCAAATCATAATTGTAGTAGTTATGATGGGTGTATACGCATATGAAGGGCAGCTACTCACGGGGCACAAATTAGGCCTTACCAAAATGAACTCGGCACAAAGACCCCTGGAAATTCTAGCAAGCCAGGGCTTCCCAGCCAATCAAAATTCCCAAGGATCTTTGTGTTGGCAATTTCCCTGTTGGTTAAGACTTTTAGTAGCTAATGCAGGTCAGTGGTACATCCCTTTCCTTTGTGTGCGCCCCTTCCCTACTCAAAACTGCTTAAAATAAGTATTCAGATTTATTTCAGAGATGGTTCTCTGAAAAGATGGGGAAAGAACAAGCATATTCAGAATTCAGATGGGTGGGATTCACTCATCTCTAACTGAACACTTAATTCTTTAATTGTTCTTATTGTTGTTTTTTTAAAACAAAAACAAAAAACCCTAATACCGTAACATAAGAAAGGCCTTGATATTTCAAACCAAAGACCAGCATTCTGTTCTCACAGTGGCTAACCAGAATCCTATGGGAAGCCCATGAGTGCAATATGATCCCCAGCAAATGGAATTCAGAGGCCTACTGCCTCTGATCCTCAGTGAATTTGTCTAATCCCCTTTTAAGGCCACATAAGTCTAATGCAGTGGACCCTGGTACTCCAAACAAGACCTCTTCAAGGGGAGATTTGAAACCACAGTATTAAACTAGAAATAATATCTTTCTATAAAAAGTAAGTGTGCCACCTGCCAAATAATTATCATGCCACATAAACAGCTACCATCCACAGACCTGAGGCCTACATTCTTAACTCGTCTGTTACTAAGCTCAGCTTGAGCTCAACTGTATTTCTCAAATAAATACCTATCTTTTATTTTAAAAAACTTATTAACATCTTACTGAGTTAAAAGATTGACACTATGGCTTCATATAGAAATTCTATCAACATAAAAGTACTACTTACAAAAATATATTTTCAATAGGACACCAGTGATAGGGAAACTGTTCTTAGACTACAACCCCCATAATTCCTGGCAGCTGGCCGTGCTGACTGGAGCTTATGGGAACTAGAGTCCAACAATATCTGACAGTGCTCAGGTTCCCGATTCCTGCTCTCCACAGCAATATTCAACTGGCTGGCTGTAAGTTACAAACCGGGTTTTGCTTCGTGTTGCGTGTGGGTGTGTTTTTTGGTCTTTCATTGTTTATTCATAAATTTATTCCCCACCATTCTAATGTGTCTGCACCTCTCAGGTTGACTAACAACAAATTAATTAAGGAAATCAGCAAGTCCAGATAAAAGCAAATATAACCTACTGAGATAAGGCCTCATCACATAAAGATCTTCAATCCAGCATGTCAATTGTGTAGCTGATTTAATATGTGTGTGTGTGTGTGTGCACACGCACACGCGCCTTAAAAATTCCATAGCAAAAAAAGGGCTGAATTTGTTTAATTTTATTTATTTAAAAGATTTATATCACAACTAATGGGACGCGGGTGGTGCTGTGGGTAAAACCTCAGTGCCTAGGACTTGCCGATCGTATGGTCGGCGGTTTGAATCCCCGCGGTGGGGTGAGCTCCCGTCGTTCGGTCCCAGCTCCTGCCCACCTAGCAGTTCGAAAGCACTCTTAAGTGCAAGTAGATAAATAGGTACCACTTTATAGCGGGAAGGTAAACGGCATTTCCGTGTGCTGCGCTGGTGCTGGCTCGCCAGCTGCAGCTTTGTCACACTGGCCACGTGACCCGGAAGTGTCTTCGGACGGCGCCGGCTCACGGCCTCTAGAGCGAGATGAGCACGCAACCCTAGAGTCGGACACGACTGGCCCGTACGGGCAGGGGTACCTTTACCTTTACCTTATATCACAACTACCACAACTACTACAAATTATTGCGCACCTCTCAACATAAAGTCCAAAGAAGGTCAAAACAATTCAAAATATATCATTAAAGACAGTTTCAAACAAATTACACTCAAAATAATATGATTGGTCCTAAAACTATAAAGAGGTCTTCAGTATACAAGAAAAGGTGTGTAATGAAAATATGCAAGGAAGCATAATTTAGGACTTTAAACACTAGATGGAACATCTTAAATTGAGCTCAGAAATGAACTGACAGACATTTTACAAAGCGAATCTACCAAGGTAAAATGAACTGTGCTTCAGCCACAGGTGGACCATGGAGAAGAATCTCTCCAGCAGATCTGAAGGAATCGACGGGATGATATTAGTGGGAAACAGCCTCAAAGGATACCAACAAGAGCAGAAAAGTAGCAGGAATGTAACTTAATCCTCTTCCCATCCTGCAGTTTGTTTATCAAACATTGTTATATAATAATAATAATAATAATAATAATAATAATAATAATAATAATTTATTTATTTATACCCCGCCCATCTGGCTGAGTTTCCCCAGCTACTCTGGGTGGCTCCCAATCGTGTTAAAAATAATACAGCATTAAATATTAAAAACTTCCCTAAACAGGGCTGCCTTCAGATGTCTTTTAAAGATAAGATAGCTGCTTATTTCCTTCACATCTGAAGGGAGGGCGCCACTACCGAGAAGGCCCTCTTGTCTGGTTCCCTGTAACCTCACTTCTCGCAATGAGGGAACCGCCAGAAGGCCCTTGGCACTGGATCTCAGTGGCCCACAATGTCTGCCCCCACCCCCAAAAAGATGTGTGGACTCTATTTCTTTTCCTCTGTGAGGAGAAATGTGGCTTGCTGGATCAAGCAGGAGGAGAGTGGGTTAAGAATGTTCAGTGACATTCCATTCAAGCCTCTCATAGCTGTTGTTGTGTTTTTTTAATTAAATTCAGGAGAACATTGATGCATCTACTGTGAAACATCTAATGTAGCCCTCAATTGTAAATCGACCCCCAAACTCAGAGAATTATTTTCACATGGGATTCATTTAAATTGCATACATATGAACCACTGTGTATTTTGTGATGTCAGGAGTACTAGCCTCTTGGTAAACCTTAAAAAGCATTTCTGGAAATGTGTAACTATTGTGTTGTCCATTCTCACAACTAGTCCTGATCTAAATGAAACAGGTCTGCACATGTGCTTCATGTCACAACCAAACCAAATTTCTCAATATATGTCTGCTTTTAGGGAAGAGGTTGATGGTGGCATAATCAAAACTTAGTCCAGCATAAAAAGTAAGCGCTCCCCATTCCACCCCTGTTCTTTGCTCTTTTAGGTCCAAAAAGACCCATACGTCAGCAATCAAGTGACATTTGGACATGCCTAAAATGGTTTCGCCAGTACATGGATGGATATACATACACAGAGAGAGAGACACACACCAACTGTGGATATGAGTTAATACATATGAGGAAGTGGGCTCTTAATACATATGAGGAAGTGGGCCAGTGCGGTGTAGTGGTTAAGAGCGGTAGTCTCGTAATCTGGGGAACCGGGTTCGAGTCTCCGCTCCTCCACATGCAACTGCTGGGTGACCTTGGGCCAGTCACACTTCTTTGAAGTCTCTCAGCCCCACTCACCTCACAGAGTGTTTGTTGTGGGGGAGGAAGGGAAAGGAGAATGTTAGCCGCTTTGAGACTCCTTAAAGGGAGTGAAAGGCGGGATATCAAATCCAAACTCTTCTTCTTCTTCTTCTTCTTAACTATATTTTTTGACAAGCTTTTGAAATATGAATTTTATCTTTTAAACTAATCAGTATGTGTTGATGTCTTTAATTATCGGGTATGTGTTTTGCTGATGTTATTCTAATCTGTTGTGTACCACCAGGGCTTTTGTTCAGTCGGAACTCGCTGGAACTCAGTTACAGCACCTCTCAGGTGGGCGCCATTGTCATTATAAGAGAACAAGGGAGGCGTTCATGGTGAGTTTCGACACCTCTTTTTCTAGAAAAATAGCACTGTGTACCAACCTTGATATTTTTTTAAATGAAAGTGTGGGTTATAAATAAATAAATAATAAATAACCCATGAAAGCATGTTATGCTTAAGGGGCTGCATGACTCTTGGCTGGTTTTGCTGCAACATATTAATATAGCTGCCCTTCTGGAAAATGTTTTGCAAGCAACCGTTGCATTGCAAGCTTTGCAGAGTTATATTAGAAGTACTTTTCATACTATTTCAGTTCTAGGTATTTACACAACAACATTGATTGCAGGAAACTCTGTGGTATATAGAAGGCTCTGCATTGCCATTTGCTTGAAAGCTAAGTTCATCCCAAGACTACTCTGTTTTTCAAACTACAACATCAGATTCAAATGAGCTAAGCATCTATAAACCACATGTTTTAATTAATGGTTAAAACTCAGCTAGTTATGGAACAAAGGGCTAACCAAGGACCAGCAGAATACACAAATACAAACACACAACACACTTTTACAATGTTTTCTTAGCGGAAAGAAACCCTGTGACAGTACTACCCAAGTGTAGGCATCCCAAAAGGCAATTTTATTTCTCACATTCCTGGAAATGATTCGTCTTTCATAATTTAAAAGTAATATCAAACCACTGGTACTCGTAGTTAAAGTTGCATTCTCTTGATAACTCAGTGAAAGGAATTAATTCATTTGGTACCTTAAAGACTTTTGGCTATGACTTACCTGCATAAATAGAAAGAACTAATTTACTAAAGAAATGCCCATGGGCAAACATGTTCCGGCTAATGAAGTGTTCAGCTTTTGCATGATTAACCAGCTGGTGGGGGTGGTGAAAAATCACAGGGCATAAAATAATAAGAAAAAAATGATTATTAGTTCCCTTTTAAAACTGTTCCATGAAAAATGTCCTTATTTCAATTCACTGCTTGGAAAATTAATGTTCAGAAAGATAGATTCAAATAACTTACCAGGGGAGAAAAACTGAGACCATGTCAAGCAATCACTCTTTGCTGAATCACATCAGGTGGCTCAGGTGAAAGGAAAAGACAGCAGCCAGCTCTAGAGTAACCAGTTTACCAACATAACAGGTACTGCCACTTGTCATAAAGTGAAATTTCTAATACTGAATATTGCAAAATGCATTATGCAAGTTTAAAACTATGACTGGGCTTTGTGTCAGTTTAATTTTCTCAATGGTTCTCTGTGTCCAAGTACAACATTTGGCTTTGGTAAAAATATATGAACTGACAAAATTAGAAACAAGGTGCTGGCACATTTAATAACAAAAGTGGCTATTGTACAAATTTAGGCCAATTTGATCTATGATGCATTTTCTTGAAGGTGGTTTTCCTGTTCATTAAACATGGCATTTAGCTCATGATCAAATTCTCAAACGTTTTTCAGCCCTGTAAGGTGAAAATAATCCACACATGCCCTAAAGAAATCCCCCCCCCCCCAGGTTATAGTCTTGAAGGAGACTTAAAATAATGGACAAGCTTTGACTGACTTTCTGCACAAAATGGAAAATCTGTGTTCTAACTATCTGGTTTATCAGAGGTCAATGAGGTGATACTGCTTAAAGGCAACCCGATTTTGTACTTCATTCATCCACTGTGGTTACGCAAGCATGTAATTTAACAGAGAAAATGAGTGGTTACCCTTGCTCTTTCTGACATGTCATCTCTTGAAATTAATGCATTTATGCTGTATTAATTATGAAGGTGCACAATTTTAAGAGGAAAAATAAATGTCTGTTTCAGGTGCCCATAACGCTTTAAGTAGCTAATAATGGACATTCTTTTTTCAGCTATTGCTACTTGCAGCATATAGTGGTGTTTACTTTTCACTTTAGCTCTACTGTAAAAACATCCCATCTGTTGAAAAAAAGCCAAACTGCTCAAAAGAAGTAAGAATAGTTTTCTGTATATCTGACAAACGAGCTTGCTACTTTACCAATATTCATGTTTGACTTGGCATTCATGGTGAATGGGGTGTACATCTATAAACAAAAGGTCAGCTTAAGAAGACACTTAATAACCACTCTTTGCTCTCACCACTCTCACCTGTAGCTCTGTACATTGCCTTTCTGGACTCAAGCATATGAAGAAACATTTATAGCATGTACTTTGTCTCAAGCATTCCAATAACTATTTGGGATTGCGTAAAATATATTTCAAATGATATTACAAATGCCGAAGTAAGCACAAAGCAATCAGGTACGTCTAAAGACATGCCCATTAATTTTAATTAATATCTTCGCACCTTAGCTATGTCTTCTGAAAATCTTTGTTAAGATAATTTGTAGGTCCTCCTACATGATACCAAGGCTTGCAAACCCATAAAAAATAGCTCCACAAATATATATGTTTGCCCTTATCTAAGCAAGGCCTTCCCAGATGGAAAAAGTTCAGAAACTGAAGAAAGAAAGGGGAAAATATTGCTTATTGCAACCCTGGCTGATTTACAATTCCTCTTCTTTGGATCCCATTTTAACTGAGATCCCAGAAACCAAATCTGAGTCATTTGATCTATTACTACACCATTCCCTCCAAAGTAATGCCACTGAAATCTAGCACAAAACCCATAGTGTCCAAAGTAAAATTTTGCTTCCGGAAAAAGGCTTCTGGAAAAAAAACTTCTACTGTATTCTAAAGTCCTCCCTCTCCTCTAGGGTGTTGGGAGAGGGGTAGCAGCTCTGGTGAGGAACAAGTCATGCTCCTTCTGGGGTAGTATGTCCACCTTTCGTCCTCATCCTACACTCAGCTCTCACCTGTGGCTCCTAGAAGCTGTCAGCATGCAACAGCTGGCACACCCTAGGAAACAGCTTCAACTGGCTGGCTAAACCAGGTGAAGGTACCTGATGAGTCTCAAACCCTCAGTGACTTAGGGACATCCCCTGCATGTGAAGACAGGATTGATGGATTGAGCAGGCAAGACCAATAATGGGTCTAATGGTCAAGAAGGCAGTTACTGCACGTGCTGTAGAGGGGAAGTGAGGGGCAGATGGGGCTCATCCAGCTGGGAAGGTAGCCCATCTAGCAGAAGAAGAAGAGTTTGGATTTGATATCCCGCCTTTCACTCCCTTTAAGGAGTCTCAAAGCGGCTAACAATCTCCTTTCCCTTCCTCCCCCACAACAAACACTCTGTGAGGTGAGTGGGGATGAGAGACTTCAAAGAAGTGTGACTGGCCCAAGGTCACCCAGCAGCTGCATGTGGAGGAGCGGAGACGCGAACCCGGTTCCCCAGATTACGAGACCACCGCTCTTAACCACTACACCACACTGGCTCTCTAGCAGAAGGAAAAGTCTGATTCTAAAGGCTTTGTGAATAAATCCCAAGGAAAAATTTGTATCTACTGCCTCGAAGGGCATCTGCAAGAGAAGAAAGGCTAAGGAATAAACCCTACACAAATCTAGAGTGGAGTCCCTGAGGTGGCTGGTTTCTTGTACACCTCCTTCTGGCAACTCCTACAGCCAAGCTGGTACCAAATGTATTGCTTTCCTTTCCTTTGGACTACATTAGTGAAGCTGAGAAGGGGGATGTTTTCATCTGGGGAGCTCAGGACCTCCAAACACACTGCCCAGGCTTGTGCCCCAGAGATCACTTTGGTGCTACTAACTCAGCAAAAGCAACATGGGAGGCATCACCTGAGCTCTGCAAGTGCAGCTTTCTCCCAATTGAAGTGCAGAGTGTTTGAGGACTGGGACATTCACAGGGAAACCAAAATGCTATTGTACTACCAACCTTACTGTATGCTTGTGAAACATGGACCACTTATAAACACCACTCCAACTCCTTGAAAAATTCCATTAACATTGTCTCCGAAAAATTCTACACATCACTTGGGAACCCAGGCGAACTAATGCCAGTGTACTGGAAGAATCATAGATCACCAGTGTCGAAGCAATGATTCTTCAACATCAACTTTGTTGGACTGGTCATGTTGTTCAGATGCCCGATTATCGTCTTCCAAAGCAACTACTCTATTCTGTACTTAAAAATGGAAAGTGTAATGCTGGTGGTCAACAAAAGATATTTAAAGACTCTCCTAAGGCAAATCTTTAAAAATGTAGTATAAACACCAGCAATTGGGAAACACTGGCCTGCAAACACTCCAATTGGAGAACAGCCTTTACCCAAGGTATCATGGACTTTGAAGATGCTCAAACTCAGGATGAAAGGAACCTGGAAACCTATGTCCACACTGTGGAAGGATATGTGGATCCAGAATTGGCCTCTATAGTCACTTACAGACTCACTGTTCAGACCATGTTCATGGAAGACAATCTTACTCAGCTACGAGTGATCGCCAAAGAAGATATGGTTTGTTTGTTTGTTTGAAATTAGACATGTAAAATGGTCACAGCATATGCAGGTTATCTTAAAAGGGTTTGGGAGTAGTTCTCCTTCCCCCACCCCAATACATTCATTGTGTCCATCAACTGAATAAGCTGAAAAGAACTGAAATGCCCTCTCACCCCACTCTAGAGGTGATAACAGAGTCCTTCTAAAATTGCAGACACATACTGTGACTGAGTGGCGGTGTTTGTAAACAACTATGGAAATATTTCTAATTATAATTCTTCAATGCTAAAATTAGAAGGTCAGTCAGTTAACTGTAAAGAGAGAGTGAGAAAGAGAAACGGAACCTTCCAAAAGGTTTAACTACATGAGAGAAGCCAACGATGATTAACCTAGTAGTAATTCTGAGATGTGAGCTACCTGCCTTCAGAATTTAAACTCTGATATCATAATGCTTTGGACTTTCTAGAAATATTTTTTTTAATCGAAGAACAAAAAAACTACTACCAGCAACAAAACATGACTGTTTATTCCCTTGCTGTTTTAGATATCCATGATAGAAGAGAATGCTTTAATAAATATATTAAAATTGTATTTATTACTTTAGTTGGGTGGATCCATCATATTACTTGGCACAAGGCAGTTTAATATATTCATATATGCTTAGTTCAGTTGCTAAATATTCATTTTATTGATATTTCATTAAAGAAAAACAATAGTTTACTTAAAGTCAAAACCATAAACAACAACAATATCCTGACAAATAATAGAAAACATTAATATATTAAAACAGGAGCAAGCAGCATCCTAATGCAGCTGGCATAAATTTTTAATGCCCCCCCTGAGTATTTCTTATGCAGAAGGGGGCTGTCCTCTTGTTTATTTTGCCACCTTTCAGGACTACCCCTCCCAAAGTGGTTCACAACACATTAAAACACCAAAAATTACCAACAAAAATATTATAAAGTGTTTGAGCAGCAGCTCAAAACAGACCTAAGTTCATTTAAGTAGCAACCAGAATAAAATTTTAAAGTCCTCAAGAATCTCCTAAAACCCAACTCAGGAAACAAATACTAAAGTTGGCAGTTATAACACAAACTCCATCTACTCATCCCTTGCACTTCAATGAGAATACAACAAAGGGAAGAGATTTGTTTGTGTCATTTCAGGATACGGTTCAGCTCTCCTGAGCTCAGTCCATCTTGCCCTCAGAAGCAATGACTATGCATGGTGCTAATTGTATTAGAAAGAGACCTGGGGAAAGCAAGACTTTGAAGATACTAAACTTCTAAACAGATTATCTTTTTATTCAGTTAAAAAGTACAGTAAGCATAAGACACGATACAAAATATATTCCTTTTTTAGTAATCCCATTTGTTCCAAATAAGCATGACAATTGCTAATCTCCACCAGCTTACCTATTTTGACCTGTATTTAGGAAATTAGGATATCAGCAACCAAGTTCAATAGAGCCTTTTACTTGGAATGAAAATAGCTTTTTAAAAAATGCTTAAAATGCTCAGCTATGAAAGGATCCTAAATTGAATTTTAATTCAAAGTAATTAAATGTTTATAAACAAAATATGTAGATTTTGTACATGTTAAACGTTCTCCATTGCACCTCACTTCTACAGTGCAGTCTCACCAATAAGGCATCTCTTAATCATGCTTGCTAATCAGCGACATACTCTGGTTAAGCGGGAATTGGGGTGCCTTTAAATGTTTCCCCAGCCAGGTAGAAGCCACTTTTCCACAAGGAATTCCCATGCAACTAGGAGACCATCTAAGTGTTTCAGCCATATGGGAAGTCCCAGCTGCATGGGTTCCCGCCCCCCTGCTCCACGGAGGTGGTGCTATGCAGGATGCAGATTCTCTGGTAAAGACCCACATAAATGTGGGCCACTTAAAGTTATCTCAAGCAAGCAAGAGCTGGCCACACATTAGGCCTGTTGCACTAGGCCAGTGGCCCACCTACTCCAGCATCCTGCTCTCACACTGGCCAACCAGATGCCCGTGGGAAGCCCATAAGTAGGGCCTGATTGCAACAACACTCCTGCAGTTTCCAGAAACTGTTATTCAGAAGCATACTGCCTCCAGTAGTGGAACCAGGACCCAGCCATCAGGGTTAGTAGCCAATGATACCCTTAACTTCCACAAATTTGTCTAATCCTCTTTTAAAGTAACCCAAGTTGGTGGCCATCACTGCGTCTTTTGGGAGTGAGTTCTGCAGTTTAACTATCTGCTGTGTGGTAAGTAGTCATACAGATGGATGAGTTTCTAAAGCAAAGGCTAACAACTTGCAGCTCACATGCGACTGTCGGTCCAGTTTCATGCAAGTGGCAAAGAGAGAAAAGGGGGTGACAAAAAGAGAAATTGGGTGTCCTGCCCACTTTTGGCTCTGACCCTACCCACTTCCAGCATGTGACTGCTGAAAGATGATTCCTGAAAGAACAGGTTTCCCCACCACTCATCTAAAGGCACCTTTATTACCATTGGTGCCAACAAATGCAATGCTTAGCAGCAGCAATGGCTGGCAGGGAAAGGGCAAGGGGAATTTACACTCTAGAAATGAGAGGCTGGGTGACAGCAATCTTCCACCTCACTACATAAGAACAGCAGTTGGTCTACAAAAGTGTGGTACAATTTACTAATTAGGAGTATCTGAAGTAAACTTTATTGCAACGAGAGGTGTCTCCTGAATTTCTGTAACCATTTAAAGGCATTGAGTTTCTTCAGTGCTAGGAATGGAGCTGGGATGATTTCAGCATAAAGGCCATGTGAAAAGAGACTGTGGCACTTGGCCAGGTTGCCCAGCTGTTTTCTAAATATGATGACAGGTGCCCATTTTTTCCATTTGCTCGTGGAACGCAATATGTCTTCAAACAACATTTTTGCCAAGTAGGCCGATGCAGTTACATTTCAAAGATCCAGCAGGCTAAAATATATACTGCAAATTGTTTTGTTTGACAGATACTTTGGTAGCTTCCCCTTTTAAAATCAATTCCAGCCCCACTTTATTTCAAACAACAAATTGTAAAGATAATAGGAATGCATTCTAAATTAAAGTAAATCGGACAGGTTTCAAATGTGCAGAATTCCTTCACAGAAATAACTTCTCTTTAAGTTGTAGCATGCAGCCATGTGTAAACTGTTATATGTGATCACATAATCATGTATTTTGCTTCCATATGTACAGTGGACTATGAAGCTGCATCCAATCTTTGTTTCCAAAGCATGCAAAATGCATATATGTGATAACTGTTGTATTCATTGAATATGAAGCAGTTCACTAGAGAAGGGCTGTGTATCCCTAAATGTGAAAAAACTTTTGATTACCCTGGGACAATGGATTGTATGCAAGTTCTTCTCAGAGTAAACCCAAGTTAACCATGTCTACTGTATTAAATTCAATAATTCTACTCTATGTATGACTAACACTAGATAACAGCCCAAAATATTTTATAGTTTCTTTGAAACTTATGCCATGTTTTTTTCAATATGGAATTCTCCAAAACAGATAGCAAAGGAAACAAACTTTACCCTTCCATTTGTCAACAGGTAGATAGAGTCTTTTAAAATTTTTATGGCACAGCAGCATACAGTAACAATGTCTCAAACTTTCCATTTGTTTCATGCATAAAGGTGTATTTGGCTGATAGTCAGAGGCCATTATTTCTGAAGGTCTCCCATTAGTGGAAAAATATAAAATGCTGAGAACCTGTCCAAAATGTAAGACTATCTCTGTTGGATCATAAGTATCATCCTATTTCCCACAGAAATGCCCCCAGAAAGCCTGCAAGGTGGTATGAATGTAATACGTCAATCCTGCTATTGTTACCCAGCAACTGGTATTCAGAGGCCTGGTGGCTCTGAACTTAAGAGGAAAACATATAGCCACTGAGAGGCTTCTATTCCGTGAATTTGTCTAATCCTCCTTTAACACTATTTAAGCTGGTGGCAAGATATTACCATATTCTGTGACAGCAAATTTCATAATTTAATCTATCCTACGTGGGTAAAGGTATTTCCTTTTGTTGATTACAGTATAAATCTCCCACCATCCAGCTTCATTAGCTGTCCAACTAACAATCATAAGGAGGCAGAAGGAGATGCAACATTAGTAAGATTGAGGCAGGGGAGCATGAATGTCTCTGTATGTCACTGAATGGCTGCTTCATGCACATGCACGAGTTCAGGCAGAAGAAACAGTGGGCCAAAGCAGAAAACATCTGTACCAGAACTAGGAAATCGGGGGGAAACTAGAAAAAATTATGCTGAAAGAAAAAATTTCATATTATGCAAAAGCAGACAAGTTTATTATGAATGAACAAATATGCAGCAGCCATCTTAGACTAAATATTACATTGCTAATGAATGATTTCCTTTGTTCTCCTAATGGAATTTTATTCATGTGGTAGGCAGCACAGTATGACATAAGAGCAATGGAGAATACAGCTTGGTCAAAAAGAGTATGATCCCTCTCGTAATGGCCTTGGCAGGCATTATAGGCATAAATAATCTAGCAGTAAGCTTATGCTTAACACTACTTCAGAGACTAGTATTTCTGGGAAAAGACAAGCCACAAAAATGCTAACTGTGAAATGAAAGAAGACAGACAACTGTATACGGGCTATGCATACTGTTCACTTTGCTTGTTTCTCACTAGTTAAGGGGTACTTTAATCCACTATTAATTATGCATTCTGAGACCTTTGTTTTAATAAGTATAGAAACAAGGAACACCAATAGTAGCAAGATTAATCCCAAAAGTAAACAGCAAAATTTATGTAAGTAGTTGGGAACTCATCAAACAATGTAATTAAAAAACTAAATAATGAGCAACTCAGTACAAATTGGGGACAGAAATGTAGAATGAAGTCTATATGCACCCATCATTACAGGCTTTTAGGTAGGCCTTAAAAACCCATTTATTTAGAACTGTATTTTTTAAAAGGTATCATGCTGCTGGTTTGATTTGGTACCAAAACATTTTTGAACTATTTTAATCGATAATTACAACCCAGCAAAATAACACAATTGTTTATCAATACTGTTTTTAATAGATATATTATTTTAGTTCATTTGTTGTATTATGGGTTTTTATGGTTAAATTTGAGTGCTGATTGTATTCTAGGCATTCTGTATGTTGGAAGCCACCTTATAAAGTTTGGCCCTAAAAAATCAGCCTAAACATCTTAAATAAACAATCCAAATGCATCAGTATAGGTTCTTGTAGTTAGAAGCAGTAAATGAAGATGTTCAAGTGATTGAAACACCTACAGTTCCAGATATTTATGCAAAAGCGGAAACACTGTGGGGAGATGTATGAGCCATTCTTGCACTGGAAGCATAGGCTTCATTTTCAAATAATATCTGAGGGTGTGTAAAGAATGTCACTCATAACAATTCACCCTCCCTACACTGTTCTCTCCTTGTAAAATTGTGGAGCAGCTCTAAGGAACTACAAAAAAAACAACTTTGTAGGATGCTTCCATCAATGAATTGAAAGCAAACAAGCTACTCTCAAATAATGCAGCAGGTGCTTCATACAGCATTTCACTAGCTGTGTACTAACCAGCCAAGTGAAAGTGCTACAGAAACTGCAAATTTAGGCATGAATGCTCCAGGCCATTAGCAGGTGCTTTGAGCAGTCATCCAAATCAAAGCAAGACAGTGGAAAAAGCCAAAGATTGGTTAACGGGGCCTGCAAAAAGCATAAACTCCAATGAGGGCACATAAAATGTTTTGCTGTAGAAACAGTCTGACAAGAGGAAGGGAGGGGGAGAATAAAGAGGAGAGAACCTATTGCTGCGTAATAATTTCGATGAGGGTTTTGCTGTTTTGTACATAGGCCCCAAGATGCAAGTGTTGGCTAAGAAGCTGAGATCAGCACTTATATGTCCTCAGGTGGTTAGAGACAAGATAGAAAAGAACTTCTGGCACTTGGGGAAGAATACTGGGGCCATTTGATAACGCTCTGCTTGAGCATATGAGGGTTTCCCCTATGGGTATTGTCCTGAAGAAAGCTCCAGGCAAGTTCAAGCTGATTCATCACTTGTCACAACCAGAAGGTGAGACAGTTAATGATTACATCGACTCCAGAGTTCCTTCCTGCAGTAATTTAAAAGGCACTGGATCTCAGGAAGAAACGATAGACAGGGATCTAATGCACATTTCAAGCTTCCATTGTTTTCTCTTAAAATTTACTAGCAAAGTTTTATTAAAATTTATTCTGAGGGTCCCACAGTCATAGCATCATAGGATTGTAGAGTTGGAAAGCACCCCAAGGGTCATATAGTCCATATAGTCCCCTACGATGCAGGAATCTCAACTAAAGCATGCATGAGAGATGGCCATCCAACCTCTGCTAAAAAACCTCCAATGAAGGAAGGTCCACCACCTTCTGAGGGAGTACATTCCACTTTCAAACAGCTGTTACCATCATAAAGTTTTTCCTGATGTTTAGCTAGAATCTTCTTGAAACCACTGGTTTGGGTCCTGCCCTCCAGAGCAGGAGAAAACAAGCTTGCTCCATCTTCCATGTGACAGCCCTTTAGATATTTGATGATGGTCATTCAGCTTCCTTCCCAGAGTCTTATATTCCCTTGCTATATAGAATCATAGAATTGTGGAGTTGGAAGAGACCCTGAGGATCATCTAGTCCAACCCCCTGCAATGCAGGAATATGCAGCTGTCTCATATGGGGATTGAACCTGCAACCTTGGCATTACCAGCACCATGCTCTAGCCAACTGACCTATCCAGACCCCTCAGATCAAAGGGGGATCATTTGTACCCACATGAAACAGAAGGAAAGGGTTGTGGTCAATTGGCTTCATTACATTTTTTTAAGTTGCAAAACTAGCAAGAGAGTTCACATATTTTTCAAGTGGGAAATAAAATCCTTAATAACATGTGGTCAATTTCTGTAGATAAGACTGGGAAGCCGCTCCCCCCCCCCCCGCACACATGTTCTTGCACTCTGTTTTCCATTCATTCCAACCAGCATGCTCAATAGTCAGAGATAAGACTTGCAGCTCAACAACATCTGGAGACCCACATGTCCCCATCTCAACTAACCTCAAAGAAAGGGACATACCTCATTCCAGGGCTTTGCTATACATTAAATCCTCTTCATTCATTTCAAGAGCAAAAGCCAACTTCTTTACTGTGTTCTCTCTCTTCATTGAAACTAATGGAGCAACCTACTTGTGATAGGTATTCTTGTGTGCAAGGGAAAGCATGAGTGCCTATACTGTAAGAGTCTGAATCTGGGAGACACACAAGATAATACAGTGTTCCTGGGTAGAAAGAGAGCAGAAGAGAAATGCATGCAATGTCTGCAGCTCTATTGTGGGTTAATGTTTTATTTTAACCTTCCTGATTACTTGTTTGGAGGGTGGAGTATAAATGGAGATATAATAAATCTATTATATCTCAGCAGCTATAAGCTGTTTATGTAATTTCTGGAAACTCTGGTCAGGCCTTAGCCAGCCTTAGCCAGCAGAATGGTCTAAAGACAAAAATGCTATTTTATTCCTAAAGGCAAAGTAAGCTGGTCTGGCCTTGTACACAGCCTGAACGAGCACACACCTGTGAAATATATATGTAAGCCACTCTGTCTCTTTGAAGAAGAGCAGGATATAAGAACTCGATCCTATACATGGTCTTCTCAGCAGGAAATGCCATTGTGTTCAATGGGGTTTGTTGATTTGTTTAATTGGGTACACAACTGCAGCCTAAATTCAATATATAGAGTCTCAAGGGGTAGAATTCAGGGCAGACCCAGCACACCTAGTTATCTTAAAGGCTGGGTCCAGCTATCTAGTGTTACTGGTGTCCACACACACATTCATGGATGTTTGGCCACTGCAGTTAACAGTGAGTGATGGCTCACAAGTACCATGACTTTCTGTCATCTGTGTAGGCTACCTAATCTTTTAGCCAGAATTCCATCCCTGCCTCCTATCAAGGTCAGTATTAAGCAATACTTTTAAGTCACCTGACTGGAATATTTCCTTCAGGGAATTGGTAGCACAAGCAATAATTTAGAATAGTATTCGAATTAAGAAATGCATTAGGTCTTAGTAAATATACTCAAATAATTCTAAAAGAAAAGGATAATGTTCTAGCAGTCACCAAAACAACATCCAGTTGCTTTTTAAAAAATTAACAAAGGAGTCATTTGTTCTACTAATGCTCCCCTTCAACAGATTTTGGAACACATTGCTCTGTGCAGCAAGCCCCTCATGAGAACAGTTGGCACCGCCAAAAGAGGTTTATAGGCAAAAATAAACAGGTGGCATTCTGGTGCTTACTCCCACCCCCACCCAGTCTTGGACCACAAGCGAGGTAACGCAGTTAGAACAAGGTCGAGTCATAATTATTACTCCCCCCCACCCTTGCAGCAAATACAGTACCCAAAAGACAAAGAAGCACAAATAGTCATGGGTGTGTGTGCATTGTACAACATGCAAATGAAGAAGATTAAAAATGCAAACATGATATGGAACCATTGCTTTTTATTTTTTGTGTTTTGCTTTTCTTTATCCTGTCTTGGCTGTGAGTCACAAAGACCTGCTCCCTGCCTTGCAGGCCTTTTCCATCTGGCCTGGGAAGGCGTTGCACAGACTGACTCCAGCTAAGGCGGCTGAAAAGACTCTTGGGTTGGGGGATTGTGCAGAGGTTTTCTTGGGGGGGGTGTTGTTCTGTGGCAGTTATTATTGCCCAAATTGTTTTAAATTGGTTTTATCTGCTTTTTAACTTGTGTGTTTTTAAATTTGGGGGGTTGTTGTTGTTTTTAAATTAAGGGGTATAAAATGTGCAATGTACACAATGTAGGGCTACCTCTGAAGATGGTTCGAAAACATCAGCTGGTGCAGAATTCAGCAACCAGGTTGCTCCCGGGGTAAGAAGATTTGATCATATTGCACTGATTCTGACCCAACTGCACCACCTGCCATTTAGTTTCCAGGCCAAATTCAAAGTGCTGGTTATGACCTATAAAGTGTTAAACGGTTCAGGACCACAATACCTCAAGAACTGCCTCTCCCCATATGAACCAACCTGAACCCGACAATCATCATCTAAAACACAAAATTCATTTCTGCAATACCAGTAGACAAAGGCATCATCTCCTGTGCACACATCTTAATTCCATCACCACATATAATGCAGAGCTGTAACTAGTAAAATAGGCTGCAGTTGGAACCAATTTCTTAAGCTATCTGTTCTACATATATTTAGAGTTCTCTATAATGGAGCTACTGATTGATCTTGGGACTAATCTCTGCTTCAGCATTCCCCATCTATGTATATATGTTGTAGAAAGTCATACATATACTCTTCTTTACTTATATGCTGAATATGTGCTTGTGTGATATATGTCACATGCTATATATCTGCAGCTGGGCTGACCTCCTCGAGTCAATTGTTCTTCACATGCTTTTAATTCTAGCTATAAGCTTTACACACACAGTTGCCATATGGATTGTGTTAGGTTGAGCTGTAGTAGCTTGATGAAGTGTGGATATTGCTCTGTGGGAGAAAATTAGTAAGCACGTGTACACAATTTTCTGTGGCCATTTGGTCTTCCATTCTGGGACTGGCTCCAGTTGGTGGCCCTGACATTGTAGACTTAAAAAAATTAAATAAGGTTGTATAGGACTCTGCCTACCCTGGCATAAATCCAAACCTGTACCATGGTTACTTTCCCATACTATACGGCTACATCATCAGTAGAGTACAAAAGGGGTAGTCAATGTGGTGCCCTCCAGATGTTGTTGGCCTACAACTCCCATCAGCCGCTATCAGCAGGGCCAGTGGTCAGAAATGATGGGAGTTATAGTCCCATCTGGAGGGCACATGTTGACTAATACCAGAGCGGAGCATAAGCAAAACAGGTTCACATGGCTCTTGGCCCAATTTTGAAAGCTCTCTATAAGCCATCAATTTAGGCCTCTAGCTAGGAAGTCTTTTTCTTCCCAGCAACCACCTGGGCTTGGGGGGAAAGGCAGAGAGAAATTTGTGTGCCAGAAAAGAGAGGAGGAATCTGGCTCCACCCAGCAATAGCTTCAGCCTCATGCACAGCTGACATGCACTCCCTTTACAGATTAGCCCCTCAGCAGAAAAAGGACATATATTATGTAGCATACTTGGGTAGTAGGGGTGTTATACAGGAAATGGCCATGCCTAAAGACACAAGATGTACAACAATGAAAGCAGACAGACACATTAAAAAGGTGTACATACTCTACCTGTGCATGTCCAAAAGAATAGAAAAGACTTTTCAGACATTCGCAAAAGTAATCTGAGATTGTTAGCATTCAGATATCTAGAACGGCTTTGATGTCTTTTACAATCAAGCAGTATATAAACTGGATCAAATAAATAAATAAATAAATAAATAAATAAATAAATAGTGATATTCACCATAGTTGCTACAACACATATCACATTCGTACAAGGGTGTATTTAGACCTGTGATGGCTAGCTGTGATGCTCAATGGGGATGGGTGGCAGAGTATATGAATACACCTTCTGATTGTGATGTTTCCTAACAAACCAGTGCTTCCCAGAGGAGCATGCATGTGTCTCTCATTAACCTGAAGCTAAGAGAAGGTGTGCATATGCAACTAAAGTACCAAATTTGCCCTTCAATTCTTTTTTGCCATTCAATTACTGATGTTATTAACCTTTTCTGCACACCTTATGGCAACATTAACAGATCACAAGGCATTTGTGTTGCTTCACCCAGCTAGTATTACCTACACAAACTAATACATTATGGAGGATATTGTCCTTCCTTCAGGTACACCCTTACAGATAAGAGAATAATCAAGCCCAGGAGCTAGACTTACTTACTTTCACCCACTTTTCTAATCTGATGTCTATGAAAGACACAGGCACTCCTCAACCATTTGAGGGGTGTGTGGAATAAAGTGGAAGCAGTATTACAGAAAAAGCAAAGACAAGACTGTGAAGGTTTTTTATTAACAATAGGAAAAGGTCAGTACCCTTTCCCCCAAAAGATACTGTGAAAGCTTGTAGGAATTATTACACCACAGCCTTTCCTTTATTGAATTCTATCTGAAAAAGAGAGCAACAAAAAGAGGGAGGGAAACAGTCTTCAGGCCTTCTTGGAATATTTTCTGATGCCAAAAAAGAAAGAAAAAAGAGTAATATAGAAAGAGCTGGAAAAACTGGGATTTTTTTATCACATGCTTCTTATCATAGTCAACTATTTAGGCCACAACTTCAAATCAAATCCTGAAGACTTAAAGTAGTTTTAACATTGTTAGGTTCAATTCGTGGAAGTTTGGAGTAACACCAACAACATGGCAATGATTTACACTAGTGTAACCAAGATGACACCTGACAACTGAGTTTTAGATACCCTAAACCCAACCAAATTTTCTTTGAAATTGTTGAGTTCAATGGAACCTGCTTCCAAGAAAGAATGCTTGGGACTACTAAAGCCTTAAATTAAAACTGGTATCGCTGTCATAAGAAACTTACCTTACCTGCAACACATACACAAAGCACTTTAAAAGTAACTATCACTAATATAAAAGGTAAAGGACCCCTGACAGTTAAGTCCAGTCATGAACAACTCTGGGGTTGCGGCACTCATCTTGCTTTACTAGCTGAGGGAGCCGACGTTTGCCCACAGACATTTTTTGCGGGTCATGTGGCCAGCATGACTAAGTCGCTTCTGGCGAAACCAGAGCAGTGCACGGAAACGCTGTTTACCTTCCCGCCGGAGCGGTATCTATTTATCTACTTGCACTTTGATGTGCTTTCAAATAGCTAGGTTGGCAGGAGCTGGGACCAAACAACGGGAGCTCACCCCGTCGCAGGGATTCGAACCGCCGACCTTCTGATCAGCAAGCCCAAGGCTCAGTGGTTTACACCACAGCGCCACCCACATCCTTATCACTAATATAGTCTCCTATTTATCTCAGCCATACACACATCTCTGAATTCTTACATAAAAGCAAGAATAAAGTGCTTAAAGTCACTTCCATAAGGTACTTAAAGAGAATCTAGGTATTATCTTTATTGTTTACAAACACAACATACTTCAGTAACTTGGGGAAAATAAAACTAACCACCTCCTTCATAAACTGTGTTTGCACAAGTAGGCATTTATCTGGAGGTGGCTAGGATTGTTTGTGTATACAGTATAAGAACAATTCCAGACATTCTGCAGATACAGGATGTCTACGCAGAGGCTCCAAATTTTGGAAATCTCCGGAACCCACATATCTTAATTCAAGTTCTTCCTTTTTGTAATTGCTACATGCAGGGCATCATCAAGAGGCTGACCTAAATATCCCAAAGAAACACAGGATAACGAAAGTATCAAATAAGAATCTACCCATTTAGTTACACAGTCTGTAGCGCAATGATGTGGTGGTTCAAGAATTGCTGTATCTTAAACATTTATCAAGAAAACAAACATGATACATTAAATGAATTTAGGAGGAGTCGTCCTTGAAAAGCTAAGAGAGAAAGCCTGAGAAAGAAAAGCAAAATACTGGATTCAGGAAACTGGCAACTGAACACAGAAGGGCTCCGATATCTCCCACTGTGAAGTAAATGTATCTGGGCTATAGATATGTTTGTCAAAAGTATCTATAGCACAGATAATTAGGTTAGTACAGTGAACTAGCCACATGCTTTGAAGTGTGCATGCAGTTGGTATACTAACCTTTCTTTCACCTGGTAGGTTAAGCTCATCATAGCTTCACACATACTTGCAGGCTCATGACCTCTACTCTATCCTCATTAACACATCATTTATGGAAGACAACCACGTTGGAATGGATACTCAGAAGTTTTGTATGGCTGAACATGGATTTCTCAGTACATGAACTCTCAAATATGAAAAGTAAAAGAAATGTTCCTCATTTTGTACACTGCCTTTCACTTGTACAGTTCAAAACACCTTGCAAATACTGTTTTAAAGACACCGGCTTCAACTCGGACTTGCTCACACATCAAACACTCCTGCACAAGAGCAGTTTCATATTCCAAAGCTGCAGGAGGCAGGCACACTGATCACAGCCAAATAACTGTTTCCAACTGGAAGGCATGTTCTACTGAGTTCAGAGGAGGCTGTTTACCTAAATTGTGCCTATACATGCACGTCATATATACTACATGTTAAGCAGTGGAGCAATGCACCTGTTCACAGCCATGAAGGATGCATTGTTTTTCTGCATGCAGCAATATCCTGCATTGAGAAGCACACATGGAAATCAGGTTTGTAGAGCTGCCCTTGTTTCTGCCACCCTACCCCCGACAAAACACAGAGGTTTTGTATTACTTGAAAGGTTTTCGTAGCTTTTGATATTTGACCATAAATGGCAACAGGACAAAAGAAATGGGTATGCATACCTAATCGGGAAGCGATTATTTTTTTCAAATGATTTCCAACACTCTTTAAAAACTATGGCAATATTTTATGGAGGTGAATAAAGCTTGACATGATCCAGAAAGGCCTTCCCAGGATCCTTTGCAATGTCACAGTGGATGCTGCCGTGTCACTCTTGGATCACATGATTCTGCAACATTGCACTATTACAAGCTGGAAGAATCTCTACAGCTGTCCAAGCAGCTGATCCTCCAATCAAGCAAATAATGCGGCAAGATTACAAAATAGAAGGCTATGACAGCCCAACTCCTTACATCTAGAACATTCATAAGGCATATGACTCATCTTGGCACCAAGGAGCTCTTTCAAAATTAATTCTGTTTTCAGATGCCTGAAATGGAGTTGTTTTTGATGTTGTGAAAAAAATATATAGCTTGTCAAACCTCTTTCAAGATTCTAAAAGTCCAGAGTAATGAACGTATGGTTTCATTGTTTTACATATTGTTTCAAGCTGCTCAGAATACTAATTGCTAATGCAATTCTTAAGTTTCTTATTGTTTTTCCACTTTGGTATCTGTGAAAGTGAAACAAGGGACGTCAACAACAAAATATAGGGTACTATTTCTGCATACTCTGGCAATACTGATAATGTAGATTAGTTTGCAAATTAAAAGAAAATGAAACATTTAAAAAAAACACACCTTCCAATGCTTGAAAAGGCCCTGTGCCAGGACCTACACAATTTTGAGAGCAGCTGAGCAATGAAATGTTGAGGGTATCAAGTGAGTTTGAGTTGGGGGACCAGAACTGGAGTGCTCAAGGACCAAATATTTTACAGTTAGGACCAAATTACACGTTATGTTAAATGTTAGGTCATGCATATTTATCTTTTTTTGTAAATGGATAGCAATGGAGGGAAATCATGATTGGGACTGGGGCATGGTGATGGTGTGTGTTTAACCACCTTCTGCACTATGGTTCCCCCCCCCCAAAAAAAATTCTCACCCTCTCAAAATGTCTGTGTGTGGAGAGAATTTTGACTCCCAACATAAATAGCAACTTTGTGTTAGGGAGGGAGAGTTCCTGGTGCCCATCCACCCACCCACCAAGCTAGTAAGAAAACAATCAAAGTCAAACTGCCTGTTTAACTTAACATCTAGTTTGACTTTAAGTATTGAGATGTACACAAAGGGAGATGTGGGAAAACACACAAAAGTGTCATTGCATAGATACTGCTATGGCTGGAAATAACCTAGATTTAACAGGATACAAATATATTGACTTCATCCTCATGTACTGCTTCCATCTAAAGTGGAAGCAGCACAGTACTGCTTATGAAAAATCTTAATTGCCCATCCTAGCTTGCTTACACTCAGCCTCTTTTCTTCACACTGATGTAAAACACTTAGAATTTGGTTCGGGGCTCCAAATTTTGAGAAAACGTGTGATGTCCAACCAAGGGGAGAAAGAAACAAGCGACTTTTAAGCCAAACCCCAATTTTTACATCAACACATGCATGCACTCTCACACACACACACTAAGCATAGATAAAATAGATAAATACCCACATGGTTGCCTCATTTAGATCCATTCTCTAGCCATATAGGATCAGGTTACAGGGAAATAATGCCTGTACTTGATGAGACATCATTTGTGCAATCAGTAATTGTGTGAATGGTTTTTAAATATATATATATATATATAAACAGGAGGCAAATGAGAGCAGTCATAATTAATGGCCTGGTGGGGGCTAAGCAGCTTTAACCATTTGCCCCATGCTATTGCCCTGATCCAGGGAGAACATTTGCTTGGGAGTAAACTCAATTGAACACTCTGGGATTGCATTGTATGGTTGCATTTGCTAGAGAATAAGCTCCATTGAGATTCATTTCTAAGTAAACCTGAAAAATTGAGATACTGTTGCACTTCGGTAATATGGAGCCTTTAGACAATTTGTATAAATCTTTCTTCTAGAAAGTCAAGGTGATGTACATGGTTCCCTTTATTTTAAAAAAATTTCACAACTCAGTGAGGAAAATTAAGCTAAAAAAAAGTGATTGGCTCCAGATCACCTCTTTGCTGAGGGAGATTTGAACTAAAGTCTCCATAGCCATAGTCTGACACTTTAAGCACCACACCACTCTGGGTTTCATTCACAACCAGCTGAGAAATGTAAATATGGGAGGGAAATACATCATAGAATAGAGACAATGAAATCTTGTCTAGCATGAAGGTGTCTTCAGTAAATACCTTGGAAGTATAGTTGTCAGAGATCTCCATATTTCAATTAGAAGCATTAATTTAATTTTTAAACATTGCACCACACATTAAGGTCAGAAGCTTCTACTGATATATTATAGTTAAAATGATGTTTTTTCCTCTAAACCCTGTTACTGGCATTAACATACATATACACACAAGATAAAGATGCACACATATTAATGTATGTTGCCTTTTCATCAGCATTTATAATCCAGAGTTTCTGCTCTCACCCCATTTAGAATACTATTGCCATGTTAAAATGAGATGTTACTGAAATATGACCCCAAAGTCTTCCCTGTATTCTATATTTTATTCAGTCATGGTATCAGAGATTAATAAAAAACAAAATGCAAAAATGAAACAAAGAGCATTCTCTCTCTCTTCCCTTACAAACTTCAACAAGGTTCCAAAGCCACCCTCAAAAGGCCAGAATTTTAAAGACTTATCGTTCTGAGAAACATTACACTGGGCAACAATTTTTTACTTTTTCAATGTTGTCTAGATTTCTACAACTGATTTAGGGTATTTTTGCATTGCTGAATCAGGAAATGGCATCCGTTTCTCTCCATCAGGTCAGGTTTACTGTAAACTGAATGGTGGGTATTGATAAAGGTAAGTACATGTAAATTGCATCTTGCTTCACCATTTTTCAAACTTCAGGGCTTGAACTTCCATTTCTTGGAACTCCAGGAATGCTCAGCAGCACGGAGGTCTCTCTTCAGAGTCCAACAGTAGTCAGCCATCATGACTGCGTCCCAGCGACCCTGATACCTGGTCTCCATCTCTTTCATGTCCTGATGGAATCTCTCCCACTGCTCGTCACTCATTGAACCCAGGTTCTTAGGAAACCGGTCCATATGTGAAAATAGGTAGTGCATCTTGACGCTCATGTTGCAGCCCAGGTTTCTGAAAGCAGTCAGCATGTTGTTGACAAGTTCTGCGTAGTTTCTGGCCTTATTGTTGCCAAGAAAGTTCTTCACTACCAGAACAAATGCCTTCCACGCTTCCAGTTCCACTTCGTTCACTGAGTTTCTGAACTCTGGATCTCTGATGAGCTGACAGATCTGAGGACTGTCAAAGATGCCAGCTTTCAACTTCTCCATGGTCAATCCTGGAAAAGCCTGGCACAAGTAAGTGAAGCAGTCACCATCCTTGTCCAGAGCCTTGGTGAACTGCTTGATTAAGCCGAGCTTGATGTGCAGCGGTGGGAAGAGTATTCTGTCTCTGTCCACCAGAGGGTCGTTGATGATGTTCCTTTTTTTGCAAGGCACCAATTCCTCCTGCACAGGCCAGTCCTTCTTCGTGTAATGCTGAGCACGGTCCCTACTATCCCACATGCACAGAAAACATGGGTACTTGGTGAAGCCAGACTGTTGTCCCAACAAAAAGTTCACCATCTTCAGGTCAACACAAATAAACCACTTATGCTGATCATAACCAGTTTTCTCCAGCACATACTTCACCGTTTCATAGTTCTCCTTCAGTGTACTCAAGTGAGCCAGGGGTATAGAGGCAAACTGGTTGCCGTTGTGTAGCAGAACACATTTCAGTGATCGCTTGCTGCTGTCAATGAACAGTCTCCAATCTTTGGGTTCGTACTGTGGCACTCCAAGCTTGAGCAGAAGCTGCACAATATCTGCACAGTACACCAAGTCCTTCTCTTCCGAGAAAAAATGGAGTTTTTTTTTACTTCAAACTGATCCCTTTTCGATATAATCACCCAGAACTATCGCACCTGAATACTTCTTGTCATTAAAATAATCATTTCCAATCAAAACAATTATTCAACATGGCCTTTTACCCCCACCAACTTCTTCTAAAATGCTCCACACAAGCGTACATGTGAACAAAAACATAAAAAAGACATGTGGCCATAGCTCAAAAACTTGACCTGATTGAGCAAAACCAATGTGATTTTTGGATTCAGTGCATCAGATTCGTCCTAAATCAACTGAAAAAACGCAGACAACAACCAGTGTTATCTTTGAATTCAGGAAGGAAAAAAGAAAACCTGGATTTGGGTTTGATGTTGCTTCCCATGGATTGCTTAAGAATAGCATTTTAGTTGCAGTGAAATTAAATAAAACAAAAGCCTGACAGGTAACCAAGGAGCCAACTGCACAGAAAGCTCACAAAGCTATGGTGAGCCATGTAGCCCAAACTTCCTCACACATGCAAAACTCAAAGATTTAATTTTCTGCAAGATTACCCACAATAATTACAAAGTTTCTGTAATTCATCCTTAAAAAGCTCATGACTACAGGATCCATAAGAATTGATCTTTTATCTTTTGCCTTCCTGTATAGTGTGCATGTATCCATATCATGCGTAATATGGTTCACTAGCTGAACGCAGGCAATATCTTACAATATCTATAGCTGCTAAAATCAAGCCTATAAGTAAGCCAGTGAATAGGAATGTCACACTATGGCATCCCAACAAAACGTTCGCTGATCAGTGCTCATTTTTAGAAACCTAGATTCACTATGCACAACTATTAGGGCACCAACTATTAGGTTGGCATTCAACTGCTTCATCAAAAGATTTTTGCAAAATTAATTTAATTGTTTACAATACCTCCAAGAGCCCGTGCCCGGGCAAGGCTTAGCTATGAACTCCTTGCACAAGGAAAACACTGTGGCAATGTTTAAAACAATTTCTAAGATGGATTAGCTAACAGTAGAAAGTGATGTTAGTGGCCAACACATGCCACCATTTTGTGACAGGTGGGACACAGTAATTTTTACCCAACTCAGGGTAGAAAGCCTGAGAATCTCTGATCTAAAAATTTCATTTCTAAAAAGCAAAAATGGTAGGCACTATCTTAGAAGACACGTCTCCCTTCACTCTCACATATGCCTTTCCTAAGATATTTCCTACTGCAGCATTTATATGGGCCATCACAAATGTAGTGTCCCCCCCCCCAAGCCTATTGTTTAGTCATTTACAAGTAAATGTAGATTAAAAACTATTGCAATTAGTTTTTAAGAAACTGAAACAGAATTATTTGTTCTTCATGTGCCTCCTCCATTAAAGGTCTGCAGGGTGGCAACACGAGAACAGGCCTTTTCTGTAGTGGCCCCCATTTGTGGAATGCTCTCCCAAGGGAGGTTGCCTGAATTACATACCTTTAGGCACCAGGTGAAAATTTATCTCTTTAACAATGAGTTTGGCTGATTAACATTCTATAGTTTTTAAAATGTGTTTGTGGGAGGAGGGGGTGTTACTGATTTGTTTCTGATTTGGTTTTATTATGTATTTTGTATTCTCATTTTCCTTTTTTTGTGAACCACCCTGGGATCTTCAGATAAAAGGTGGTATACAAATTTAAGAAATAACAATAATAATTGACCCCATCCTAGTAGCCACATAGAAAAGGGAGGTTATAAATATTTTAGTACATAAACAAAATAATGTCTAAGGCTACAGCCTTATACACATTTACCTAGGAGTAAGTACCATCAAACTCAGTGTAGCATACTTAGCAGACTACACTGTAAGATTTAACACATGACATCCCTTGTATTAAACTCTGATATCCGTAACGAAGAGCGCAATAAATGGAGTATCTGTGACATCTATGAAAGCTAAACTGCAACAGGTTTAAGGGTCCAAGCATCCATGTTTATGCAGATAAACATTATCTTTCCGGTAATGTTTCTGAAACTTGCAAATTACTGATGTACAATTCAGATTTACTTTACGATAACTTGAAATCAGAATTGCTATAATTTTAATATATTAATTAATTTCAGTGGGTTTGCTCACAAGCAAATATGTTGAGGATTGCAGCCTTGACCACAGCTTTCTGCAGTACCTTGGTTTTTATTTAATTTAATGGTTCACTGATTATTTCACAATTGCGAAGTCTTATCTTGTTAACAGAGGAATGGGTGGAAGCAACTAGCACAGCAGAAAGAGCAGATACTAGCTAAACATGGCATCATTAAGGAAGTTTTGAAGGAGTTTGAAATACATACAGTACATTAAAAAGTATGCTAATGCATACTGTGTATGGAAGTGATGTTAGCTATAGCTAAACTTTATAAAGGATAGGCAGGAGACAGAAAAAAAGTAGGAAATCTTGAAACATGACATACCAACAGGGCAAATGATTTGCATGTCCCTACCATCAGAATGGCTTATCAGGACTCCAAAGGACAATGGCTTCAAATGAAGAAAATGAATTTGCGGGACAGTGAATGAGAAATCAAAGTCAAAGCATTTATTAACCTTTTCGCCACAACTTTGAAGCTTATTTTTCTCTATTTATATTAGATATCTACTTAAATCTTCTTGAAATGCAAAAGTTGTGGTAAATGCATGCTTAAAAAACATGTGCCGCTACTACATTTTGTTCTGCACACATCTGAATGTGCTTCTCAGGTTCAGCAGTTGAATAAAAGTTACACATGGCAGGTAATTGCACAGGCAAGGGAATGCTTGAGAAGACAGGTGAGGTTCAGCCTGCTCTGGATGGATGTGCACTCCCCGTAAAGGAGTGGGTACACAATTTGTCTATGCTTTGGCAACCTCAATGTGTTGTATGTGAGACTGCCTCTGAAGACAGTTCAGAAACTGCAGTTAGTACAGAATTCAGCAGCCAGATGATTGACTGGGACCAGGAGGCCTGAACATATAACATCAAGTCTGGCCCAATTACATTGGCTGCTGATTAGTTTTCCAGCTCAATTCAAAGTGCTGGTTTTGACCTAGACAGCATTATGTGGCTCAGGAACCCAATACCTTAATGAATGCCTCCTCCCATGTGATGTTGCCTAGACCTTGTGTTCATCTTCTGAAGTCCTTCTTCATGTGTGCCCTCCCAAAAGAGCTGCAGATGGTTGCACCAAATGAACAGGGCTGTTCATTGGTGGCTCCCCAGCTGTGGAGTGCTCCAAGGATGTCCAGTCAGGATGTCCAGTCGGGCCACCACTATGACACCAAGGTCATATCTGTGAAATAAATATATTTTTACCCCAATGTATAGCACTTGATTACTTGAAACTATGCACAAGGTGCCAGATCAAGGTCAGGACTTGGGGGTGTACAATACTTAATCCAGATTCCAAAATTCAAGCCCCTTTCCTCTGCCATGACGGCTTCCAAGAAGCAGCTATAAATGACTGCAGATTTCTACAGACATTACCAACATACTTGCAGGTATGATCTGGGAGTCCATAAAAAGGTACAGAAACTTGCTTTTAGAAAGTGAAGCAAAACAAAACAATGTATTGTTAAGTGTTGCTGAAACAACTGAATCTGGTCACTGTCAGAGACAGAATATTGGGCTGGATGATGTGTCATTGAACTTATCCAGTATGGCTGTTCTAATGTTAAATTGACACTTAATATGCTATTAAACCAGAAATATTTTCAGAGAATTACTCCCTACCACCCTTTCAGTGGATACTATGTAACTATGAGCCTGGAAGAAACACACTATTTAAACTGAGCATTAGAAGAAGAAAATGAAACACTTTTCCTTTAATAGTGAACACAAGCTGATATAGCATCACATGACCCTTCCTATAATTTCTATTAAAATCATTTCATGTCTGGTTGCTTCTGCTATCCTGGCTCATTTGTATTGTTTACAACAAGTCATTGCACTCAGCAGTTAGTGGTGGCTGAATCCATGGTTACCAGTTTTTACATTCACTAGTTAAATGGAATGCAGTTCTTCTGTGGGTTTCATGAAGAAAGCACTTAAGGAACCACAATTCAGCTATCAATCAGGCTAACCTGGGAGAAATTAATCTTATAAATATAGGTATTGTTGTATATTAAAAATTTATTGAAAGGGAACTCAAGGGTTTTTTATATATATTAGCTGTAGCTACAAGCGGGGACATGTCAAAATCTGGCACCTTGATCGTAAACATGTTTACTTTGAAACCATTCTCGCCAGTTTAAGCTGAGCTTATAACTGAATATGTTTGTACTGTTGGATTTGGAGACTACTACATACACCCTAAGCTTTCCAGAATAATAAAACTGACATTTATTTCCTAGTGTCATTTCTTAAATATATTTAAAAACAATAAAATAAGAACAACAATCAGGATGTTTCTGTAATGTAAACACAGAGTGCTTAAGTACAGGTTTAATGAGACTGCAGTCTATGCAAAGAAACTTAGACATGATAGTAAATTACAAAACAGACAGAACTAAGTAGAATTCGATTAAGGCAAAAGTATTCTTTACCAGTAAATTAAGATTGCAAACTCATATGTTTTGGTGTTAATTAAGGTAGATATCGATGGATTGTGTTTGCCTCATTACTTACTGTTTGTCTGGAGTGGCTTGTTATTTTGGGAGAGAGGGGACTGTTTGTTTACAAGGTAGATACAACACACATTTAAATTCCTTTAAAAAAAAAAAACCAGCAGAAAAGTCACCTATAGCTTGGTGGATGTAATGTCTGTCCCACCAGCCACAAGAACACAACAAATAGTTAAAATCAAACATTTTACTAGCTCATCTACTGCAAAGTCACTGTATCAGAAGCCTGAATTGATTTGTTTCCTTACAACGAACTGAAAATGAATGTAACAGAATGTCGGGGGAGGGGGAGGAAGAAAAATCCCTATGACACTGTTAATCGGATATTGTATAATAGTTGATTGCAGGTTTGCACTGCACTATCATTGCTTAAATCAAACATACTTACAGGTTCTGGGTTCTTCCAAGAGTTTGGTGCAGTTTCAAGGACAAATGTCTTAAGGATGCCTTTTCTACCATGCAGCAATGATCTCAGCTCTGATCTGATTACATGAGTAAAGTGCTAAATCTGACAATATATAGTTTTTTAAAAATAAAGAGGGAACTTCCCAAATAGAGAATAAATCTTAGGAGAAAAGTCTCAGGCTTGGGAAAAAGCTGTTTAAAAATGTGAAGGTTGATTTGCTCCCTAGTTGTAGCAGCTGATGCCTGTTTGCAGCCCTGCAGAAAGAAACCTTTTCTGAAAAACCAATGGCATCACATTTCAGTGAAGCTTGTGCCAGACTATGGAGTGCAAAGCAGCCTTTGACAAACTTCACACAACTCAAATAAGTTGTGCTTACTCCTGCACATGCAAAAATAACTTTAAAGTGTATTGTTAGTTTTTGGTTTTATTATAAGTTGGCAAATATTCCACAATCCTTATGTATTCCTGAGAGGGAAATACTTAAGGAGCTAGCAGCAAGACAATCAAGGTTCTTGTGCCTTTAATGATAGAGAAGAAGAAATTATGGCAAGGGCAGCTTTTATTACCCCTTCATAACAGACATCCTAACCTATTCTGTGGTTTGGCTGCATAGTGGACTGCAGACAGTTCTGAAAAATGCTTTGTTATCCTAATTTAGTTTTTCGCTTATAAACTGTTACGTTTTCTTCTGACAATCCAATTCCCAAAACAATGCCTGGTGGCCCCACTGATTTCAGTAGAACTTCCACAGTATATGTTAACACTATGATGTGAACTTCCTCAAAGGTGCAATATCATGCATGCATAATTATGCATAATTAATAAGTCCCATACAAAACATGTTTTACTTCTGAGTAAAGGTGCATAGAGCTGTGCAGCATGCACAGGGAAATGTTTACTGAGAAATAAGTCCTACTGCATTAAGGAAGGAATATTCACATGTCAATACATCTAGGATATGCATTTTCACTATAACAAGAGCACATTGCTCTCTGAGTTGGAATGAGAGTCATTACTGGATTCATGTTCCGTTTTAGTCTACTTTAAGCAAACATCTGTACATATATTATATGTTACTATCTAGCTACCTACCTACACACATACATGTAACATATGTAATTATTATGTTTATATCACCACTTTCCTCCATCATGAAATTCATTGTGTCATTCATGAAATTCCCGGGTGGCCTCCCTTCCAGAAAATGGCCAAACCCTGCTTAGTTCAACAAGGCATTTGCCTTCAGAACATGCCCTGCAACTGAAAACTTTATACCCACAGCAAACCCTGACCCAAATTAACAATACTTAGCATCTATATAACACAAAGTGTTTCACATACATTATCTCAATAATGGTAACTCCACTAAAGAGCAGCTATGGGGCAAGCCAGTCCTGTGCCTCAGCAACAGCAACCTAACCAGGGGCTTCTGCCATTGCAACTAAAACAATATTATGTGCAAGAGAAATGGAACAGATCTATGTTATTTTTCCTCAGCTTTTTAATGCAACAGGGTGCTCCTCCAGTACAGTTAGGTGCAGGCTCAAGGGAGCCCCTTGCCCTCCTACTCCAAAAGTCCCCTTTGCCTGGTTGTAGTAAAGGACTGTATGAGGGCTAATAAACTGAAGCTCAATCCAGACAAAAGAGATATGCTGTTGGTGGGTCTTCTGCCTGGATTAGCAGTGTTTATCTGGTTCTGGATAGGGTTGCACTTCCCAAAAGGATCAGATTCTTAGTTTGAGGGTCCTCCTGGATCCAGCATTGTTACTTGAAGTGGTTTCACTGATGCAGAGACCCTCCCACAGTTACACTCCTATCTAGGCAAAAATAACCTAGCTATGCTGTGGTAACCTCTACGTCAGATTTCTGCAATTCACGATGCATGGGACTCCCTTTGAAGACAGTTCAATAAGTGCAGTTACTGTAAAATGCAGTGGTCAGACTAATAATAAGGATTAGTTGGTTGGGGCATAAAACTCCAATTCCCATTGAAATGCGTCTCTTAACATGAACCAACTCATACCCTGAGAACATTGTTTGAGGTCTTTCTCCAGGTGCCCTCTCCAAGAGAGGTTCAGAGACCTGCAACAAAGCAGATGACCTTTTCAGTTGTCCCCACCTCACCCAATCCAGTCTTGTAATGCTATCTGCCTGGCACCAACTTTACCATCTTTTCAGCACTATTTGAAGACTTGTCTGAACTTTCATTTTGTGGTACCTTATTACTTTTTATCAGTATTGCTTAATTCAGAATGACATCAGTGATTTTTTAGCAGTTTTATTGGTCACTATAGTCTGGTATGTTAATTACTGATGATAAGATTACATTGTTTTGAATTTTTTGTATTTATTGAAAGCCACATAGAGACTTTTTTTGTAGTAGACAACTAAGAAATTTGCTAAATCTAGATCTAGATGTAGCACAAGGTAAGCAAAGACAGTGACATCCTAGTATTCTAGGAATTATGGCGGCTGCTTCTTCTTTAACACAGGCACAGATAACTACACCTAATCAAGAGAGCAGCATGTCCCCTTGGGGTTGTGACTGGAGTCTGGTACCATATTCTGCAGTCAGCATTGTGGTGCAGTGCAAACACACGATCAACATTGTTAGTATGTAGCAGAACTAAAACACGTGTTATGGTACCTTAGAGATTAATTTGTTTGGTTCTGCCTTTCTTCAGTAGCTGCACACAGTGATTTAGGGAAGAATGCTTCATGTCAGGACCATTGACTTCACAGTGGTTTTACAGCACTTTGCTTCAGAATATATATACACCGGGTTGGAGCCAGAGATCCTGTGAACAGTGTGCTGTTCAATGAACCTCTTGCTCCTGAGAAAAGAGGGTGAGATATGACCAATTCCCCTTCCCCCCAGCAGCCCCCTGATATCTGCTCCAGAGAGGTAGCACAGAAAGCTGCAGTGGGGAGTAGAACTTTGTGAAAATTGCCTCTTTTGTCTCGTCCATGAGTGGCATCCTCTGATGGATTATCAGAGCTTCATTTTTTAAGGAAGGCTACTCAGTATCCAAGTTACTGCTTTCAGGCAGTAGTCAGTGCTACTGCAGGATCATTTCAAGACTCAAGAGTGAGCAAACCTGGAAACAACTCAAGTGTTTGCTTATTTTAGAGAGTACAATGGATCTTGCATATGATCTTGTAATAAATAAAAAGTTCCTAGGTGAGCATAGAGGTGTCTCAGATTGTTTCTTCTCTGTGCTGTGAGGTTTCTCCTTTGTTTCCTTTGTATGTCCGGACTGAAAACAGTCCTTGTGAGCAGTGTGTGGTTTAAAAGGAATGAACCCCTGGCTGCAGGACAATAGCTCAGTGGTAGAGCATCTGCTTTGCAGGCAGGAGTTTCTAGGTTCAATTCCCAGAATCTCCAGGTAGGGAGAAACTTCTGAAATCCGGAAGAACCACTGTCAATCAGTGTAGACAATACTGAGCTAGATGGACCAATGGTCTGACTTGCAATAATTCATCTTCCTATGTTATTATACAGGGATATCTGGGACTTGCAGCAGCTGGCTCATTGCTCCTGTCCTTGGGGGTGCATCTCTGTCAGTGCACTGGTTGCCTTTGCATCAGAGTGGCACAGAGATGTCAACTGTCACAATAGTCCATGATTAGCAGGCATGGAGACTGTGGCAGTTGTTTTTGCTCCATTGTGTGCTTTTTGAAGTAATGTGTTTTCCTCTCCTGTTGTGGATTCGGCATGCATACAATTTGCTAGACATTGTGCTGATGCCTCAGTGTATCTTTCACACAGGCATAATTGATGTGTAGGATTACATGCACCATGATTAAGCACATAATCATAGTTTATTTTAATTGTTGTTGAAACAAACTTGTTTCTGAGCATTGCAAGAGTGTTTATGATTCTTTCTTTTATTCAGCACCCTTATCCCCCCGCCCCCAGCATTCTGAGTATTCTAGCTAGCAGTATTTTGTGTGCTATTTCTTTGTTATTGTGAACTTTGCTCCAAAAGGCAGAAACTAAAACTGACAGTACAGCAAATGGGTATGCCCTAGAATTCAGACAGGAAAAAAATTAAGATCTTAAGAATATATGTATACATACAAGAACTTTTGTACACAAAAGTTTTGGGTCTTGAGTAGACTTTATTACATAAGTAAACCATAGAGATGTCTATTCCTCTGTATGTTACTTAGATGTAACTGGTTGAAAAGACACATGACCAAATTTCTATCAATAGAAGCAGTGAACTGCACGAAGAAGAAGAAGAAGAAGAAGAAGAAGAAGAAGAGGAGGAGGAGAAGTTTGGATTTGATATCCCGCTTTATCACTACCCGAAGGAGTCTCAAAGCGGCTAACAATCTCGTTTTCCCTTCCTCCCCCACAACAAATACTCTGTGAGGTGAGTGCGGCTGAGAGACTTCAAAGAAGTGTGACTAGCCCAAGGTCACCCAGCAGCAGCATGTGGAGGAGCGGAGACACGAACCCGGTTCCCCAGATTACGAGACTACCGCTCTTAACCACTACACCACACAAAGCCACCTTCATAGCCATCTGAACCAGTTCCTACAATATCTACACCCCAATAATTTCCTCCTAGAATACCTTGTTATTTTCTGCAAGTTTGCATCCTAGGTGACTGAGCTGATACTTCCTAGCAGAGGGTGAAATAATTTGTATACTGAAGAATGAGGCAGGAGTATGGTATACAATATCAGGCACTGGGCTGGAGTCAGATTTTTGTCTCTGCCACAACCTCATGCTTCTGCTGAATTACCTTGATCAAGTTACACAAAGAGCAACAACAAAATCCAAAATCTATAGTAGAGCAACCCCTTTATTAGGCCAACCTGAATTTTCTAAAACAGTGAGTAATCTTTCGGCTTCTCTAGAACTCTTAATCAGGCTGGGTTTCAAGCAAAAGGGAGGCAGGTTGTAATGAAAAGCTGGCTTGGTATTAAAGCCATAGAGGCTGTATTGATAACAGTCTTCAGATGGAGTGTGGGAAGAGGTAGCAGACTCAATAGATTAGATCTATTGAGTAAATCTACTACAGTTGGGGTGCTTTTGTGGACAGAAACTATTGTGCATTTCTTACATCTTTTCTCATTTGAGTTTAGAAAATTTCAGTAATGGATGAGAGAGTAAAGAGGTGGAGATGCCTCCTGTGTCTTCAATTCAAAATCGAAATTGATAGACCCAATTGAGGAGCTAGCCCTGCTCTGCAAAGCCACTCTCACCTTTACAAATCAGCAGAAGCAACAACTGCAGCCAACTGGAGATACAGGTTGCTTCACCCAACCAAGCAACTGCATTGCTCCTTAAACTTTCTTAAAGCCAACTTAGTTCCGTATAGTAAAAGGTCTGTATAGTAAAAGCCATGGTTTTCCCAGTAGTGATGTATGGAAGTGAGAGCTGGACCATATAGAAGGCTGATCGCCGAAGAATTGATGCTTTTGAATTATGGTGCTGGAGGAGACTCTTGAGAGTCCCATGGACTGCAAGAAGATCAAACGTATCCATTCTTAAGGAAATCAGCCCTGAGTGCTCACTGGAAGGACAGATTGTGAAGCTGAGGCTCCAATACTTTGGCCACCTCATGAGAAGGGAAGACTCCCTGGAAAAGACACTGATGTTGGGAAAGATGGAGGGCACAAGGAGAAGGGGACGACAGAGGATGAGATGGTTAGACAGTGTTCTGGAAGCTACAAACATGAGTCTGACCAAACTGCGGGAGGCAGTGGAAGACAGGAGTACCTGGCGTGCTCTAGTCCATGGGGTCACGAAGAGTCGGACACGACTAAACGACTAAACAACAACAACAAGTTGGGTGTGTGGGACAAAGCACCAATAATGTGTTTACATCCCTGTAATCCTAGAAGAGATTTTGAAAGGGCAGGAAAAATATGTTCTTCCGCCTCAGCTCCTGCATTTAGGACAGGATGAAGAATCAGAAATGCATTGTTACTTCCTTCTTCTTTCCTCCTCAAACTCAGTCCAATGTAACTAAGCCCCTGAAAACAGGCTCCCTGTATTATTTCTTTGACATGACTTTAGAATGTTCAGAACTGGTTATTATTGTATCTTTATTACCCCATATAATATTGGAAATACTGTATCAGCACTGTACTTCAACCTAGCCATTCATTTTTTGAACACACCTTACTAAACCCACCTAAAATAGGATTATGAATAGGGTTGCCATATTCCTAAAAGTAAAAACCAGGAAACCCTGAAAGTCATTGAGCTTTTTTTTTACAAAAACCATCCCACGATTTTTCAATTGACTTACCTAAGATCTAGAACAAAGTGCCGCCTTTCGGAAATACCCCCCCCAGATGTCAGTTCTGCCTTTGAAATCCCAGGAAAATCAGGACATATGGCAGCCCTAGTTATAATACCATTACCTTTCATTTCCTCACGTTGTCTCAACTCAATTCATTCAGAGCTCTCTTTACAATGTAGATTTGAACACAGTGATGACTTCACCTAGATAACTGGCATCACAAACAGAACTTGCCGTGTTAGAATAAATGAAGGAACAAATCAATTGACGTGTAATTGCTATAACTTTTTACACATCATCATAGGCATTTTCATTCACAAATATTTGAGCTGATTTTAGCTAATAGCCACACTAATAATATCTTCCAAATAAAATCTAAAGACACTGGATATGTAAGTCTCCACTGCCAAATTTTTAAAATAAATTCTGCTCATAGCCTTAAACTGTCCTCCAAACATAGTAATAGTTTGTGTGTATTTGTTTGTTCTGCAAATGAAGGCCGGAGAAATCAAGGGTACTATGCAGGGTGCGTGGCACCGTGTAAATGCCACATTTTAAAGTACAGTGCTCCTTCTTGAACAATCTTAGCATCAATTCTCTTGGGTGAAAGTTTCTCCCCAACTGGTCACAATGCCATTGATCTAACTGGAAGAAAATATACAATGAACTGTTGTAGGCATGTATATCCTAGTCTTCCTATGCCTCTTGCCTGACATGAGAAGCACGCATACAAAAGTGGAATTCTTTAATCTGATGCTACAATAACCCACTGAAATGAATCTAAACTGGCCAATCTATAAATTCAGTTGGTAGTGAGGCAAGGAAGAAGGGCTACCCTTATGCAATTCATATAATCAGTTATCAGTAATCAATATATTCATATATGCTCATACATAATCAGGGCTTACAGTATTTTTATAATCCATTTTGAATCAAAGGGAAGCTGTGCCTTAGCTATCTGCATACTGCTTGAAACAGCAAAATTAGGAGCCGACCTTTCCCCTACAAACATCCGTGTACCCTGAACAAGGCGAAGACGTGAATCAGAGATACTGGTACAAAATCCCCTCAGATACAGGCTAAATTAATCCACAGAACAGGAAGAGCAAACCACAAAATCTCCAATACTCCCTGTCCTGTCATAACTAGGGGAGAGGTTAGACAGAGCGTCACTGCAAGCAGCGGAAAGCAGAACTAGAACTCCGTGCTTGACCAGTGCTTGACCAGGAGCTGGAAGCATGGCAAGAAGCTCGCTAATTGGCTAATTTTCGCTGGCAATATCGTGACGGCCTCATGGTTGTCTCATGATCTATGATTTGCTGTGATCTGCTCAGGTATAAAGACCTCTGGATTTCTGTCAATCGGGGTCCCAGTTCCTTTTGGAAGAGATTCCAAACTGGGTCCTTATTGCCTGGCAATAAACTTCACCTTCTTATTCTCCATTGCTGAGTCTGCCTGATCCTTATTAACGCCAAGCGAGTACCTGCTTATGTTCACGTGCTTCAGTAGAGCATGCCACTCTTAATCTCAGAGTTGTGGGTTCAGGCCCCACATTGGGCAAAAGATTCCCGCATTGCAGGGAGTTGGACTAGATGACCTTTGTGGACCCTTCCACCTCTTATCATTCTATGATGATAAGTCAGCCCATTGTATCTCAGTTTCATTTGCACTGACAGGCAGTGCCTCTCCAGGCTTTAAGACATACCTGGAGATAATGGAGATTGGATGTGCTCTATTCACTAAGCCTTGGCTCTGTGCTATGCTATACTATACTAAGAAACACCTAATTAAAATTGCTTCCCTGTGTATTTTTTAAATTTAGTGGTCCAAGGAGTTAATTAGAGCATACATCTTTCCCAGTGTAGAATCACAGTACCCCTGCAAATCATATTAGATTGAGGGGTATTTGTCTAAATAAAGATTTGAAAACCAGGCACCCTGATTCAAATCTGGCCTTTTACACAGTGCACAACGCTACCCTGACCTTCATTCCACATTAAATACAAAGACTGAACAGCATTATTATTTATACTGAGTGATGCATGTACATGTCTAAAGTTGCAGAACATATGACATGCTGTTTTATCTTTCTTAATATATAGTTGGCAGCAACACACTTATATTGCACTTATATATTGTGTTTTTAATTTATGCCTGGTTATTTTGTTCAGTTCTCCTGTACTGTTCTTTGCAAATTTCCTTCTCTCCAGATTGTGGGGGCTGGGCAACCACAAAGTCATTGAAAAAAGTCGGCAGGGAGAGAAGCAGCTCAGCTCTGTTCACTGCAGCCAGCCAGCGAGGCATCTTTTTATGGGTGGTGAGCTTCGGGTGTGGAGGCAGAGTTCAAGTCCAAGCCCCTCACCGCGGAAAAGGGTGCCTCACTGGCTGCTGGCTGTATGAGGTCACACACATCATGTGCAGGCATGTTCATGTGATGTTTCACATCCGTGTGTGGCAGTAGGCACCCACAATCCTGAGGGCACCCCTGCTCTTTTGTGTCATGTAGTTAAAAATAATGGTTAACATGCAGGGCAGAAAGATGTATTTAAAGAATTCTGAAGTGGCTGAAACTATGCAGTATCAGGAACCTCCCTGCCATGCCCCTACTCTCACCCAACCCAAAAATGTATATATATTGCGAATGTTATTTAACTAAGAAGAAAATGAAACTCTTTTTTTAGTAGTAAGGGAGCGACAGCAGGTCAAAGGGACGTTATGAAATGTCTATGCATTCATTGTTTGAAGTTAGTAGAGGTGGTGTTGCTTTTAAAAGTGCTAACTTTCACGGTATAAACTCTGAAGGAGTTAATCAGAGTAGATAACACAAGCTGTTGGAGAATAGATGGTGCATACTCCTTTCTGTCCTGTTACTGTACTTTTCTTTCCTAAATTCCTTAAATATGTTCATATTATGAAACAAGGATAAAATCTGTATTACACTTACTGATAATTAAAATACATCTAAAAAGTGATTCCTAAAGTGTCTGTAACTAAAATAACAGTACCTTTAATTTAGAAAATGATTGTGACATTCAGGCCTTGGATTTTAGGAGACTAGTACATCTAATTCATACTCTTCCCCCGCTTTAATCAATGTTTCTAAAACTAAACCCAGTGCTTTTTTTCTGGGAGGACGCAAGGGTACGCATACTCCTAAACATTTTGTGAATCTAAGTTTGGCCTCATTGAAGGGCAGTATTTCAATAGTAGGAAAATGAGAGTACCCCTAAACATATATATTTTTTAGAAAAAAGCACTGTCTAAACCTAATCCTAAGGTGTATGGCTTTATGCTATACTGGTATTTCTCATGAATGAAGAAACAAATTTTGAGTGATTAAGTGGAATTGTTCATACCAATTGCCAGCTACAGCTTTTTGCTCATACAAAATAGCTTGGAAAATATATACTGCATGTGTTTATTATAGTTACAGTTGCTATGAACATCTATAACTCTCCAACAATTTCTTTGATTTATGTTCAAAACCATATAGGGCATGAAATGATGCCTGCAACCTTACATTTTCCTCAAGAACATTGTGGAGAGCAGATATATTCCAAAACATCATGTTAGATTCCTTGTTATGTCTCCTTTTTAAAATAAATGTATGATAATCAATTACACATGCTTCAAAGCAACTGCCACTAGATTCCCCATCAGAAAATATGTTCTAGAAAAATAGCACCATTCTCTTATCCTATGGCTTCAATAATATTTTTCTCTCCTTCCATTATCAAAGGAAACATCACACTGTACAAAATGTTCCAGTCTCTGCACAACATGCACAACATAATAGTCAAATCCTTTAGTGGGTTTTCAGTAATGCATTTTCAGGGGGTTATGTGTTAAGAAAGGGAAGGGCTGTAGTTCAGTGGTACAGCACCTGCTTCACGTGCAGAAGGATCCAAGTTTAACCACCAGCATCTTCAGCTAGCACTGGGAAAGACCCCTGTCTGAAACCCTGAAGAGCCCCTGCCAGTCAGTGTAGACAGTTCTGAGCTAGATGGACCAATGTTCTGACTCAGTATATGGCAGCTTCCTATGTTCTTAAGAAAGGAGTGCATCATGATATAAGAATTAGTCATCCTAGTTCCTCTTGGCCATGCCTTTAAAAAAAGCAGCAACAACTCCACTGAAATAAGAAGTGGGACTAATGTTACCTGGGAAGAAACTCTGCCCTGAGTCCACCTATCCCCACTTATTTATTTACTTACTTACTTACTTACTTACTTACTTACTTACTTACTTACTTTTGTAGGCTGCCTTTCCCCCAGGAAGCCTTTGCAACAATTAAGCAATTCATAAATTAATTCATACCAACAAAAGCTATCATATACATACAGAACAGCCGGAAAGTCTGAGACAACAGAAAGTCACTCAAGGTCATAGGCCCAGTGGAAAAATAATGTTCACTGCAACTCAGTGGAAGCTTTGTCATGTGTGAACCATACAAACTCCAGGGAATTATCACAATCTGGACACCAGTGCTGAAAAGATACTGTCCCGAGTCACTGCAACCTGCACTTCCAACAGCACCACATAACCTCTCTCATGTTCAAGCAATCTACCTAGTATTCACATTCAATAAAAAAATTATAGGTCTATTTGTAGAAATTTTGGAGAAGACTCGGCACCTTTCCCCCCACTTTGTTTGTTTTAAGGTGAAGTATTTTGCTAGAGGTTCCTGAAAGCTGTGGATGCTTTAATAGAAAGAGAATATGGGTCCTGATATAAGGGATACCTGCAATAGATTCACACAGCTGTGTTTTCCATGTAAGAAAACAAATATTGCTCCAAGGTCACCCAATGAGTATTTGTAAATGGGTGGGTATTTAAAATCATGTCTCTCCAAGTCATGTTCAGCACTCTCTATCCACTACAATGCATTGGCTCTCTCAAAGCTTCCTTTTTACATACCGTATATGCTTTCAAAAGCTTTTTCAAGTTGCATGACAGGCAATATTGGTATAGTGATGGGGGGTGGGATTTCCATGTGATAAGTGTGGGTATGTGAAGCCAACCCAGGCTGTATGCTTAAGTATGGCCAAGAAAAATCCCTTTCTACCTAGTCTCTTTGGTGCTATTATCTATTAATTTGAATCAGTTTTCCCTCCCTAGTGAGGTATGTTGCCTTTAAAAAATGGATGTTTGCTTGTGCTCAGGCGTTTGAAATATTTTTCTAGCCTCAGATCCAGGAGTATTCCCTGTTTTTAGCAAACACAGGTGGAAAATGTAACTGAAAACATGCAGTATTCACAGTCTGTTCAACTTGACATCTTCTGCTGTTTCTCTGTGTGAAGCGTTGACATCATTTGAACCCTAAGCATGGTTAACATAAAACCACCTGGACTAAAGCAAATTAAAGTATTTTAATAAGATGAACATTGTCCTACTGTACCCCCAAACTTCCTTCCCCCACATGCCACCCCTCATATTAACAAAGCACCCGTTTTCACATTGCTCTCATAATGAAATCTTCAAGGAGTGATGGAGTTAAATCGCATGTGCACCATAGCCCTATTGTCCATGCAGCTCTGCTAGATGGCATCAACAGTTGTTCACCTATTTTCACAGTGGGAAATTACAAGGTACTCACTATATAGGAATAATCAGACAGAATCTAGGTCAAAATCAAAGGAAGTCTGCCCCATCCATCTGGTGGGGGTGTGTGTAGAATTCACATGCAAACATCATGGCAACGTAAAAACAAGGAACTGATTTGTCAGACTTATTATTTATCGTTAAACATTCTAAATGAAGGTAAGACTGCTTTGAGTAAAAACACACAAAAAGGTAGTATTAGCTCAGTCTGGTTTTTCAAAAGGCATTTGAAATAAATATAAAACTACAATATTAGAAAAAATATATAATCATTATTCAAACAGCTGACTTGAAACAGTCCCTTGTTCATGGGGAAATCTTCAGTTAGTTTTTCAAGTACCAGCAGTTCAGTCGAAAGATTCACCAACTGCCCCCTGGAGAAAACTGTAGATCTGCATTTAAATGGAGATATATTGTTTCCAAATGTGCACTACCTGGAAGGCAGATACTGTCAAGGTTTTTTACTGAATGGATTTAAAATTGCATTAGGTAAGTTTCATTGCTGTAACCCTTATTGCTTCTTAGGACTGAGGCTATTTATTTAGGATTTTGTCTGCATGCATATTTTTTGCCCTAATAATTAAACAAAGCTGCCCACTAACAATGGGGAATCACTGCTTTATAGAGTGTTTAGATATGACAAACGAGGACCATACTGGCCTTCTTGGATACAACTCTGACATTATTAAGTTATCATACAAGTTATATATAGTTATGTATAAAGCTTTACAATACAACTAGTTTAGAGTTATAAAATACTGTATAAAATGCATGACCAGTACATATCCTGCATAATTATTCAAAATATTTTAGCAACAATTTAAAATGTGTTTTCTAGCATTTAGCTCTGACCCTTTATATTTATGCATTTTTCAATGAATGATCTTAAGAAAGTGTTGAATCCCACATCACTGTAACTGCTTATTAACACACATGCTTTCTCAATTTTTAGACCTAACAGACTATTTTGACTAGTCAACAATACACATTTAAAACCCAGGAGACTTTTAAAATCAAATGAATCCTGGGTGGCATATTGGAAAACCATTATCAGATCAGATCATCCCTCTTTTTTCTTTTACTGTACATGAATGCAGATATAGACACATATTTCTTCAATACACTCACAGACAACACAAAAAAAACCTTCTAGAAAAGTTTTGCATAAGTATGCTGTTAAGGCATATGTAACGTTCATAAAGAAAAAGACACTCACAATCAATTTCAAACACTCAGACATTAGTCTAGGCAGCCTCCTGCTGAATTTCTGGTTGCAATGAAATGTCCCTGTAAACAAGGTTACTGAGAACAAACCAAGATATCCTTCTCAGCAACACCTTCAACAGGAGCCCTTCAGCTGTCTACTTAGTTTGTTATGCCTTATCTTATAGCACTGACATTCTAATGCTGATTCAAATTCTGGGTTCAAAATGAAAGATGAAATATCTTTAAGATCACTTAATATTGAAATACTGATGCAATAATAAGCAGTGCTATGATAACAAAGCAGATAGAATACTCTAGATGGTAACCTTTTAATTTTGGGAACAGAAGGGAGTATGGTAGTGCATACACTTAACGTAGTTAAATTATCTGCTTATTTTCATATCAGATACTTTCAGCATCAAATCACTATATTCTGTCTATTAAATATTTTTAAAAATAAATATTTTAGTGACTTAACGATAGAATACAATAATATTTATTTATTTTGTATCCCAACCTACATTCTAAGATCTAGGATGATGGGGAGGTAATAATAACATAAATAAAGCAAGAAAATCTCAGTTTAGTACACATTTTCCAGAAAAAATACAATAAAAACAACATATCAGCAATATCAAATAGCAGCACTGCTGATATCCAAAGGCTGGCACAAACAGCCAGGTTTTCACCAGTCTTAGGGATGCCAATAAGTGCTGAAGCCAATCAAATTTCAGGGTGGGGGCGCTCCAGAGCCAGGGTACCGTAATAGAAATGAACCACACATGAGTCACTGCCAGGCATACAGATCCCAATGACAGGATGCTAAGGAGCCAGAACCACTCCCCACCCAACTGCAGATATCAACTCCAGGGCAGGAACATACAAAATATATAACAAAACAAAAGCAAACCAATAACTTCCCCTCCCACAAACACATTTAAAAAGCCACAGAATAGGGTTGCCATATTTCAAAAAGTGAAAATCTGGATACAAAAGTTTTGTTATGGGTTGCCGTACGTCTGGATTTTACCGGACATTACAGCCATTTCTGCCCACTGTTTCCGGACATATGGCAACCCTACCATGGAATGTTAATCAGCCAAATGCCTGATTGAAGAGAAATGTTTTTGCTTGGCACCTAAACATGTGTAATGAAGGTTTCAGGTCAGCCTTCCTGGAGAGAGCATTCCACAAATGGGGAGCCAATGCAGAAAAGGCCTGTTCTCATATTGCCATCCTCCGGACCTCTCATGGAGGAGGCAATATTTACATGCACTTTTCCGGTGGACCTCACAAATGGTTCACAACAGACCATCACAACAATAAGCATCATTTAAAAACTTACAACTATTATAAAGACAATGATAATAAATAATGGCACATGCATGCATCCCTATGGCCAACAATCTGCACATCCAAGGTATTAAAGTAGCTTCATATGTTACAAATCCCTGCATGAAATTAGAATGAATTAATTAGTATAACCATAAACTGCAACATGTTGCCATCTTTATTGTTGCCAAGTTTATTGTTGCATGAACATGCCAGGGCAAGCCTCAGTTGGCCATGGCCTTGAGCACCTGTGTGTAAGATCATCAAATATGATAAACTATGTGTACCATGCTCATTCCGGTTCAAAAGAATCAGTAGCCTATATAAATTAAATTGTGTTGTGAGCATGCCTGATGTAAAAATAAGTTACGATTCATACATCACATAGAATGCAAACCTGGCAGTAAAATGTCAGTTCAAAAATGCCCTATTTATTGCATTGGGGCTTACTCCTACATAAGCAGATATAAGATTTCTGCATAAAGGTAAAGGTAAAGGTACCCCTGCCCGTACGGGCCAGTCGTGACCGACTCTAGGGTTGCTCACTCATCTCGCTCAAGAGGCCGGGAGCCGGCGCCGTCCGAAGACACTTCCGGGTCACGTGGCCAGCGTGACGAAGCTGCAACTGGCGAACCAGCACCAGTGCCGCACACGGAAACGCCATTTACCTTCCCGCTATAAAGCGGTACTTATTTATCTACTTGCACTTAGGGGTGCTTTCGAACTGCTAGGTGGGCAGGAGCTGGGACCGAACGATGGGAGCTCACCCCGCCACGGGGATTCGAACCGCCGACCTTACGATCAGCAAGTCCTAGGCACTGAGGTTTTACCCACAGCGCCACCCGCGTCCCCCAAGATTTCTGCATAAATCACTTTAATTTCTAAATTATTCCTTTTAAAGTAACATCTAAACCAGTGATATACAGTGGAACCTCGGGTTGCAGACGTAATCCGTGATGGAGGCATGTCCGCAACCCACAGCGTTCGCATCCTGAAGCATCGCGTCTGCACAGGCGCAATTTGGCGCTTCTGCACATGCGCAAAGTGCAATTTAGTGCTTCTGCACATGCGCGAGCAGCGAAACCCGGAAGTAACCCGTTCCGGTACTTCCGGGTTTCCTGCGGTCCGCAGCCCGAAAACATGTAACCTGAAGCGTCCGTAACATGAGGTATGACTGTATCCATATTCATCAGAATTTTAAAAAATCATTTCATTAATTCCCCCTTCATAAACTGCCCCAGTTTGGTCATATTAAATCATAGTTTAAACAAACTATGGTTTGAAGTGAGCAAGTAGCATGCCTAGTAAACATTGCTCAAAAGTTTCCATGGCTCTCCTCCTTTGCATCTTTTGTATCACTGAAAAACACAGCAGAGTCTAACTTGTTATAACACCCAAGCCTAGGCTCATAGTTTGTTTCTCTCCACATATACCAAGAGCAGTAACCAAGGTTTGTTACTGGCATACTACACAAGGTTTGTTTGGATAAACAAACCTTGGGTAAAGGTTTGGATGACATGACAAGTCAGACTCTGGTTTGTTTAGTCTGTGGTGCAGGAGCAGGGGAAGAGTCATGGAAGTAGCACACATTAAGCCATGGCTTTAAAAAAAAGCAACTGTGGTCGGTGTGGCATGGCTCTGATAGTCTACTCTACTCCAATACACTTCTACCACTGAGTTCAATAAGGCTTGATCTCAGGAAAGAGTGCCTTCATCCTATTGGGCTGGGTGTTATACACACTGAGCTCTATGAGTCTATGAGGTCATCTCTTCATGCAAAATAAAACTGCATGCCTAAAATCTTGCCACAGCTGCCTTCTTCTAACCCTCCCTATTATAGTCAAAATGCATCACCTCTGCAGTATTCCTCTACATTGAAGAAAATTCAGATTTCTCTTCTGCCTTCGTGTATCTTCTACAAGTACTCCCCTAATAGCCATATTTAAGTTAAGCCTGTTTAATAAGACATATAAGTACATGGCTGAGGAGGGAGAAATCTACAACGTGAGCAAGTGAGCAATCACAGTTCTCCTCCCCTCCTCCTGTCTTCCCTCTTCTTTCTTTAACCTTTGAGAGGAAATGCACCAACCCACTGGCAACTTCCCAAGTATGTTTTCATGTGCAGTCACAGCTAACTGTAAGGAGCAGAATCCACCACATTAATAGCAACTCACAGCTTAAAAACAAACAAAGGTCTCCCAGGCACACAGCTCAGGAGGACAAAGAAGCACAAATGCCTTCGTTCAAAGCACACACAAAACGTGCTCCTGACACTTTATGTCAGCCTTCCTCAACCTCGGTCCTCCAGATGTTTTGAGACTACAATTCCCATCATCCCTGACCACTGGTCCTGCTAGCTAAGGATCATGGGAGTTGTAGGCCAAAAACTTCTGGAGGGCCGAGGTTGAGGAAGCCTGCTTTATGTGCTATACATATATAGGTAGTTTAAAATGTGGGGTTTCCACCCCCCCCACACACTTGTTTCCTTCTTTGTAAGAAAAAAAGAGTATGATGCCTGCATGTAGGGATTAAATGCCACTGTGTGTAGGGACAAAAGCAAGCCACTGAAACAATGGTGCATAGATCTTCCAAGTCATCTCTCACAGAAAGAGGCTCATCTCTCTTTTACTTTCTGACTCTCTCAACACCTCTCTCCTCAGGGTCTTACCTTTTTGCTTAAGATACTATGCAAAGTGCAATGCACATTGTCGATTGATTGCAGCATCTATATATAATAAACTATAATATGTAAGACAACAGAAGAAAGGTGCACCTCTCACCACATAAGGGCCCAACTACCACACCCCACACAAGAGGGGCCCAGTTATCTAGGTCATCCTCCTGCCAAACAGCAGCTCCCTGGATAGAGAGCTGTCCCATTCCTCTCCCACCTTCTAGATTTACAGCTCCCCAAAACAGCACAAGCAATACACAATACACAAAGGGGGTAGGGGAATCCCTTTTGACCAATACAGCTTCTGCTGCCACGAGTTTTGGGACCTTTGCGGAATTTAATTATCATCTACCTCTCTAAACCTTGATACTCAGAGGAAGGAAGATTGCATGAACCTCAAGCCAGATGTCACTTTCTCTCTTCCCTCTTGATTTTTGAACTGCTGTTTGTGTGTGTGTGTGTGTGTGTGTGTGTGTGTGAGAGAGAGAGAGAGAGAGAGAGAGAGAGAGCACAGGAAAACACACATAATCTCAACACAAACACAGCAAGCTTTCTTTCCTGCTCCCCAACCCCATACATATTTTATTGAAACTGAGACCCACTTTGTTCAATGGTACTTATTCTAATACATGCCTACTTGAAAGTAAATCACACTGAGTTCAATTGGAGTAAATCCTAAGTAAGTGCACATGAAAGCACTGCCTCACACAATCAGTACCACAATGTGGTAAAACCATATTAATAAGAGGGAGGGGGATAGATAAGAATAATTCCCCTAGTATTTAACTGGCAGGCAGGCCTGTTTGGGTCCTGCAAATCGCTCACCAGAAAGTGTTTTAAGAAAAAGAGCGGTGGTGGGGTGAGGTGCTAATGTCTCTTTCCCCGTGTGCCACCTCTCCAGCTCCCGCGGACGGATCGCGCTGCCCTTGGTAATCCAAGAGGCGAGGCAGCCAAGGTAGCAGCCGATTGGCAAAGCTGCGGAACTTCTGAGCTCCTTGAAAGGGAATCTAGGAGTGGTGGGACAGGCGCGCAGACGTACCCACACCCACAAACACCCACACAGGGTATCAGGCACACATTCCAAGCAGCCGCAGATCAATTAATAATAACAACAAGAGCAATAACAGTAACAATACAGTTTGTTGCGCTTGCAGGCACACCATACTGGCAACAGCTTTAAAGTCAAGTCCTCTCACTCCAGCCTCGAGAATCTCTCCCCCCCCCACCTGCGCACGGTGTTTCTAATTCTGCCTCCATCTCTGCATGCCGAGAAACTGCCCCATGATTGTGGCTCCTCGAACCCTAGCCAGCTGCAATGATCTTTTGTTGTTGTTGTTGTTTAAATAAATAAATCCCCTTACACGAACGGAAAGGAAAGGTTGGGGAGGGCAGGAACAGGACAAAAACCTGCGGGAATGGAATCTGTCACCATACTCAAAGCACGCAAGAAAAACAAACAAAAACCCCAAGCTATCCTTAAAAAGAAAAGAAGAAATGGTAAAGAGGTGGCGGGGAGCGGGGAGAAGGAGAAATCAATAAAGCCCGGGTGGCTGGTTTGAGTGATTTCTATGAAAAGGAACTGACTCGAGAGCAAGTCAAATTGAACCAGGTCTGAAGGTGGAAAGGTGGGGGGGAGGAGTGTAACAGAGCTTCTATCAGCTGTTCGGCTCTTCCCAATCTAAAAAAGAAAGGGGGGGAAAGGGAAAGGGGGGATGCCCCAGATGTAATGTTAGTTTTCAGATGTGCATGATAAGATAAGGTGTGGACTCGGTTTACCTGGTCAGGGCAGAACCGCAGGCGGTTTAATCAGGTGAGTCGTCGGGGACTGTAAAGAAGCCGAAGCCGGTTTCTTTGCTAGGAAAGTCTACAACCCCATGCAGGGACATTGCAAAATCTTTACACACGCCTCCTTTAACTGGGCTTCCGCGACCTCAGCCGGAGAAAGGGGGGAGATGCCTGCCCGAGGCAGCTTGAGGCCACCTCCTCGAGCTCTCGCCCGGAGATCGGCGGGGTCTCCCGCAGCACGGGGTCCATTTAAACGGCTGCTCCGCACCAGGCGAAGCCGGCTGTGAGGGGGAGAAAGGCGGCGGTGGGCACCCGAAGGATGCACGGGCCTCCCTGTTTCCTTGGTAGAGTCGATCCGCACTCAGTCTGACCCAGGACGTCACTCTGCCTGTCTGTTTTCTCAATGATAACTTGGCAGGAGAAGGGGGAAGCTGCCAGGTCCCCCCCTCCCCTCCTTCCTTTCTCTCTCTCTCTCTCTTCTCTGAGATCATTACTTGGTATGTGCACTTTTCTCGCATGCATTTTTTAAAATATATAAATATATATGTAATAATGCCCGAAGATCGTCTTATGCATAATCATGGTGATCGTTAGCAGCCTGCTCGGTTGTATTTGCATTGATTTGAGTCTGCCTGTGTGGCTGCGTGTGTTGTTTCTTGCTGCTGCCGTTCTTAAAGGGGCTTGGTGGGTGGCTGGGGTGGCTGGGTGAGAAAATACTATTGCCTGTTTGTACAAAGAATCCACCAGCATTTAGAGATCCCAACATATCCTCCAACTGGCACCATTCCTCCCAGTCATTATTCCATAATCAAAATATGCAGATCCAGTCAGTGGATCCTGCCAAATCCCAATGATTTCCTCATTTGTCTTTTCCCATTCATCTGATTAACCACGTTGAATGTTTGTCTGCTGTATTTTCATTACACAAGTGAACATACCCCAGTGCCTAGACAAAAGGGGGGGCAGGTGAGAACCCGTTTGGGGGATGCATTTTTATTTTTTCGCCCAGCTACTAAAATTTCAAATGTAATAAAATATTGCTTAAACTGCTTTTATTACATCCAATATTTATTAGTTATTACAATAATAGAACTACAGTACTGGAAAGTCTTTCCAAATCTGGAACCCAAAGGATTGATTTGCTCTGCTCTGCTCTGATTGTGCCACAGAAATAGTGCTTCTAGAATAACCAAAATCGCTCAAATCAATGTCTCAAACTGTAATTAATTGCCTATGTCATATCAAAATTGTGAGAATATAAAAATAAACTGTGGCCAGGTCTCATTTGTTCTGTAATGTTATGACCAGTTACTTGGTTTCAGTATATTATGCATCAGTTGGTTTCAACAGTGCTTGGTTTCAAGTGTTTGTCATATGGTAGTCAACATCCACCAAAGAACCATGGCCACAATCAATGCCTGTGGAAAGACCTGTGTGTGCATAGCAGGAAATGTTTTTTCATTTCCTCCCCAATTTTTCATGACACTATGAAAACTGCTGCTTGAACTCGTGATGAAAGATATATGTCTGTTATTTATGCCTAAGGTGGAGCTTCAGGTGAAGCTCTTTCCCATGTACTGGGAAATGGTGGTCCATCTATTTGACTCATAGTCTACCGTCTGGATAAGGTCCAACTAACAGGAAAATTCTGGCGTAGTGTTGACGTGGCATAGCCATTATCAGTTGCCAGATTTTGAAACAATCAGATTAAATCCACTAGCAAGTATCTAGGAAAGGGCTGTAGTTCTAATAGCAGAGCACATACTTCACATGCAAAAGTCTCTGGGTTCAGTCCCTGGCCTCTTCAGATAGGTCTTGAATTGACCCCTACCTAAAATTAGGTGCTTGGCTGCCAGTCATTGTAGAGCTATGGACCAAAGATTAGATTCCATATAAGGCAGATTCCTATGTTGGTTCAAGCAATTTTTTTATATACTTTTGGAGTTGTAATGTACTAATCTCAATGCATATTGGGAGCGTCTCTGAGCAACAGTAGCAGTCAACACAACAAATTGTCTGTTTATTACTTCTCTATCCCACCTTTCTTCCAATGAATTCAAGGCAGCTCAAACTTCTCCCCCCCCACCCATTTTTAACCTCAGAAAAACTTTGAGGCATGTTAGACAGACTGAGACAATGGTGACTGTTTCAGCAATCAATGACCAGGAAGCTTTATGGCTTGAGGATTTGAACTTGGTTTTCCTAGTCCAACATTCTAACCACACTGACTTATGGTGGGTTCAGTAGTACATAACAGGTTGTCAAACTTGAAGCAGTGGAGCACATCACTAGTGCCGAAGAAATGTCACCTAAAATGGTTGTGTCTCCCAGGTGTAACACATACAAATACTCTGTGGTAACCTCCCATCCACTGTTAATCTCCATCACCACCTACTATTGACCACCAGGAACCTGGAGAAAGGGCAGGGTGATCTGTAGTGTGGTGGCAAAACTCCAGGCAGTAAGTGCTTTTGTACATTACAGCACAGAGACAGATCTGTCACTTTAGGGATACCATTTTTGGTGTCATCCCCATGACAGCTGTAATGTGCGCTCCAGCCCAGATTCAGTGCCAAATGCTCCTACCAGGCTGTTGCCAAGTACTATCAGAAAGAAAAAGAATAAGGCATCCAGATCGTATGGTGGGTAGATTTCTCCTGCAACAAATTGGACACCTCACATGAAGTACTCTTGCACAATTGATTTATATGCTGTCAGTACTGGTGGTACTGGATTGTGAGATGCCATTTATTTCAGAATATTATAATACTCCATACAGCACAACAGGTTCTATTTTTTTTTTTTAGAACATCCTATTAGTGCCATATAGAAGCAGCCTCAAAGTATCTCCTGCTTTCTCAGTCTTGATCATGCAGTTTAACATACTTTGAACTAGTTTAGGATGCAGTGAGTAGCTGCAAAAATCACTAGAGGAATCAGCAGTCCAACAATTTCCTTGTAATTGCATTTTCTGGACCAGCTATTATATGCACACAAACTTATATAAGTCTATAACTTCAACCAATCATTCCCTGTCAGGAACAGTCCTCACCTAACAATATCCATATGGTACAGTAATAAATTGCTAGTATTCACCTAATATGGAACAAAACAGATGTAAGAAAATATGCTGTGCAAACCTATGCATATTTACTGAGAAGTAATTTCTACTATCTACTGTGGGACTGATGTACTGGTAATTCTATTTAGGATTCTAGCTTAAAACAACAACCCAGCATTTTCAAAGCTAACATAAATAATCATCCTTTTAAACCAGTTGTATCTATAATAACATATAAATACAACTAATTTGTACTTATTTAGAATGTTTCATTGTTCCAAGCATCCTTCAGGGTTCCAAACAATTTACTTGTGAAAGTAATAATCAAATATTTATATGCTAATATATATGGTGCTGTTTAGAGTTCAGTGTGGCAGCAATATGGAAATCAGTTCACACTGAAGGCCATTTGCCCAGACATCTGAACATACACTATTTTAAATTCAATTTTACAGCTTTGTCTTCAAAGAACTTCATTGGTAAAAGTCCAATATAAAAGCCCCTCATCTGTATAGTCTACACTGCACATAACACATATACATCAGAAAGTGTATGTTTGTGTGTATAATGTGCACTGTATGAATGTATACCGTGAGAATGAGCTGAATGTATACAGTGTGAATGAGCTGAAGATACTGAACAAAATGCAAGTTTTCCAAGTTGATGGCAGTTAGGCATCCAATAACCACCCAGGCATTTAACCAAAGAGATCTCAAATGCTATCAGACTATGTGGATCTATACACAACAATGTACATCTATGCATTGAGAACAATATGAGTTAGAAACACATGAGCAAGTATACTTAGACTGCAGTGCAAAACCATAATCAAGAGAGCTATAATATACAATAAATAGCTGCACTTGCCCAGCAAGCTTTGAGCTTCTGGCTGAAATACTAAATATCCCCATGCAGCATGCTTTTGAAACTTATGAGCACCTGGAGCAAAACAGGGGTGGGAGTAAAAAGTTATACTTGACACATTTAGACCTTTGGTTACACTTAAAGCAATTCCAAACATCATGTACTTATAGGAATAAGTACATGATGAAAACAAATTAGGGCTGGTTTGTACATGTGATGGGAGTGCTGAAATTCCTCCAATAAGTATGTCTTAGTTATGCATATTTAGGAGTACTATGATGTATGAACTGGAAGTATATGCATGTATACATGATTACATGGGATGGCAGTGATTCCCATGACATAATGACTCTAAAAAGTGTTGCCAAGGTAGTGCAGCCTTTTATAGTCATGTAGTAATTATATAGTAACTGCTCATTCACACTATGACTATTCTCAACATAATTACAAGAATACACAAGCCCAAATGTGATGATCTTTAAGGAGAGAATCTGGCATACAAATCATAATATATTGATAAATATATTTCAAGAATACTGATTGTGTGAAGAAAAGCATGCTAAGAATGTCTGGGGATAATTAATTTATTTGCGGTTACCTGAAGAATATGTCATAAAATATGATCCAGTGTGATGTAGTGCTTAGAGTGCCTGACTAGGGTCAAGTAGACTAAGGTTCAAGCCCCAACTCAGCCATGAACCTCACTTTTAGCCTAATCTATGCCACATGGTTGTTGTGAAGATTAAAGCAGGAGGGCAGACCATGTATACTAACATGAGTTCCTTGTTGGAATACAAGCGTAATGAAAAATAAAATATAAAATATTTCTAATCCATGACTTGGATCCACATTCATGTGTTAGTGATATGCATTTTGATGTATGCCTAGTCATATATGCCTAGGGAGACCCACCATCTGGACTGAAGTTCCTGAGTGTTGCAGGACTCTCTGGAGAGATGTGCTATGTTGCATGGTTAGCTATAGCTGAGGGATAAAAATCAGGGTCCTATCACGGATACATACAAATGTGTTTGCACAGGGGTCCTTGGACCGGAGCCCATATTTTCTAATATAGTTCTAATTCACATTACTGCCTGTCAAAAGAGAGTTGGGTTATATTTATGTTCCTTCAATCTCTTCCCCCTTTTAACACACAATCAAGGCTTAAATCAGAGTTACTTCATTGAATATATATTTTAATATATCAGATACATTGGTAGCTTAAAAATATAGTATACAAATTATAATTTGGGCCTATTAAATTATAAACTGCAATATTTTACTAAAACATTGGCCATATCACTTTAATGATATCACCACAATTATTGTGGTGGCTTCCCCTTGTGGAATGCTCTCCCCAGCGAGACTTGCCTGGCACCTTTGTTACATATCTCTAGGTGCCAAGCAAAAGCATTCTTCTCCCAGGCCTTTGGCTACTTAAACTGTGGCCTTTTAATCTGCCTGAAGGGACGTTATTGTTTTTGTTTGTTTTTATGGTATGTAGTTTTGTGTTTTTACATTGTAAACCCCCCTGTGATCTTCAAATGAAGAGTGGTATAGAAATCTAATTAATTAAAATTAATTATTAATAATAAGGAATTTCTAAAAGACCTGAATGAAGTGGCTACAGAATGACAGGGTATAGGGCTTTGAGGGGATGAGATATTATTCTGATTGACTTACACTGTTACAAGCTGTGGAGAACATTGTTGCAATCAGCAGTACTGCCAGTATAAAAATGGGTTTGAGTGAGATCTGCGACCAGCTCACGCAGCATAACTGTTTTATGGGAACATTACAAAAATGAAAGTCTTACTCAATCTAAACAGGAAAACATGCCCCTCTGATTTAAAGCTCAGCAGAAACTTTACTGAAAGCATGCTGGCTTGTTTTATGATACAAACCTTTATGGGAATTAGAAATTTGCTCAGAATGAAGGCGTTATCAGAGTCACTGGACTCTAGAACTGAGCTAGTTCTGTTGTGAGAATAAATGGGCTAGAGGGCAGGGTATAGAATGGACAGGGGACAACAACTTAAGTTGAGGGATCAAAGGTTACAAGGATGTACCTTAGAAAAGAAATGAGGCATTTTTAAACGTAATTATTGTCAACACACTCTGCCAGCCTGGGAGAAATTGTCTGCTTTATCCATGATCCAGAACAACTTTATTCATGGTCATATAACATACTACAGAGGTAAGCAGCATTGTGTCTGTCATTAATTGTGTCTGGCCCAGCTGATCAGTAGACAGACCAATCTGCCTGAGGATTGTTTCCAGACTGCTGATCACCAGACCTTGCATAAGCAAGTCTACTGTGCTAGATTCTGGGGAAACTGACGTTCAGGATTTTGAAAAGTCCTTAACAATTTCCTAGCCATTACTAGTTAGTGGCTAGCAGCAAATGTAAGAATTAGCCTTGACAAATCTGGTAACCTAACAAGGGTCAAGAAGAAATCACTCCGTGATGTTTGAATACAAAGGATGAACTAAGATTCAAAATGCAAATGCAAGTTTCTGAGATTCATTTTTATGTCCATTTCTGTATGAAAGCCTGCCATGTTTGGGGGAATGTTTATGCTTACTTCTAATCAATGGGCCAAGGCTCAGGAAGACCAAAGATTGGACAAAGGAGGACAGCTTATCGATACTGCAAAGGAAGTGTTATTCTGTATAACAGACATTTACTGCTTCTTTGAAGTTTACTTAATGCTGACTTCATCTAAAGTCTGCTGGGCAGTTCTGGACTACTGAGATAGAGAGGTTTGCCACACTTATTATTCCTTCTTAAAACAAAATGTAAATCTTGCCAATTGGAATAAGAGTGAATTGAACAGAGATGGCAGGATTGTAAAATGAATCTTTATTTAACTAGAAATGGCTATCCTATATATATATGAGCAAAACCCTGAGTTGCTCAGATAGAATGTGTTACTGAAACCAATTGCACTTTTGTACTTTGTGTGTTTATGCTGGAAGTAACTCATGAGTTTCTAATAAGCAAAGCAAAAGATAGTTGCACATTGTTTAAAATTTTACAATACACTAAAGAAGCCCTAGAAATTGGAGAACCATTTGATATGGAAAAAGAGTTTCCATGAGCAATGATGCAAAAACCATCAATGAGATAAATGCTTTTGGAATGGATGCTAACAACACAGCAAAATAGTTTATTCACAATATGAAAAAAAGAAATGATGCCATATTCAGTGTATTAAAAATGGTGAATGATCATTTGGATACAATGGCAATATCAATGTGCAGCATTCTTAAAGACCATAGACTGCAATTATTTTTTTTAAGTGTAAAGAAGAGGAGTCATTGTATTCATATCAAGGAGTGTAGCTTTCTTTTGATTCTCAAACATGACAAAATCCATTGAGAGCTACATATGAGTACTGAAAAAATTCTCTATGTCACAGAGATTTGCATTGTTTTATCGCTGTGGAAAATGAAATCCATGGAATAGCAGTACATATACACTGAAAGCATTACCTCTTAGAATCCTACTGCACCTCAGATTTTTATATGATCTTGCCTACATAAACACACCTTAGGTTTGGTGAGCATATGAAGATGCTTTACCCTGAGTAAGATTATTGCTCAACCTAGCACAGTTGTGCCTCTTTTGCCTGGGATTGGCTCTCTCAAGATGTTAGGGAGAAGTTATTTCCAGCCCTGCAGTAAGAACCATTTAGTTTTTGATGACAGGGTCTAAATTTGGCCTAACCCACCTCACAGAATTATTCTGAGGTTAAGCGAGAACTATTCACATCACCCTGAGCAAAGGGTGGGATATAAATGTAATAAAAAATTGTACACAAAATACCATTATCTTGACCATAGCCCAACACTCAGCAGTTGGCCTGATTTCACATGACTGCAATATCAAGCGATGATCTATCTGCATGTGTGAATCAACTCTTAAGAGATATAAAAGCAGAGAGAAATGGTTTAGCAAACTGGGAACAAATATTGGGTCTATGCATTTCTGCATTACTTCTCCCCACTAACACACCAGCTCCAGCACTTCAGTCCAGGGCTGTTTAAATCAGAGGTCTCCATGACATCTGGTGAAGGAATAGGATTTTCAACCACATTCTTTTGGGGTTTGGACTATAAAATGGTTGTTTTTTGTATGAGAGATTCTTCTATACAGGGACACATGTTAACAGGAAAGTTAAAGGTATGCACAGGAAACTTCTGCACAGACAGGTCAAAAGTTGTTGGGATAATAGTTTGCTCAGGAAGGTTAAAAGTGGACGGGAGTGTCAAAGGTTCAACCTAGGAATCTGACAATTAAGAAACAGAAAGTTAAGAACTCTACTTTCCTTCTGACTAATTAAAATAGGGGTGGTTAGCCTGTGGCCCATGAGCCCCTGCAACTTTATCTGCTGATGTGATTGAATGATAAACGATTCCTTTACCTGCCCTTTAGAAAGGATCTAAAAAGAGCAGTTAGTTTATATCCATTTTCAGCACTAAGCACCACAGTGCCGAGATAGAAGATAAGCATATATATATATATATATATATATATATATATATATATGGTAAAAGGTAAAGGACCCTGGATAGTTAAGTCGAGTCAAAGGTGATTATGGGGTTGCAGCTCTCATCTTGCTTTCAGGCCAAGGGAGCCAGCATTTGTCCACAGACAGCTTTGTGGGTCATGTGGCTAGCATGACTAAACCGCTTCTGGCACAACGGAACACCATGATGGAAACCAGAGCACACGGAAACACAGTTTATATTCAAATATATGCACTCCCTCTGACAGCCCTTTAAAGAAGATCTCTAAAACCTTCTGCCTGCAGCATTTTCCTCCACCACAGTGCTAGACTGAGGATGGGTGGAAATACTGCCTTTTACTAGAATGGGCACAGCTGGAAATGCTGGTTGTTTCTGCATATGCATGTATGCCTCTGTATGTACGTTAGTGCATGCAAGAGTATGAGTAAGAGAGAGAGAATTCTGGGAGACTGCATGCCTGGTGAGTGTATACTATATGTGTGGTGAATGTGCACATGTGGTAATTATATATGTATGTTCTATATGTGTTGTGTGTGTGCATGCCCACATAGATTGGCCAAACCTACTGCTACTACATGGCCCTTGGAGCAGTGACTGCCTTTCAATGCAGTTCACAAAAAAGACTAGCCACCGCAGGCTAAAAGGAGACTGGTAAGGATCAGAGGTGACATGCCTTCCATCTTAATCTTAGCTTAAGCCTCTAAACTGTGCTTTTAAGATAACTTTGGTTTTTTAACAGTTCAAGCATTAAGTGAAATATCAGAAGAAGCAGACTAGTACAGCAAGGATAGGAAACTCCAGACTTGGAGGCTGAATGAGGCCCTCCAGACATCTCTATCTGGCCCTTGGGACTCTCCCTAGGCCACATACTTTGTTGTCTCTAGAGTGGAACCTCGGTTTACGAACTTAATCCGTTCCGGAAGTCCGTTCTTAAACCAAAACCGTTCTTAAAACGAGGCACACTTTCCCTAATGAGGCCTCCCGCCGCCAGTGCCCTTCCACTGTTCAGATTCTGTTCTGGGACCAAGGTAAAGTTCTCAAACCGGGACACTATTTCGGGTTTTGCAGAATTTGTAAACTGAATAGTTCTTAAACCAGACTGTTCTTAAAGCGAGGTACCACTGTACTTTGTACCTTCCTTGAATGTTTCTGCCTTGACAGAACGTATCTTTGAATTCTGAGCATGCCTCTTGCTTGTCTGGATGGAGGACAGAGCTGTGTGAGAGAGTGTATCCAGAAACAAGCCTACTGTACAAGATAAAATTAATTGCTTTGCCTACTTTTGGCTTATGACCCCACCCATTTGGCTTCCATAAGATTGCCTAGAAGGGAATGCAGTCCTTGGGCTGAAAACATTCCTCACTCCTGCAATATAGCATAAAAATTAAATTAAATTAAATATTTTCCACTTGCTGCTTTTGCATTTTATACGGATTTTGCAGGGGTTCCTCCTGGATGATTTTGGTATCTTATCCTGTTGATAAAATCTACAGCCATGGCTACTACTTTTATTAATTTTTGCTTTCATATCAAGACATAGCTGTTAACGTTTTCCTTTTTTTAAGGGAAATTCCCTTATTCTGAATAGAATTCCTCGCAAGAAAAGGGAAAAGTTGGCAGATAATCAAGACAAATCCAACACTTCTGATTGTGGTCAGTGCCAACTTCAGCACCAGTCATCCTTCAGCTGCTCCCGGGTCTCAAGCACCCCAACAGGTCCCATTGCTGATGCTGACCTTGAGTCTGCACCACTAGTTAGGGGGTATAGCAGCTGCCTGCCATTTTAAATTTCTCACAGTACTATGGAGCACATGGCACAGGATCTCTCCAGAGCACTGAGGGAAGTTTTTAATAGTAGCCAGGGACCCAGTTATATAAGACAAAGACTGCCTTGCCAAAGTCATATGAAAGCTGGAGCCAGCCAATTTTGTGACTATTGAATCCTGAAAAGTACAACCCAAGACGAATACTTCTTAAAACTCAACTTCTGAATTATATCAGGTGGTTGCAAGTCTTTGCATAATTCCCTGTGGGCACCAGTACAGTAAGAGCATTTAGTGGTGCAACTCTGTTGTGTATATCATAATAAATGTTACCAAATTGTAAGGGTAAAGGAGAACAACAAAGAAGGGGGGGAAATACATGTTAAAGCAGGGCAGTGGGATTTGTTCTGGGCTGAAAAACAAACTAGACAGCCTCAGTTAATTTGCAGGTTTTATTAACTTAATTAGGAAGAGTGACAACATGTTGGGATCTGTGACAAATTGGTTATACCCCCAACCCCACCCATGCCAGCCGATTCAACCAGCCAACTGGAATGTCCAGTAGCTGCCTGATAGTGCCAGCTCTAAAACTGGGAATGTCACCATGTTCATCAAATTTGGATTCTGAGATCTTAAACCATAATAAACTTTAAAAGGGGTGGGAAAGAGAGAAATTAAATTCTTTCGTTTTTTGAAATGTTCTAGGATTATAGTTCCTGTTTTTAGAAAAAGCAGAAAATTCACTGCAGGCCTAAGTTGCTGCTTTCTGTAATAGGATGTTTACTATCTGACATCAAGCTGCTGTTGGGAATGCCTGATTACAGCACAGAGGAACCTTAAGCACTGCTAACTATAACATTAATGGGGAATACATTATTCAGTTATGTGGCTGAGAATTCTTTTAACGGGGGTATATAAACCGAGGAGAGAGATAGGGAGAGACTTTAGGTCCTGCTGGTGAGACTTAAAACAAAATGTTGCAGTGTGGGGTGCTCCTGTTCAAGATGCCAGCCAGCCATGCCCTTTCCAATTCCACCCTACACACTTCCTATTTTCCCTCTCCCAATGTAGGCAGTAGTCTGTGTCCACAAAACATGATCAATCTTCATTAAGCTGTTTCGTGGTTCTTCCCATGCCTTTCAGGATTATTTCCCTTAAAAAAATAAATCTTGTTGTTGTTTGGTAAACCTTGGGTTTCCCCTAAGCCTGGTGACTCAAACGTAATAAAACATGTTTCTCCTGCTGCACTTTAAATGGCAGAAAAGTGAACACTTCTATTTTTAAAAAAACCCAAATACATATAAATATTAAATAATAAGAAGGCTTCATAAAGGTGCAATGAAAGACTAGTAAGGGCATTCTTTTCCTTATCATTCATTACCCAATAACATTTGAAAATAAAATGTTAAGTAAAGGAGTGTTAATGTGTAATTAATCTCTGTTTATATGATCTTGGTAATATTCCCCCAGAACTATAATGTTGGGGGTTCTAATCTATGCTGAATGGAAAACTAGGGTGTATTCATGTTTATTCTAGACTGGCAAAAAATGCCCGTCAATGTAACAGGCAATGCAGAAACAGATTCCCATATCACAGCAACTCAAGAGTAGCGCAGTGAATTCACATAGATGAACATTGCACCACTTCTATGGATCCCTCTTAGTTGAGCCATCTAATTTCAGGGGTGTGGGGTAGTTTACAGCAGCGTTCCAAAGTGCAGTTTTTTTTTCTTCCCCCTATAGGAATGAATGGCAGCCATTAAAAAAAAAACCAAGTTAGTAAATAAAAGAATGTTCTCCCTAAATACTGTTTTTGCCTGGGAGAGCAAGTAGAGCAAGTTATGATCCTCTCGGCAGTCTTTCCAGTTGAAAACCGTTATTTCCCCCCATAGAATTCAATTGTATGAGCACATCGTTTTATATCAGTGTGTGTGTGTGTGTGTGTCTTTAAAAGCACATTTGTCTCACCTTTCAAGCCTGCATACTTTTGTGATTTTCTGGTTGGCCTAATAAAAATATTGCCCTAATATGCTTTGATTTTTCTTATGGACCAAGGTCGCTAGCATAAGGTGTACAAACTACACACATAACTTATGAAGTGGCCTGCATTCCTTGATTTTCTTTACTATAAATATTATTTGATCCATCTAAACTAAAGGAGAATGGAGAACATGGGGGAGGGGGACAAAACCTAGCCAGCTAGCTTCCTCCCTTTCTTGACTGAATGTAAGTTTAAGATTGGTTTTGCTATCTGTGTACAAGTAGAAGACAAGAGGAAAGTTCATCTCCTTTGTTTCCTGGCTGGTCTTGCCTTCAGTCACCAGGGGAAGGAGGATTTCCCATGTGCTTGTAGGCTGACCTGCCTCTGAGAGAGAATTCATACATCACACAAAAATAAATGTGAGGACCTGCTTCTCTGCAAATGTAAGAAAGCCTTCAGATCCTTCCATTACTTTTCTTAATACCTGCAATATTCAATTTACACTCATCCTAATTATATTTTGACATGATACATTATAAAACGTTCCAGTCTGCTGGATACATGATGCATTTTTAATTCTTTTTTAAACTTCAGCAGATCACTTTACCTGTAGTTATTTTGAGACAAACTGCAGTATTGAAAATGCTTTACAAACAGCCTTTCAAAAAAACCCACACAATGTATTGGATAAGTGGTCAAATGCTTAGAAAAATCAAATATTAGAGGAATGTAAGCATGTTTATATTATGAGGACAAAACACAGTGAAAACAAGGCACTGCAGATTTTAACTTGATTACCAGTCCATAATCAAAGAATAAGGAGTTGACCTTGGCATACTGTCTCAAGGTAACAGTGATACACACACAAACACAAATGTACACAGACACACATACACATTCAGGTACTTTCTAACACAGAATAGACTTTAAATTCTTAAAGGGTCTGTTTAGCACATATTTTTGTATGTAAATTATATTACCAAACCCAGGTATAAACCATACAATTAACCACTTATGGAATCATATAATTATAGCGTTGAAAGGAACCTTGGAGGTCATCTACTCCAATACAGAACAGTTCTATGTTGAAGCCATTATTACCAGTACAGTATGTCATCAAAACAGTTAATGTTGCTCTATGGATACTTCACGTATTTTATATTACTGACATGTTAGGGAAATTAGTCTTATATTTGTTGCCAGTATCATTTGAACAGATATGACGATGCATACTAATTACCTTATTGCACAGTTCTCCTTTTTTATATACTCCTTTTCTAATTAACTTGTTTTGTATCCACATTTGTATAAATGTGTGTTAGATAACTGAATTAAATCAGCATTGACATTCACTTTAAGGTGAGTCCTCTTTTTTTGCAGAATGATAGGAAATCTTAATTTTTATTTTGATATTTGTATATTCCCACTCATTATTCTCTGTTATATATGTCTATGGAATTTCAATATTTTGAATTGACTTCTGAGTTGCAGCGAGCAAAACTCCAGTCATGGGATGCTTCTATTGGTGGAAGGGGGGAAGAGCTGGTTTTCACTGATTTTCGCTCCCTGCTGAAATCCACCCATCCTCTAAATATTTGTTATAGAGGGTTGACGGACCCAACTGTGTTGGGATGGAATGTGGGGGCTGCATGGTGGAAGTAGCCAAAATTGCCTTCTACCAACAGGAACTTCCACTGCCTTGAAAGCCCTTTCAGAAATGGAAGGACACTTGGGATCCAAGCCTTTGATTAAAAAAATACAAAAATCAATACAAACTGAACCTAGAGGATATAATCACAATTTACATGTACAGACCAAATATTGTTATATAATTCCACAGTTCAAAGCCAACTACCGGCACTTACATTACAAACTGATCCCCAAACCTTCATGACTTCTCACCAAATGTCCTTCTTTGAAACTCCCCTCTTAACATTGCTCCTAGGACAACCCCAAATTAAGAAGTTATATTTGCCTCAAATTCTCTTCTTTCAGAATCAAGCTGATTTAGAAAGCTAGATGCTTATTGCAAAAATCAGCACCAAAAATCTTTATCCTTGTGCTAAAGATTAAACATGCAAAGTGTGATTCTGGGAAAAATAATCAACTTAAAAAGGGAAATGTCTCCTGTCACAAATTGATTTTCATTGTAAGACTCAAGTAATAAGCTTTAACTGACTCTTCTTATAGAGAATATCGTAAGAATTAGATAATAATTGAACAAGAGAGTTACATAACATTTCAAAGGTTCTCCCAAACCATACATTGCATTGATTTTCTTGAAACATCATTATGCAATCTGACCAATGTATCATGCAGTCTTTTATCTTAACCAGAATATCTAGCTTTATGACAGAAAGGAGCCTCAGCTCTGGTATCAGTCCTAAAAGGAATGAAAGACAATATTCATATTTCCATGAAAGAGAACCATGGTTTGTCAAATGAGCCTTCAGGTATTCTCTCCAAAAATTACTCTAACTGTATTTTTTAACTCTTCCAGTCGATCTTGTAACTTCAATGACCAGTTCTTGTTTCATTCTAACCTTCATTCACTTTAACCTTCATTTCTTCTTGTATTTTGTCATGATTAGCATTATTTTCCCCAATAAATTTTATTTCTTAACTTTTTATTTTCTCTGCTACATTTCTATCCTATTTGTTTATCAGTATTTTGAAGCTATTCCAGTCCATTAATCTGACAAAATAAATATTTTATCTTTCAAGAGTTAAAATAGAACTAGACTCATGTATATGTTTTGATCCAGATTTCTGACTGAATTTAGTTGCAAAATGAACTAAATTGGGAGGTATTGTTTTTATACCTTTCATCATCTCCCAGCTGAACCAGATATAAACAAATCAATTAATCATTCCTCCACAAACTATAAATCAGTAGTTATCAACTAGTCAGTTGAATAATCAATATCAGTAAAACAAACCTTCAACTTTGATTTAAGCATGGAAGCATTGAAAATGATATCTAATGATCTAATGATCAGTTGTAGAAGATTTTAAAAGGCCATTCAATGGTGTCACATTATTACAAGATGAAACCATCACAAAGCACAAGAGATAAATGTTCCCAACAATTTTTTTCAAAACACAGTCAAAATATTAGCAAGCAGAACGAAAGAAAAAATTAATGCAATCTACAAACAAAATGGTTAACAAGCCAGAAATGTCGTAACACAGTGGCAAGGAAGGAATCAGCAGCTTGGTGACTGTATGTGACTCTGTGTATGTGCTAAAGCCACCCTGGCTCTCCTGACCACTCCTCTTCCATGTCATGTTTGTGTATGTGCATGACAGAGAGAAAAGAGCAGTGGAGAAAGAGAAGTAGCTGCTACATGGTAGTCATGGGGGGGCCTTGCAATGGGTAGGGCAACCCAGAGAGTGGGAACGAGGGAGGGAAGTGGGGAAATGTAAATGGACAGAGTTGAAACAAACAGAAGGAGTTGAAGCCTTGGCAAGCAATCAGTTTCAGGCTATATTAACGGAGGAGAAAAATGGGGGGAGGGAACTGAGTAGGGTGGAGAGATAGGCCGTCCTGCAAAAATGTCAATCATTTTTGCACCACATCACGCTTCCCACTAGTACACCATCTCTAACATTCCCAAGGGAATGTGGAAAGGTTCTTCACTCCTGCCCTAACACTTCAAGCAACCACAATCACTTCAAGTCAGAAGCCAAACTAACATTCTTCCATTCTCTTCTCCCCAAAATGTGTGAAATCTAGTAAATTTAAATGCATTATAAATGGAACTTTTTTTTTAAATGTTGCAGCATGAAGTGCTCCTGTTCAGACTAGGGTTCCAGCCTGCTATGCCCTCTTTTGGCTATTCCACTCATTCCTCCTCAGTTTTATCTCCTAGTCCCTAAAAAAATTCATATCACATTGTGTAGCCATTAAGTAAATTCAGTCCTCTTTTGGTTCTCCCTCCCTTTAGAGGTTTTTATCTAAAGTTTTTGTACTTGTGCAAACCTTGAGGTTCTCCTAAGATTGAAGATACATTCCTCTTGTATGCTTATGGTGCTGTTTTGGCTACATAAGAAATCACACATGGAGAATTAGTTTGCTATTAGTATATGAAACTGACACAACAGTAAAGATCAGTCATAGGGTTTTTAATCAATAGGTCTGCGACTAAAGGGATTGGTTGTCTACCAGCTCCTTCCAATTCTTGAAAGACCACACTAGCAAATTTAATGCCACAGAAGATTTCATTGGGATTCAGAAGATGACCAGATTTGAGAACAAGGCCAAATTAGTAAATTTAATGCCACGTAAGACTTAACTGGGATTCAAGATGACCAGATTGGAGAACTAGGCCAAAACTAACAATGAATTTCAAAAGGGACAAATGTCATGTTCTACACTTAAGGCAGGAATAATCAGCTGCCCAAATATAAGATGGGGGACACCTGGATTGACAGTAGTACATGTGAAAAGAATCTAGGGGTCTTAGTAGCCACTGTTTGATGCAGCAGCAAAAAAAGCTAATGCTATTCTACGCTGCATCATCAGAAGTATAGTGTACCAAACAAGGGAATTAACAGTACTGTTCTGTTCTACCTTGGTCAGCCCACACCTGGAGTACTGTGTGCAGTTCTGGGTGCCACAATTTAATAAGGATATTGACAAGCTGGAATGTGTACGGGGAGAGCAACCTAGATGATCAAGGGTGTGGAACCAAGCCTTAAGAGGAATTATTGAAGAAGTTGGATATATTTAGCCTGGAAATGAGGAGTCTGAGAAGAGATATGACAGCCACCTTTAAATATCTAAAGCAGAGCTTTCCAGACTTTTCATGTTGGTAATACACTTTTTAGAAATGCATCATTTCACTACACAGTAATTCAGTTTTACTAGCAAACTGGGGGTTAAACTAACCACTTTCCAGCCCTGGAAGAAGTGTGGAGAGTGTTCACCTGACAAACTTACATACTGTAGCCGACACACTAACGTGTCGCAACACACAGTTTGAAAAGATCTGATCTAAAGTGCTGTCACATGGAAGATGGAGCAAGCTTGCTTTCTCATGCTACAGATGCTAGGACCCAAACTAATGGCTTCAAGTTACAAGAACAGAGATTATGACTAAACATTAGGGAGAACTTTCTGACAATAAGAGCTGTTCATCAGTGAAACGGGCTCCCTCGGAAGGTGGTGGACTCGCCTTTCTTGGAGCAGAGGTCTAGATGGCCATCTGTCATGGATGCTTTAGTTGAGACTCCTGTATTGTAGGGGGTTAGGCTAGATGACTCTTGGGGTCCCTTCCAACTGTACAATTCTATGATTCTGTGACTAGTGCTGGCTGGGAGAAATGCACCTGGGGAAATGCAGCCTGATGAGCAGCCAGAAGGTTGTTTGTTCCCATAGAGCAACTGTAAGAACTTTGTCACAGCTGCAGCTGAATTCAAGGAGAATCCCACTGTGTTGACAATTCATCAGCAGGTGGCAGTTGTGTTGTGGTGAGAGCACTAATACTACTCATGAATGTATAGAGTGTGATACGTGGTGTGCCTTGGATTTTTATATATTATTCTTATTGAATTATTGTGTTTGTATTTACTGTAGTTACTGCATCGTATTATATTAATCTTTGCACCACATTGGGGGGGCCTTGGCCAAAAAGCGGTATTGAAATAAACTTATGATGATGAACAACTTAATTGGAGAAAGCTAAGTTGCCGGTTCACAAGCTAGCAAATCAATGAAATAGTAAAAGACCAGCAGGGAAATGCATATTATAAATTTTGTTATATTTCTCATTTTCAGATATTCCTACCAAAAGAAAACTAAAGATCAACAAGAACTGCATCAAGTGGGCCAACACCTCAATCAAACAACAGCAAGTCATGCAGTAAAAGAAGCTGGGATCCTGGAATATTTCTAATCAGCTGTTTGGAGGGCAAGGGGGAGCAGGGAGATTGGATGCTGTAATAGAGGGTAGGATTACCAGGGTTCGCACATGCAGCTTCAGGTGTGATCAGTGGCTGTTTGCATGCACAATTGCCCACACAGGGAGGGATATACACAGAGAAGCCTGTTAAAGAAGATAAGCAGCCTAGCTGCATTAGGTGCAAGTAACTATGTTATTTATAAACTGTTATAGGAGTATTGGTAAAGTGTATGGAACTTGGCTCTCCTACAATGTTCAGCCAGCTGCTTCATAGTAACTAATAATGACATCCAGTTGCTGTTGTTTTGAAAAGTTATAAAATGTATATTTTCTGTTTATTAGTATTTGTTTATGGTCTCTAGGGTTGCCATATTACCAGGTTGGCTGGCTTTTCATAGATTTGAGACTGGCCATCCAATGCTCATCTCAGATACTAGCTAATGCAGCTTTTCAGTTTTCATAACTGTTTATATCTGTATCTATAACTACATATACATATATATCTATGCATACAGATATATAGTTTGTATTCCTTGCAGAAATGTGCACACATGTGCATGTAGCATTCTGGGCAATTTAGAGAAGAACTCCCCACCTTCCACTGTTACAGCTGGTGAGAAAATAGGGGTCATCAAAGATATGATTGACATGGAAGCAACAATATTCATAGAGATAGGAAAATGCTTTAGAGTCAGAACAATGCTATTGCTTTTTACCTCCCTTAGCTGGAAATGGTGGCTGCCCAGAAAAAAAGAGTTTAGAAGTCGAGAATTTTAGAGTAGTTGGGTAGCAATTCTGGGTGGTTTGTCCACCAAGAAGCAAAACATACCAAAAAGACAAGAATTTAGACTTTTTTCTAGCTCAACTCTTACTTCATGTGAATAAATATGGTTCTTAAAGCGTTTTAAACATATAGAAATTACTCTGTATGGCCAATACAAGATAAAAACTAGGTATCTGGGCTAGCTAATGGCTAAAGTGATAAGCCAGAATCTGAATCGATTTCCCCAAGTCTGGTGCTTTCCAGATGTTTTGGATCTCAACTCCCATCTGCTTCAGCCAGCATAATCAGACATGATGGGACTTGTAGTCCAAAACCTCCGTAGGGCACCCAATTGGGGAAGGGTGATTTAGGCAAACCTCAATAAACTGTAGTTCATATGGCAACCCTTAAGGTGTGACTATAAACAAATACCAGGATAAAAGGTTCTTTTCGTGAGCATTGACTAAGTTATACATCAGAGGAAGGGGGAGAAGGAGGAAGGAATGCACAAGCCTGAAACTCAGCTCTGTCTTGCACACCAGCCACATTCTGATGTAACAATAAACAATGGTATATCACTACAAAAATTAACTTAGCCTCTCGTGGCTCAAGCACTCATCTCTCTCCTCCTCCTCCTCCACTCACACCACCAGGAGAATGAGTTCAGAAGCTTTTATTCTGCTTTAAACATACCGGTAGTTTACCATCATGTCCAAAATCAGACAAACTGTTTGGTCTTAACTATGTTTAGCTGAAAGAAGTCAACATATGTCTATGAATTATGAAGCTATTTTGTTTCAGCGAACTATGGTTCAGATCAGGCATAGGCAAACTCAGCCCTCCAGTGGTCAGGGATGATGGGAGTTGTAGTCCCAAAACATCTGGAGGGCCGAGTTTGCCTACGTCTGGTTAAGATTAATAATAGTTTAGGGTTCAGGTGTAATGCTAAACTATGTTGCAAGCTCTTCACAGCCATATGAGCTTCTTTCATCCCTATAATGATAAAACAATGAACTGGGCCAGTATGTGGCCCTCATCATTCTTAGGAAGCATTTTAAACACCACTCTTAATTCATGCAGGAAGCAAGCCCATGATTGGCCCTGCTTTTCTCCCTTCTAGTCCTGAACTACTGCTTTTAGCTGACCATCAAGCTGATGGGAAGTGTCTAGCTGAAATGTTGCTGTCTGGATAAAAGCAGTGTGGTCATCCACCTCACTTTCTCTGTGATGATGTCAGGTGTTGCCACTGACAGGCAGCAGACAGCAGGATGAGGTAATTTTGACTGCTTCCTGGAGGAGGCACAACACAGTGGAAGCCAAGGTATGAGCTTTATGTATATGATTTTTCCTACAGATTAAAATGATAGAAGTTTTTTTTTAATTCAGCAACAAATATATTATGCTATACACAGCAAAGTGACATATATGACTTAATTTATTGTTGTCTGCTTTCTAAGTCTTATTCCTGCCTTGCTAAAGTTGGTTTATGGGTTTAGGGAGATAAAAATATTATTTGAAACCTGAACACTTATTCAAGAGTGAGCTCATACTTTGAATGCCTAGCCAGAAATGGAATGGACACACTCGTCAGAATTAATTATCATGTATTTGATTTAACTGGCCCTTCAATTAGATTGTAAGAAAAATTAATTCATGATCCTAAGCAAATTTACTCAGATAATAAGCCTCACCAAGTTTAATGGTACTTAGTCTGTAGTAATATGCTTAGGACTACAGCAATACAGTGCGATTGTATGCATGATGACATTTCACCCCAGTCCCTGGATATCCTCAACCAGTTGTTTCATGCAGGTGTTCCAAAGAATGGAGGCCAGGACCTGTGTCCAGCCCACCCCCACCTCCCACCCCGCAAAGCTGTCACTAGAGCAATAAGAAATTCCTTAGCATTACCTTCTAGAAACAACATTCCAGATAGGTCAGCTTCTAGCTGAAATTGTTGATCCCACCACTGCTACCTTTTTGCTGCACATTTGCTTTATTTGTATGTTATAAAATAGAATAACTGGGCTGAAGATTTCTCATCCTGAGCTGACTGGAAGCTTTATTTATCATGCTTAAAAATAATACTAAAGAAACAAATGGGATTCATTTGAAAGTTCTTGTTGCTGCTTGTTTGCTAGTGACTCATATCCACATTGTTCTCTAC